AACCGCGATCTTTTCCACGTAGGAGGATTATAATAGCTATAACCTACGGGTGGCTCTGTCTCTTAGGACCTTAATTCCTAGGAACTAACGGATTTCTTCGCCTCCTAATAACCTATAGCTTTATTTAAGGGCGGCCTTAAGGTCGTCGGTGTTAGTCTTATAGTCTTTATAGTATATAAGTCCGATATCGTTAACGTAGAAGAATAGGATTAAACCGTCGCGGATTATAATATAGGGGTTATTAGGTATAGCCGTGAATCCTATCCTCTATAGTATACCGCTAGATTCCTTTTACTATAGTAGTGGCGATACCCTTAAGCCGAAGAGGGCTTTCCATAGTAGTAGTACCTTACCTGGTACTTTATAGCCTTACGGTATCTTTATAAATACCTTTTCTTTAAGACTAGCGTTAACGAACGCGTTTATAGCGTCGAACTGCCTTATTTCTAGGTTAAATCAGGCGGCGATTACTATTAGTATATGGAAGGACCGCGAGGCTAGTATTACGGTGTAGTTATCTTTAGTCTTTAACCGTTTTTATTAATCCCCTCGGATTATAAGGCGTGTCTTATACTTAAGGAGGGTGCCCTCCTTCTTAAATTTATAGGTGTATACTTACTTATAGGCGAGGACTTAATACTTATTAACCTAATTACTACTTACCTCCCGCTAATAGCCTATCTATCAGTACCCCTTAAGGTATTCCCCCTTAGCCTATAACCACCGCTCCCGTAATAGGTGGACGCGTATATCGCGGTGGTGGTTTAGTAAAGGCGGGAGATCCTCGCGGGTTAGGTGTAATAGCGATAGCGGCTAGGAGGTATAAGGGGACTCTATAGCACCGACGTTATCGTTAATAGCTTACTTCCTCGTGCGTATAGGGTTATAAGTCCTTCTAGCATTAAAGAACGCCTTCTAGGCGTTATTATTCTACACCTTCTTAGTCTTATAGATACTTACGATAGATAGGCGCGCGGGTAATAGGCGCGTAGCCGATAAATACCCCCTAAGGATATCCCTAGCTATCCGTTAATAGTTATTATATTCTTCTATCTTAACGCTCCTGATTACCGCTAACGTTATAAGGAACGCGCGCGCGGGATCTTCCGGGAATTTTAAAGGCGTGGGAAACGGTTTAAACCTCGTAGTAGTAAACTATAAAGTGTTCGTAGTAATAGCAGTAGCCTCTCCCGTAATAATAGCGGTAGTATAGTCTTCTTCTATAGTAATAGTAGTATCCGTAGTAATAGCGGTGCCCGTAGTAATAGCGGTGATATAGTCTATAATAATAGTAATAATCTCTCCCGTAGTAATAGCGGTAACGTTAGAGTCTTCCGACTTAAGATCTAATACGTTTACGGCTATACCCCTTAATAGTAGCCTATTCGCGGTCATATTATATTAGATAATATGGATAGATTATAGGCGTTCCCCGATTCCCTTAGCGGAAGCTATAGCTTATAGCGTTTTAATCCTGCTATTAAATATTTTATCTTCGTTAAAGACTATATCTTTTATAGTGTTAATATCCGTTAGGTATAGTAGCTAAATACGGAAGCTATTCGAGGATTAGTATCCGACGTAATAACCGATCAATACCTTCGGTTCTAGCCTTTATAGGCGGTTCCTTTTAGCTTAGATATTACGCGTTTTTATAAAGGCTTTATAACCGTAAGCTTATAGGTATATAAGGTTAGGTTAACGGCTGCGTAGGCCTTCGTATAGCGTTCGGTAGTTATTAATATATCGTGGCGTCTTATTATAGAGATATAGTATAGTCTTAAAGATCTTAGACTAGATAGATATAGGTAGATTAGCTCTAATTCTTATAGCCCTCGCCCTTCTCTTAACGATACCTTTAATCCGTTCTATAACGCTATTTTAATCCTATAAATATAGTGCCGACGGCTAGCCTTCTACCCCCTTAGTAGCGAGGAAAGTAACGACTTCTAGGTGCTAAAATATCTCGGAATTAGCTTATAGAATACGTGGCCGGATATCGAATTAGGTCTTAAGCAGGGCAAGAACGTCTTTTAATATGTGTAGGATAGAGTCTTAGTCTTTCTTCTATAGGTAGTAATCCCATGTATAACCTATATACACATCTATAACGAATATAATAGACTTATATAGGCCGCCTACTAACGGCTCCGCCTTTTCTAGATCGTGAAAATTAATAGCTAGGGCCTCTCCGGGCTTTAACGGGTAAAGGGATAGTATCCGCCAGATCTACGTAGGTATTTACGATTACCTATACGCGTTATAATCTGTTATATAAGGTCCTTTTATCTATACTCTCTAAGTAGCGTTAACGATCTTCGCGAGAGTATCGGTGCTATAGTGGCTAAGGCGTTTATACTACTATTATACCGTGGTCTTCTATGGTTACCGCGGTTATCGTGATCTCGCCTACGGGTTATCGTGTGGGTGCTTTACTAAGACCGTGAATACGGTAGCGGCCGTAGCTTCTGCGCGCTCGATTATATACTAGCCGTAGATATCTAGTAGCTTATAGATAGGCCGGCTATTAGCGGAGCTAATAATAGTATCGTTTATAGTATCCTAGCAGCAACCTTATAGGTATAGCTAGCGTTCCGAGACGATATTAATGATAAATTCCTTATAGTATACGATATTACGGAGGCGTAATAGCCTTTTCGTACCTAATAGGGATTATATACGTAGCTTAACGTCTCCGTATCCGAGGATAGAAGCCTTATAAGTACCCACCTAAAGGGATAAGGATAAAGTATCCGTGGGTAGTCTTACGGCCGTAAAACGGCCTTAATTATTAAAGATATAGATTAATAATCCTAAATCTAGGATCGCGAAGTATAATAGCGCTCTAGCTTAGTTAATAGAAAGGGATACCCCTTTTTCTTATTATAATCTTAATAGTATTATTATACGATAACGCGCTACCCCTTAGGTTAGGGAGGCTCTTAGTCCCGTCGCGGTAACGGATACGTCTTTATAAACTATTATAGTAGTAGGCGTAGTATTATAGAGTTAATCTTCCTAGACTTCCTCTATCTTATTAGCGGTAATAGCCCCTAAGGCTTCCCGCCTCTTCTATATCGCGGTGTCTACGCGGCTTTTAAAGCTATAGTTATATATCTTCTTTTCTATAACCTTCGTAATATCTTCGCGGCCACGCTAGGTATAAGGGCGTATATCCGGCCTTATATACTAATAGGCGGTAGTGGTATAAGGGTTCTTATATATCTTATAAGGCCTCCTTATTACGGGAGGGATAGCTTTTACGAATATATCACTATAAGGGCGCTTCTTATTATTATCGTTATTAGTAGTATCCTTAGTATCGGGGAGGTTCCTAAGGGTATTAAAGGTGCCTCTCCTAACTCTAGGCTTTATAGCGGTGGATTATAGGCTCTTTATATTACTAAGAACCGCCCGTAAGGCCTTTACGAAGTTATTAATCGTTAGCTTATTTTCCGTAATCTTATCGTAGTTATTTACTAGGTAGTTATTACTCTATTCCTAGACGATAGGTCTAATAGCTTTTAACGCGTCTTCCGCCTAATAGTCCGCGCTTAATAGCTCTAAAACGCCTATATATTTATAGTGTATTATCGTTATTTTCTAGCTTACTACCTAGGCGTTTATATCCTTAGGTATAGCCTTTATAGGCATAGTGTATCGTTAGTATATAACTAGGGCTTTCTTATAGAGGTTTATAGATATTAGTTCTGTATACGCGTATAGGAGAGTAATCTAGGCCTATAGGTTATTTACGGTATTATCCTATAGCTACGCTAGAAAGCTATATAATATAGTATAGACGGTCTTTTCGACATAGGAGTATACCTTATTAAACTCCTTCTACTACGCATCGTAGTCTACCTTTTCTTCGCGGTATACACGGCGATCTTATAGGTAGCGCGTACGCCCCTTTTTAGAGAGGTCGTTAATAGATATAGGCGTCTTAGTTAGTAGTTCTTTCGTTACGGCTATAGCCTTCCGGCGGGCGGCCGTCTTCTTCTTACCGGCGGCTATAATAGCGGCGGCGTCCGTAGTATCCTTATCGCCCTTTAGCGTGATAGTAGAGGATAGAGTAGCCGTGATAGTAATAGCCGTCGCCTCCTCCATGTTAGGGTCCACGGCGAGGGCCTCATACTTACGGATATTAGGTAGCGTAGGCTTAAGAAGCAGGTAGGTATCGGCCTCCTTATCGCTTAGCTTTAGATCGAGATAGTTTTCCTAGTAGGAGGCAGATTTACCGCGCACGGCGTGCTCCTATAGTACCTAATCTCTTTAGTTAATAAGGGTAATAACGGCCGCCTTCTATTTAGCGTTAGATATATTAGAAGATATCTTTACTAGTTTATTATTTATTAGTTAGTTAATTAATAGGTAGGTTAATTAATCTCTTAATTACTCTAATTAGATCGATTATAGTTATTTAAGAGTACTTATATAAACGTGATTACTTCTTTATAGTAGAATACGGGTAGCCTTATTAATATCTATTATTTAGGCGTTATAAACCGGGCTTATAACTATCGCACGTTAAATAGTATTTAGATAATTAACTTAGTAGAGTAGAAATCTTATATATATGTATTATATTAAGTTATATCTATGTAAGTCTCTTATACCCTTTAATTTAAATAGTAAAGACTCTATTATAGGTACTATATTATTTGGATCCTATCCGGTCTTTTCCGGTATCCATCCCTATTATATCCTGATACCCGAGGCCCGAAGCCCTTAGTCAGGGAGTGGATCCCCCCTGGATCCCCTATAGACCACGTCGTGGTCCTGCCTATGCGATATTAGTCAGGCATAGTCTGCGAGGCATGGTCTGTGCCTATGCGACACGTTCCCCCTATCGATGTGTTAGTCCTGATTTCTAATAATTACCTTAAGGGATGGCACTAGATAATCCGCGTCACGTGAAGTTTCGTCTATTCGTCTTTGGTTCTTCTCGCCGTCGCTCTCGCGCTCGGATGGAGATCTTCCAGCTTGCAGCTTGGGGTGACAATTTGAGCAAGTTTCATCATTTTCATTATCCCCTTAGCCCCTCTTCGGCCCTGCAACACGCGACACAGTAATCTTGGCTTCGAGTCACCTCCTTCTGTCTTCGTTCTATTTACGGATCTGGTCAACTCTGCTACCACACGAGACGCCTCCTTTATGTGATGCTCCTTTCTCTCTCGCATTGCATGTCCTTCCCTCCCATCCCATATCTATGCAACCCCAGACTCTTTACGCCTTCCTGCCATGAATCATAAGCATGTTCTAGGCCTACGGGTATCAGATAGAACCGCGCCGAAAAGTAAAAGAAAAACGCCCTCCTATGCCCCCTAGTACCTTAAAGCAAGTCTTTACGCCTGTCTCTGCCGGGCATTCTCTCTCCCTCCCGTTCCTCCGTCATCCTCTTCGTCCGTTTCGTAAGCGCCCGGCATCACCCCCGCCCGACGGCCCTCATCAGCCTCCCTCGCCGAGCCTTGTCCCGGGCCATCTCCGCCACCGTCGCCTGTCGCAGCTGTGGCCCTTCCGAACAAAGGCCCAAGGAAATCGGCCATAAGCCTCCGGATAGCCGTTCCTTCCTGCCCGGGAACCGCGTCGTCGTCGTCGGCCGTACCCCCAGCGTCTCCAGCGGCATTGCGCCCGTTATCCTCCTCCTCCTCCTCCGCGTCACCAAAAATCGGCCACCCTTGACCATCAACGGCGTCTCGGGGCAACGGCTCGGCTGCCGCCGCTCCGGCTACCTGCTGCCGGTGGTGCTCGTGCTGCGTGTGAGGGTGCTGCGACGCGCTATACACCGGCGCGTCCCACGGAAGCCGCACGCCGTCGCTGGAGAAGATGTTCTCCGCATACGGCGGCGGCAGGGGGTCGAACTCGTAGTTCGGCTGCTGCGCCAGCATGTGGGACGGGATCTCCGTGATGATCTTCGTGTTTCCCTCCAGGAACGCCAGCCGCGCCGTGCGCAGGTCCGACGGCTGGTCCTGCGGCAGCGCCCACGCGTCCACCTTGGCCGTCCCCAGCAGCGCCGCCACCTCCTTCAGCAGCCCGATCGCCTGCGCGTTGTCCCAGAGCTCCTTGGCCTGGTGCAGGTACATCTCCGTCCAGTATCGCTGCGGCCCCTTAGGCCGGATCCCCCAGAGCGGCGGCGGCACGTCCAGGTTGAGGGCCCCTAACAGCGCCGTGTACAGCCACGGCAGCCTGCGCATGCCCTGCACCGCGAGCTCCCTGGCCTCCGCCCTCCGCCTGTCCTTGTCCTCCTGGCCCTGGCTCTGGTCGCTGAGCTGCAGCTTCGCCAGCACGAGCGTCTGCCTGATGTACAAGTCATCCGACATGCCCGTGTCGAATTCCTCGGCGTCGCAAAAGTCGACGAGCCACTGCGCCTCCCGCGCCCGGATGGCCAGCGGGTGGAGAAAGTTCTTCATCCCGTACGGGTCGTTCGGGTTGAGCGCGAACAGGAGCCTCGCCCACTCCAGCGCCGTGCGGAAGGTCCCCTTGCGCATCAGGCTCTTGAGGTAGTGGTACCCCGCCAACCAGAACTCGCGGTTCTCCGGCCGCCGAAAGTCGAGCCGCGCCTTGCCCTGTTCCATCTTGTGGCGGAACGCCGGCGTCGTCACGCGCCCAAACGCGAACAGCGCGCGCTCGCACAACTCGGCGGCGAGGGCGGGGTTCTGGTCCTGCGTCGCGATCTTGCTGACTTGCAGGAGGGTGGTGATGTGGTACGGATGCGTCAGAAGCAGATTCACCAGCATCATGGGATCGCCGGCCATCACCATGCGGATGAAGGCCACCTGGGTTTTGTCGTACTCGAAGGCGTGGTGGAAGGTGAACTCGGTCAGTCCATCTTCGCCTCCTCGCACCTCCTGCATGGACAGGTCCTGCGGTGTGGCCCGCGGCCAATGGTCCATGCCCCGGATGAATGGGTTTCGCCGGAGCAACACCTCGGAAAGCTTGTACCTAGGATCACCTCGTAGTGCTTGTTCCAGGTTGACTTGCCGGGGACCATGGCCACCACGTTGCCTCTGTAATTCGGCCGCCCGCTCGGCTTGTTCTTCCTGCCGCGCCGCCTCAATCACATCCTTGCCAAACAAACTCTGCATCTCGTTCATTGCTTTGAGGTGGTTGGGGTTGATCTGTAGAAGGCTGGTTCCGTAGCGGTCCGTGCTCGTGGTAAGAGCAGTGCTCGTCCCTTTGTGTGCGGATTCGCGAGCGAGGTCGAGTTCTCGCAGGGCGGCCTCAATCTCGTCATCCTCGTTACCCTTCGAACTTGGATTCTGGGGGGTATCGTCTCCTGCCGACGTATCCTTCTTCTTTCCTTTATTTTTCTTCTTCTTTTTGCTCTTGTTCTTCTTCACCGGTCGTGGTACGGCCTCTTTCTCCGAGTCCTCAGCTGCCGCGGCTTTGTTGTCGTTCTCCTCGTTCTCCTCGTTCTCGGATTGTTGTTCGTCGTCTTCGTCAACCCCGCCCAGAGCTGCAAAGAGACTGGCCCTAGGCTTGGATGCTATCGGTTCGTGCTCTTCATCTTCGCTTGGTTCCTGCGTTTCGGGAGTAACCGACTGCAGCTTCAGCTGTTCTAGCTCTCGTTGTTTCTGGAGCTTCCGAAGCTGGCGTGTCGACATTTTCGGTTGTGAGAATCCGTCAATCGCCCGAAGCGAGACGAATCAATGGAAAGAGAATGTGTCAAAAGGAAACAGTTAAAAAGGAAACAAAAAGTCTGTTGAGTAAGAGGCAAAAAAAAAAAAGAGACGAGGACGAATAGACGCGGAAAGAAAGATGGATGCCCTTTCCTCGTAATTTGATCTCCGGTCCTGGCTCTGGGTTTAGTTTGATGTGTCATCGGGGAGTGACGTTAAGGTAGTGGGGCATAAGGTACCTAGTGGGGTGACTGATAAGATAAAACCCTCAAGCGCCACTACCTTTGGAAAGTACCTTGGGTTACACGTAAGGTAAGGCAGGTACTCTATACGGAGTAGTTGCCCTTACTTTTATAAGGTAGTTCTCCTTTGCCTGTGGGCTACCTTAACCTACCTAGGTACCCAGGTAAAGGCCGTGAATAAGGTAACGATTGCGGGTAAGAATCATATATACAGTGTTTTGTACGGTACGGTACTGGAACTTCGTAGTTCGTACTATAAGGTACCTTGGGCTTACTAGACCAAGACCAAGAGACCAACAAACATGAACCCTTAGGTACTCCGTGCCTGTACTTCAGGGGAAAGAACATCAAAGACGAAACGAAGTATATCAAAAGTCACGTCCGGCGACATCCAAGTCTCAAAGTGGTCTTAATGAATTCGCATTGTTCTCGAACAGCGCCCCGAGTGTGTACTAAGTAAGTACCTTAAGACAGACTCGTCGTGACGCCGCTCGAAGCATCAAGACCCATCAATGTTGTTGTGTTGAATGTTTTGACCTTCCGTCGTCTGCCTCAACTTTCCTATTCCTAGCAAATATCCACGTCCGCTTCGTGTCATCATCTCATCTTCGTCCATTCCTCATCCACCGCGCTTCGTTTCGTTTTTGTCACAGAAGCCAAAAAAAAAATTTGGGCTCCTCGGGCTTGATTTCGTTCTCTCCGCGCACATGCCAGAGCCCTGGGTCTCTCGTCTGCCACAAGGGGCCAGTGCAGCAGAAAACCATCGCTTCATCTTCAGCAGTAAAGTAGATAAGAAAAACCCACAAAATAAGCCCCTCACCCATGCTTTGCAGGACTCATCATTAGCGCTCCTGTCCTTTGCCTGCCCGCCGCTGAAGTGCCAAACTCCCCCGCCCCAGTGTTCATGCCATGTTGAAAAAGTAAAAGAAACGCAATCGTACAAGATGTCCGTCCCGCCTAATCGCCGATAACCACTCAAAGTGTCATGGGACCTGTCGAAGAAGCTTCCCTCGACCTGCAGCCAGAGGATTCCCGCGACTCGCAGTCGAGCCAGTTGGCCTCGTAGTCTCCTGTCCCTAATTTTGAGAGACGTAAAGTGCATTCTGACCCCCACGGCCGCGCTGACCCCCGCGGCCCCCTCGTCCGCGGCCACGACCACGACCCCTGCCACGGAAGTTGTGGTAGCCCCCGTCCACGCTCCCCTGGCCGAATGTCTCCATGTTCTTGCGCTGCTCTTCGCCGCGCCACTCCCGACCACCGGGCTTCTGGCCCCCGCTCTCCGCGCGGTCCTTGGCCTCGCTGGAAATGTTATCGAAGAAAGACGTGGTCCTGTTGTACGCGGGGACGACGTTCGCGTCCGGCGCCGCCTTGGCCTCTCCTCCGTCAGCGGCCTGTTGCTCATCGCTCGCCGGCGTCTCCGGTGCGGGAGGAATACCACCAACAACCTCCTTGACCAGCTCGACCTTGTTGAACTTGGCGTTGGCCTGGGCAAAGTCAAAGTCCGACGCGGGCACTTCGACCTTGGCCGGGTGACGGTCCTGACGCCCGCCGCGGCCACGACCACGTCCCGATTGCCCATCCCGTCCTTCCCGTCCATCCCGGGCCGCGTTGACTCGCATCTCCTGCACCCTCTTGCTCAAGTTGTCCATGCCCGTGCCCGTGCCCGTGCCAGTGCCATCGCCAGCGCCAGCGCCATTAGCGAGAGGCTGTGTCGCAGACTGAGACTGAGCGGCCGTACTGGCGTTGAGGTTGGCCATGGCAACGGCAACCGCCGCCTTCGCGGCCTGGGTGGCGTCTCGAATAGCGGCAGCGGACCGGGGAGCAATCGGCTTCGCTGGGGTCTGCTGCGCCGCTCTCTCGGGGAGTTGAGGCTGGAAGGGCTTCGGGGCGGTCAGTGGAACGACGGGCATCACTCGTTGGTTCTTTGGCCCGGTGGGCGTCTGCGAGGGCTGGGCAGCCGCTGTCGTCTCAAGGGCGTTGGCAGTGGCCTTGACTTGCTCCGCCGAGGGTTTCGAGTCCACAGGAGGAGTAGGTGCACCAGGCTGCTGCTGCTGCTGCTGCTGCTGTTGTTGTTGGTGCTGTTGCTGCTGTTGCTGAACAGCCGAGTTGGGGCGCGAATCCGGTCGGACGGTCGGTGCGGCTGGCGTCTCCCTCGGGGCCGGTTTACCGATCGCCGCGGGCTTCTGATCGGGGCCGCCCGGTTGACCATGCTGACCGGAGAGTTGACCTTGGATAGGGGGCTGGGAACCCGGTCCAGCACTCGGGGGAATAGGCTGACCGGGGGGGAAAGTAAAATTATTCCAGTGAGCGGGGTGAGGGGGAAACGCCTGGCCTGGAGGTCCAGGGGGTCCAGGAGGTCCAGGAGGGTACCAGCCAGGAGGAGGAGGGTATGCAACGTTGCCCATAGGGCCGCCAGGGCCACCGGGGCCACCGCGGCCGGCAGCAGGACCCCATGTGCCGGGGGGACCGGGAAGTGGGTAGAAATTGTTTTGGTAAGGAGGCTGGGCGAAGCCTTGCGGACCGGGCGGTTGAGTGTTCTGTGGTTGCGCACCAGGGCGAATGCGGGCCTGTAGAGAGAGCAGAATCAGATGTGTCAGCTGGTGTCCACAACAGAATAGATGTGACGGGTGATGACAAGATAGTTGTACGACTCCTGTTCGATCAGAAGGAAGGCAACGGAAAGCTTCGACATAGTGTTTTGCGCATTTCCGACATTGACGATAGATTTACATCCGCAATGTTTCATCATGACAGGGTTTTATGAACACACACACAGAGAGATGCAAGGGTGGAATCTCAAGGAGCGGAACTTACACCGACAATAGCCGGGTCCTCGGGCACAGCCGGGGGCGGCTTGGTCTCCTTGATTCCGGGATGTTCTTCGATGCGCAAGTCCTTCACGTCGCTACCGCGGAAGACGATGTATTCGTAAACCTGGTCGGAAGGTGCTATCTCCTCTTTCGGACGGCCTTTGCGGCCTTCTGTGCCGAAGGACTTGACATTCTCGAGAGAGACAGTGGACTCGTCCGAGTTGATTTCATGGAGAAGGCCGACGTAGCTAGAAATGCCGCCAGTCAGATTAGGACAAGAAGGACAAGAGGTTCGTGTTTAGGGTTGGGCGGTCTTACCGAATATCGCTCTTGGAGATGAGTGAGATGCGAGATCTGGATCACAGAAGCTGTCAGTAGATGGATAGCAACAGAAGGTGCGTGAGGGGTTGCATACCCTAAGAATTCTGACATGTTGACGTTTGGGTTGCGTTCAGCACGCAACTAGCTTGGATGGATGGGTGGTATTGAGGGTGAGAAAGGGTTCGGAGATGGGGAGGAGGGAAAGATGCCAGTATCAAGAGTTCATGTGAAGAAAAGATAGTGACGATTGATAAGAGACGAGAGAGGGGCGGCTTGATGGATTTGTGGCAGCACGAAGTGCGAATACGGAGGAATAAAAGGTTTGTCAACGAGACGAAACGCAAAAGAAGTGAAGAGGCTGAAAAGGCTGGAGTGGACGTTGGTGATTGCCGGCAAAGGGCAAAGGCCACAGGGCAGGGGCAGGGCAGCTCTGGGGTTGGGTGACCGCTTTCGCTTTCGGTTGTGGTGGGGAGGGTTTCGGAGAATCCTCGGCTATGGTACGTAGGTACTACGAAGGCATTATTATATAATACTCTACCCGTTGATCGCCTTTTTTTTCTTTGGGGGGGGGTTTTTTTTCTTTTTTTCACTTACAAAGTCTTGACTAAGCATTTATTTATCAGTCTCGGCATTGGAAACCACCAAGCTTGCCGAGATAACATCCATTGAAGTAAAGGGAAAACATTGTTTTCCTTTGTTAGTTTCCAGGCACAGCTGGACAACAGGCAAAGGAAGAGGGGGAAAACGGGCTTCTTCCAGTCCAAACCATGACCACGCATCCCTTAGCAATCACATTGATGCCGCCAACTCCACCTCCGTAGTCAGACTGACTCGAGCGTGTGTGTCTCTAGCAAACGACTGGTGACTGGCGGCGAAGGCGACTCAAGATTCAAAACAGTGAATCGAGCGTTTCATTCACACCTATGGTGGATTCTGACAAGCAAACGCAAAATGAGCATTAAGAGTCGGTCCAGGGGAGAGTGGGGTCAGAGTGTGCTCTCCATCCGTGCAACAAGCGGAGATATACACGACGATGCGTACGCATTCAAGCATACAGAAGGACCTTGTTGCACATCGACCGAGATGCAATCGATGCAAAAATCCTACACTCAGAGGGTGGAGAAGGACCTACTGAAGAAATGCCGTCTGATCCTGTTCGAATATTTCCAGCCCTAGGATCTTCGACGCGACGCTGGACAATGGACACGACAAGAAGCACCCACTCGGGCCACTCCCCCTATTACCTAGCCTTGACGAACCGCTGGTAATCAAAGTGAGATGACCGCCGGGGGGAACCGATGGGGTACACTAAAGTCTAAGAAGCAATCCTATAGTGCCGGTCAGGTCAGGGCAGTGAAACATATTGACCTATAGGCTTTATACTACGCAGTCCTGCTTCGGCTCAGTCTGTCTACCTCGGAAGCCGATGATTTGAAAGCCATCAGGCAAACTAGGGACCCAATCATGGTCATTCACCACGCGGCAAACTTCAGGTGGTTACGATAACAATAACAATATGAACTTGGCAAATGTCATCTCTATATTAGCCGGTCCTGGCCCCGTTAAGAGGTTGCCAGAAGAGTTAGACTATCACTAACTACTTGATTGCGGCGGCTAACATGAGGCGAGCCAGGTCGATTGTCGTCTCTTGCATGATTTGACCATGAGACCTTTGACTGGACCTGACAGTCTGAAAAGTCTCGTAAGACTTACAGGCACTGAGAGTACCAGGGGTTCTGCTGCTGGCAAGTACCCTGAGAGCAGCAGGTAGGACCGTTCCAGCCCTGGCCACCGCACTGGCCCCACATGCCAGAGCAGTTGCCGGAAGGAGGAGGAGTAGTCGGGGGAGGGTTAGTGGGAGGAGGGTTAGTGGGGGGAGGGTTAGTGGGGGGAGGATTGGTAGGAGGGGGGCTGGGGCCGGGGTTGGTGCCGCCGAACTGCGAGAAGAAGGACCAGATCTCGGGGCCGACGAAGGGCTGGTTGGGGTCGTGGCCGCCGGAGAAGGCAATCCAGGTGACGGGGTAACCGGCGCTGCAGGAGTACTCGGTCTTGATGGGGGCCTGGCCGTTGCCGGGCTCGGGGGCGTTGCGGGCCTGGCAGCCGTTGTTCTGTATGAAGCGGTTACGGACCTGGTGGCCCATGCTGATGGGAAGGACGTTGTCCTGGGTGCCGTGGATGCCGAGGAAGGCGATGGGGTTGGTGCCACCGTCGCATCCGCTGATCTGGGCGCCGGCGATGGGGGCAATGGCACGGAAGACGTCTGGTTGAGGAGAACACCGGTGTTAGTCATCCGGAATGACGCCCTCGTCCTTGTATTGGATTGTGTGGAAGAAAGACCGCCATCGGGGGGGAAAGGGGGAAAAGAAGAAAAAGAAGAAGAAGAAGAAAAAGAAGAAGAAAAGAAGGAAAAAAAAAGGAAAAATAGGATGGACAATGAACTTACTGGCACGAGCACAGCCGAGGGCGTAAGACATGCCACCACCATAGCTGAAGCCGGTGGCGAAGATCTGCGTCTCCTCAAAGCAGAGCTCGCTGCGGACCTGGTTGAGGACGGCGTCGATAAAGGCGACGTCACGGCCGCCCGGGTTGGCCCAGCCGTTGTCGATGCCGTTGGGGGCGATGAAGATGGCGTTGTTGCCGGCGAGGTTCCGCAGGCCGTAGTAGTTGGGGTGGACATCGTTCATGGAGCCGCTCAGCCAGTGCAGGCCGAAGATGAGCATGTGGGCGCGGCTGCTGTCATACTGGTTGGGCAGCTGCAGGATGTACTGGCGGTTCTGGCCGTTGACGTTGATCGACTTGAGGCCGCTGCTGGGGGGGTTGCGGCCGCAGCCAGCACTCCGTTGGCCGAAAACGCCCTGGACGCTGGCGAGCAGGAGCACCAAGACGGAAGTGAGAATCATTTTGGCGGTTGGTTTTATGGGGGAGTCAACTCGATCGCCTGAAGAGTTGATGGATCGGGGAAAATCGACAGACGATCAGGGGGCGCTCAATGTCAATTTATATCTACTCGAGTTTCTTGACGACCATAACCATAACCCCATCCCCCCGACCCCGGTATTACGGGGTGCGATCTGGGGTCCCGTCTTGCTGCCGCACGTTGTCAGTCCTGTCCTTGCTTTCTTCTGATTTCCCTTGCTTTCGTACCAAGTGTAGGTGTAGGTTCCGAAAAAAACAACTGCCGAACACCGCTTTAGGGCGTTCGGAGTTCGGGTTCCGTTACATCTTATCATAGGCTAAAGTGCTGGACGACAATTGAAGACGCTGGGTTGCTCAAACAAGGCATCGGCTTCTTCAATCGGCACTTACTTCCCCGTCTGGGGAGCGTTCAGACATGTCTCGCTTGGTATGGCGCCACATGGCTTTTGTCTGCGCGTATACGCTGTCTCCGAACTCGTGTGTGGTGGTTGATAACTTGATTGAGGCTGCATGGGAGTTAGGAAATGTTTGGCTGGGGCATAGCCGTATCCGGCTGGGAGCTGCAGTCTGCAGTTGCGGCGGCTGCACGCCCTGCAACCCTATAATAAAACCTCTCCTCTCCCACCCCGCGTTCAATTGTCTTTTTTTCCCTTCTTTTTTGTTCACGTGAAGGATCCCCAGAGACTCCAGACCAAGACGAACTTCTTAATTATCAGTCTTGGCTTGGGCTTCTGGGGGGGATATCTTTCCTCGGTATTGGATGTTTAAACGACAACGGCTCCGGCAATATTGGGTCCCATGCATTTTGTGTCGTCTTGTAGATTCCTTTCTCTCTGCCGAATATCACAAATATCACATTTTCCCAAGAAATGTCGGCATTTGTTCGCATTTGTTCACGGTAACAAATCAACAATGACCCAGGGTCTTGCTTTGATATTGGATTATTAGTTCTGAGACCGCGGTTTTGGGTATCATGCAACTCTCAAATATGCTCGCAGCGCATTGTGGTATTCAATATCGTCAGAGAACGCTTGATTTTTGTTCTTTGCTGGTCATCTCCTTCGGGACTACCATACTAGACTCGTCTACGGGTATCAAAGGCCCGTAAATCCACTTTCCGTGCATCGTGTGGCGGGTGGACAGGTGGTCCTAGTGATCCTGCTCCGCAAAGGTCCGGGATACCCCTGAGACGAAACTTGGGGCATAACACCGTAATAAGATCAATTTCCCGAGCCACAAACTACCTTGTCTATATGCGCCTATGCCGTGATTGTATTATAGGGAGGGCCATCTTCTCGTTCTTGACACGGAAGGACGAGTTGTCTTGTACGTTGTTCGGAGTATCATTCCGTACGCTTTCTCTCGGCAACATACAGGCCAAGCACGAACTAGAAGAATCCAACTCAGATATGACCTCTTTTTAGAGGACGAAACTACACGACCAAGACTTCCTCGCCACCTTCTGCTGCCTGCAGGAGCAAGGGAAGCACTCGAGGACAGACGACGGCGACAAAGGTCAAGACTCAAGACTCTAGGACGGGGCTCGTCGCCCCCCCTCCATCGGCCCAACATCTGTCTAACCGTACGAATCGCTTCCCGTCGGTTCTACATGTTGTTCCTTTTTCCCAAGAGCAGCTGTCCGGATAAAATACAGAGTCCCGCATCGTCTCGGGGGGGGGGGGGGGGGCAACGAACACCACGTCACAGACCCAGTACCGAAGCGCGGAATAAGGGAGTCTAGGCTGTATTCTAGGCTGTAATAATTACTTCTTAGCTCACCCGAGCCTTACCGGCTGATCTCAAAGCTGGAGTTATGCCCCGCTTCCCAAGCGTTGGCGATGCGATCTTGGGATGTGAGGACGGGACGAGACAAGGCGGAGCTCTACATAGGCAGAGGGCCAGAGAGATGTCAGGGCCGCCATGTCGGAAGTAACAGCTCAACTCGCCACCTAGAGTATCCTTCGGGCACTCGGAATGTTTCTTTGACAACATGAATCCTTCAGTTGCCCTGAGAGAAGGGAGATCATCTAGTCCTGCTTGGAGATTGCTTTCCATGTTTTTACCCCTCCTTTCTTGCGAACATCCCGCTGAGAGACGCCTCGGCTCTATTTCTCCTTTCTCCCTTCTTTGCACTCCCTGGTGCGACGTCCAAGGTGTGTGTCTTTTGGCCTTACTGTTCTCTGCAGCAGTTGACTCTGAAGATCAAATAGAGAGGCGAGCTCGGCGATATCATGGCGGGTATGTCAAGAGTCCCCGAAGCCTCCAGGTGGGGCAGCAGAAGCTGCAAAGACAAAAGAAAGAGTCCGTGTCTGTTGCGTCAACAGAGCGGCGCAGATGTGCTCTTCTGTTCAAACATGGAACATGTCTTGAAAAACTAAAACACCACCCTGAGGGGAATCACTTCTATCCTAATGGTACATAAAAACTCCGACTCCCTTACAGGAAAAAGAAGAAAAAAATTCTATCTCAGAGTCACCAGCTCTTCAGCACTGGTAGGATGAATGGCCACACAGCTGTCAAAGTCGGCCTTGGTGGCGCCCATCTTGACGGCAACGCCAAACCCTTGCAGCATCTCCCCGCTCCCCAGGCCCATGATGTGCAGGCCGACCACCTTCTCGTCGGGCCCCTGCACGATGAGCTTGTACGAGGTGGGCGCCTTGTCGGCCGGGTCCATCATGGCGTAGTACATGGCGGTGAAGTTGGTCTTGTAGACCTTGATGTTCTCGCGGCCGTACTTCTCGACGGCCTGCGGCTCGGTGAGGCCGATGCTGCCGACCTCCGGGTGCGCGAAGACGACGGAGGGGATGTTGTCGTAGTTGAGCTTCCGGGCGGAGAACTCGGGCGGGCCGAAGAGGCGCTCGGCGAGGCGGCGGCCGGCGGCGATGGCTACGGGCGTGAGCTCGACGCGGCCGGTGACGTCGCCGAGGGCGTAGATGTGGGGGACGTTGGTGTTCTGGTAGTCGTCGACGACGACGTAGCCCTGCGCGTTGACCTCCACGCCGGCGTTTTCGAGGCCCAGGCCTTGGATGGCCGGGGTGCGGCCGATGGCCCAGATGAGGTGGTCGACGCCCGAGACGGTGGACTCGGTGCCGTCGTCGCCAGTGACGTAGGTGAGGGTCAGCGTGCCGTCGGCCGGGTCGCGCTCGACGCGGGAGAGGTTGGAGCGGCGGTGCAGGTGGACGCCGAGGCGCTCGTACTCCTTGGTGACGCCCTCCTGGATGACGGGGTCGAAGGCGCGGAGGAAGGTATCGTAGCGGATGAAGAGGTGGGTCTCGGTGCCGAGGGCGTTGAACATGCCGGCGAACTCGACGGCGATGTAGCCGGCGCCGACGACGGCGACCTTCTTCGGTCGCGTGTCGATGTCGAAGAAGCCGTCGCTGTTGATGCCGAGCTCGGCGCCGGGGATGGGCGGCGGGGCGGTGGGGTTGCCGCCGGTGGCGATGAGGATCTTGTTCGCGCGGACGAGCGCCGTGGACCCGTCGTCCAGGGCCACCTCGACCTCGTTCTGGCTCTTCAGCGTGGCCCAGCCGTGCAGGTACTCGACCTTGTCGTTGGCGAGGTTGCGTTCGTAGATGCCGTTGAGGCGCTTGATGTAGGCGTCACGCTTCGTCTTGAAGGTGGTCCAGTCGAAGGGGGCCGTCTCTTGCACGCTGAAGCCGTAGTTTTTCGCTTCGTGGATGGTTTCGGCGATGGCGGCGGCGTTGAAGGTGACCTTTTTGGGAACGCAACTGGCATTCGTCTTAGCTTTGAATCATGGGGGGGGGGGGGCGGATTAGGGGACTTACCCAACGTTCACGCAGGTTCCTCCTAGCCTCTTACTCTCGATGATGAGGGCCTTGACGCCGAATTGAGAGGCTGCCCTGCGAGCGGCGCCGAGACCACCGCTGCCACCGCCGATGACAACAAAGTCGGCCTCCTTGGTGATGGGAGCCATGGTGTAGCGCGAGGTGGAAAGATGACGCTGTACAAATGCGATGCGAAGAGGGGCTCGGGATGGTCGAGATGCGTTTGTTGATGCGCGAGCTACTGTCTGAAAGGCACGCATGGGTAGGAGGGGGGAGGGAGAAGGAGAAGGAGAGGGGTAGAGGAGAAGAGGGGAAGTGGAGGTTGAAAAGAAGAGGGGTTGATTGGTTACGGACAGGTTACAGACAATCTGTGTGTCCGTAGCCGCTGTAGGTGCAGATGAAAGCGGGATATGGTGGAGGAGAGGAGGGCGGATATGGCGTGCGTAGGCGGGGATTTACAGTTTGGACCCCGGTTGTTTTGGCCGTTCAATTCGTCGCTGATGGTCCAAGGTAGAGAAACGGAAAGAAGGTTATCAATATTGTTCAGCTGCATTTATATAGGGGGAGGATTAATTAGTGGGAGGTTGACAAATCCGAAGATCTGGGGAAGCTTGTGATGCGGCTCGCGGGGCAGACGGACAAGAAATGTTACGGGTACCGAAAATTTGACATGCTTTTAGCGTCCGACAAATCATGGTGCTTACTAAGTTGGATGTACATTGTATGTTTCGGAACTTCGCCGCGGATGTCACAGGTGGGGACTGTCGAACAGACCATACCTAGTCTTTTCGGTTACGTAATAGGCCGGATTGCCAAGAGTATAATCCGGGTGGACGCTTACAGAATCTGCACCACATAAAATACGGTGGCAGCGGTTCCCTGACGGTCCGACACAGTTACAATTGTACACAATTGCCTCAATCAATTTTGACCTATTTTGTGACGATTTCGACTACGCTTTATCTGACAGGGACGGGTATCGGGTCGGAAATCACCGGTGCTGATTCCGACTCGAAGGCTTCTGATTTTCTGGACGACGTAGCCTACCTCTATTCTGTCGTGTCACGATTGGCGTTATATAAGATGACGGCCCTCACTCGTCGTAATAGCCGTCGTACAGTCCATACTCGGCCTGCGTACTGACCCATTCCTCGTCGGCCAACCCCCTCCTCTGCCGCCGCAAAAGGTCCTGCGCATCCTTGTGCCAATCGCAGGCGAAATCGCAGTGCGGCGTGTCCGCCTCGCCAAAATAGCGACAGATCTGCGCGTGCCGGCACCGAGTCACGTCCTCGCAATACAGCGCCAGCGCCTGCAGGCTCCGGAGCTGAGCCTCGCAGCTAGCCGCCGTCCCCTCGCGGGCCGCGCCCCGCCGCACCATGCCCTGCACCCGCTGGAGGTCCTCGCGGCTGTAGTACAGGAAACAGTAGCTCGCGTGGCCGTCGCGCCCCGCCCGCCCGGCCTCCTGGTAGTACCCTTCGAACGACTTGGGCAGGCGCCAGTGCACCACGAAGCGGACGTTCTCCTTGTCGATGCCCATGCCGAACGCCGTCGTCGCCACGATGATGTCGTAGCCCGGCTCGTTGGCCACCCAGCGCGCCAGCGTCTGCTCTTTCGCCTCCTTGGACAGCTTGGCGTGGAAGGGCCGCGCGCCGATGCCTTCCTGCGCGAGCTGGTGCGCCAGCGACTCGCACTCGTCCCGCGAGATGGTGTAGATGATGCCCGGGACGTTGTCGGGCCGCTCGCCCTGGGCCGCGAGCTCCGTCTTGCGCGGTCCTGCCGTGCGCCTCGCGTGGACGCCGCGGATCCAGGCTAAGAAATCCGAGAGCCGGCTGTCTTCCTGGTCCTTGGTGTACCGGATTTCGAGGTGCAGATTGGGCCGGTGCGCCGTCATGACGAAGCTCCGCAGCCGTTCGGGCGTGGCGGAGAGCCCGAGGGTGGACAGGATGTCGTCCCGCACGAGCGGGTTCGCCGTGGCTGTTAGGCACATGATGGGCACGTCGGGGAATGTCTCGCGGAACCAGGATAGCCGCTTGAAGTCCTTGCGGAAGTCGTGGCCCCATTCCGAAATGCAGTGGGCCTCGTCGATGGCCACCCGGGTCAGCTCGCATTGATCGTAGACCAATTTCAGCCTGTTGCGGAATCCGTCGAGGGAGCAGAGCTCGGGGGTCACGTAGAGGAGCCTCGTGCGGGGATGGCCTGTGGCTAGGTCCTTGTTGATGCGATCCCTCTCCTGCGGTAGGGTGTTGCTGTTGAGGGAACTGGCGTCGATGCCGGCGGCTCGGAGCTGTTCCACCTGGTTCATCTATCGGGTTGTCAGCAATTGTGATTTCTCGGACTTTATCACGCCCCCTTTTCTTGTTTCCGTTTTCATTTCAGAAAAATCGAAGCAGAAGAGGAGAATGAAGAGGAGAATGAGTCGCTGACCGACATACCATAAGACTGAGAAGCGGTGACACGACAATGGTAACTGTGTGTCCAGTTTCGGTCAGCGAGCACTGGTTTCCATAACATGCATACTATTTTCAATTCACGTACTGCCATGGTCAATGCAAGCTGGAAGCTGGAAGCAAAGGCTCTTGCCAAAGGACGTTGCTGCTTGCACGAAGACATCCTTACCATCGAGGGCAGCCGTAATGATCTCCCTCTGTTGTGGTCTTGGACCGACAGGCTACTGTCAGTATTTGGTTCATTGTCGGGAGGCCAGCTGTCCGAAGGGAGAGAGGTTGAGGAACGGGAGGTCGGAGAGGGAAGGGAACCATGTCAACTTGACTCACCTAAATTCACGCTTATTAAACTGGCGGCGTAGTGTGTAGTCGATATCCACACACGAGTTGCTTCGACTGAGGGGAGGCATGGCGCCGAGTCCGAGAGTGACGCGCCCTGGCCACAACCTCTTGCTACCGTAACCTACCCCCAGGGTTCTCACTCAGCCCGTTGACGGCAGGTGGTCAAAGAACCACCACGACTCTGCGTCACGTCAGCTGTCGATAGCGGCGGCGGTCAGATCACATCGAGCCACAACACGAGCATTCATTGTACGACTCGCAGGTCAACTTTTCTGCCTAAATTGATTCATTCGAGGGTTGCGTGTCCGAACGGAAGCTGGGTTGTCTCGAGGTTGGCGGTGGTCCAAACCCGGTCTGCGCTGGTCTGCATGGGACCCCTCGAAAGAGATGATCGCTGCTCGCTGAGGGGCTCTGTATGGAATATTCCCTTCGTACTTGGTGGGCTGAGAGGGTGAGGGCAGACCCGGCGGTTTCCAAGCAGCAAAAAAAGAAAGAAAAAACCCCCCCCTTGACTGACGCGTGTAGCTGATGGAGACTCGTCGATCTCGGAGTGTTTCGTTGTTTCGTTTCCTTGTTTTCTTTTCTTCTCTTCCCCTTCTCTTGATTCGTTGTTTGAGGTCTGGATAAATAGAAGGACGGCCAGGGGGAGGCTCAAGACGAACGTCCTTGGGCTGTGACACGGGCGTACTTTGACCATCCGAGCGTGTTTTGCCCCCTGGCTTTCCAGAAGTTCTAGGGCCGTCAGCGTGCCTGTGCCTTCCAAACTGTACTTGTGTCAGGGATGCGTCCAGGTCCACAACACAGTGTGCTGCAGTATTACAACGGACCTGGTATGGGTGCGGATACTGTACGAGGTACCTAGGCCACACTGAGTAGCACGAAGTACCATGCAGTGTCGCGGTACCTGCCGTCCGTATTACCAGCCTCGGCTCCTCTGTCCTGCCTACCTTACCTTAGACCTGCCTGTGTCAGGGCTTAGAGGGGTATCGTTTTACGAGTGCTCGTAGCAATGGTCTGGATTGCTGTCAGCCCGTTTCTTTGTACTTTGTACCGTATGAAGAGGAGGTTGGAAAAGGAGCTGTACGGAGTACGTACCTCGCCTGCCTTTGCGGATACACGTGTACCTTACAGCTGAGCTAGTCCAGATACGTACTAAGTTCTGCTAAAATAACCCCGCCCCCATTTAAAATACGCCGTTGGTTACCACACAATGGGTACGAAGATGCCCGTTCTTCCCGTTCTTTCCTTCCAACGAGAGGCGTGCCGTTAAGCTTTATGGGGGTGCACATACACTAGGTACCCAGAGCAGCCAGTCTCGACCCTCCCCCTCATCCTATCGTCCCCATAGGCCCAATAAGCAGACCGGGACCCACATCAGCATCACACTATTCGTAAAAACCCCCCGAACCCAAAAAGCCCTCCGCCGTTCGCACTGGGCCACGAGAAAGCGAGGAAGCGACGCCGCACTCGCGTTGGTTTCACACCTCTGACCTTTACCTCTGACCTGACCTTCCCGCAGACGACGAACATTGCTATTCCCCTTGGTGCATCGGCACTTGGGTAGACGACCAATTCATTCTCTTCCGCCTTCGTACTATTTTCGACTCTTCAACTCTCTCTCCCGCCGAAAAAAAGCTACACCACATGATGACCTTGCGCGTCCCAGAGTCACGCTTCAATCCCACCTCAGCCTAAAGTCAGGCTCGACAAAACACGCCCCTCGTCATCTATTTGTATTGGACAAACGGCAGAACTTTGTTCCAGACGGACATCATCGAGCACGTCGTATCGCTTCGCCTCCTTATTCTCGTCCGGATATCCCCGCTCTTCAACACGCATCAAACGCGGTCTGCGGTCTGCGGTCTGCGGTCTGCGGCCTGAGGTCCGCGGTCGTCCACCGACGCCTCCATCGACATTTGACCCTTCTGTTGCTCTCGTCTCCTCGTCTTCTTTCATCTCATCATGGCGACGACCGCCATGGATAGGTTAGACCGGTTAGACCGGCCCAACGGCCCTTCGCAACACCCCAACAGTCGCGGCCTGCCCGACAATCCGGCACAGGGCGTTCGACGTCAACTCCAGATTCAGGCTGCCACCTCCCTCGCCAACGTCAATGCAGGACCGCCTCCCCCGATCCCGCCGCTCCCCAGCCTTCGAAGCGCCTCTTCCAATGCCACCTTGTCCGCCCACCAGCCTTTGTCCTCGTCCCAGGTCATTGCCCTGGCCCGAGATGCCATGAAGTGTGCGCTCGAGGAGAACGAAACCCAGGCCGCCGAAGCCAGTGCCGTCAGTACAGATTTGAAGCCAGGCGTCACCATCGACCTGAGTAGGAAAGGGATCCAGAGACTCCCAGAGGAGGTGGTCGATATCATCCAGAACGAATTGGAACGGTCCGTTGCCTTTCATCTCCCATTCTTCTGCCTGTCTCCCACTGACAGTGCTTTTCTTGACAGCCTTGCTTTGTCACATAACCAAATCTCCTCCTTTCCGATGCGATTTGCCGAGTGTACTTCTCTTCGATATCTCAACGTTAGAAACAATCAGTTCCGGGAGTTCCCTCTCGCCGTACGTGCATCACTTCGCGACCCACCTCGTCCATCATTCCTCACCCTCACTCTCTTGTGTAATTTTTCCTCTAACATCTCCCCGACCAGCTGTGCGATTTGAAATCCCTCGAGATCCTCGACCTAAGCAAGAATAAGCTACGCGTTCTCCCCCCCGATATCGTGAGGCTGGCGTCCTTGAAAGTTTTCTCGGTCCAAAAGAACAGGATTGAAGAGCTGCCACTCGCCCTCGCCGATATGGTATCCTTGCAAGTCCTCAAATTTGACGGGAACCCTCTCGTCTTTCCACCCCGCGAGGTGCTGCAGGTCCAGGCTGGCAGCCCGCCCAATGATGAGATCATGCCGAAGGAGAGCGAGACCGAAGTTGCCGTGACGGCTCAGATCAAACGGTTCCTGAGACAGAAGGTCATGGCGGGTAGAGCGGAATCGGAGAGCGCCGACGAAATGAGCGAGACCATGGAGACGCCTCGCATGGCCCCCGTCAAGCGCATGACGAGCGGCCGCTTTCCCATCAAGGTCAACGGCGCCGAAGTCCCCGACATTCGCTCCCCGGCTACCGGCCGAGCCCCGTCCATCCCTTCTCGATCGCACTACCGAGGCCTCTCTCAACAGAGCTCGACCGGTCGGCGCCCCGGCGTGATGCCTCTGACCATCGGCAACGTGAATGAACGCGTCAGAAGCAACTCGGAGACGCTTCTCCAGGCAACGCGCGGCGAACGTTCCGAATCCCGAGCTCGCCGGATGGGCGCCGTTTCCCAAAAGACGCCGCAACTCGGGACCCTTGACGAGACGCAGGCGAACGTCCGTTTCAGCCACTATCGCGGACTTAGCCATGGCTCCGCCATGACTGGTTCTCCCATACACATGGCGAACATGGCCTTCAAGAGCCCCGTCAGCCCCGCCGACCCCTATTCGCAGCGTCCGGTCTACGTACGCCGCTTGTCGATCCTACCCGAGAGGCGGCGCGAATCCAAGGCGTTCAACCCCGTCCTCGAGGCGGCCAAGGGAATTCTCTATGCGGTTTTCCAGATCCACCCCATGATCCAGATGCTGATGGGCCTCACCGGCGACGGCTCGGCCAAGCGATCGAGCCTGGAAATGATCTTCTACAACACCAACTCCCACGTGGAGGAGCTGGAGCAAGAGATACAGAGGCACGATCCGTCCGTTGCCGGCGACCACGTCTCCGGGCACGACCCCAGTCACAACACGGAGAACGTGAGGCGCGCGTGTCAGACGCTCGTCAGCGCCTACATTCATATCTGCACGCTCCTTACGAACAACGTCGACTCGTTCATCGATAACGGCGAGCCGCGGTACATCCGCACTCTCCTGGTGCTCATCTTCAACAGCATCATGGAGATTAGAGCTACCCTTTTGGCGATGCCCCCGGAGGAGGACCAGTCTCGGCCTCAGCCTCAGCCTCAGCCTCAGTCTCAGTCTCACTCGTCAGGGCCCAGCCAGGCCGGTATCAACGATACCATCAGACCTTATCCCCGCAGCCATTCCAACTCGGTCACCCTAACGGCCGAGGCTGACATGAATGGGCCAACTCCGCGCGTGCGAGGCCCTGGATATCTGCACAACCATAACCCGGGGAACCTGAGAGTCGCGACCGACGTAACCATCCCGTACATCAACACCAATGGCGGCGAGAGTCGGACGGCTACCATCACGTCGGCCACCCCTCGCTCGGGCGAGTCTTTCGTGTCCAGTGCGTCGGCCGGCCGAGGCGGCATGCTTTCCGATTTCACCGAGGACGACCGGTCCTTCGAGAAGATATTCTTGGTCCTCCAGCGGTCCTCGGACCTGGTGATGCGGGTGCTGCCCTTGTTCCAGAGCCAGCTGGCCAACGGGGCCCGAACGGCGGCGGGGCAGCGCGCGCCGGAAGACGAAATCCATTGCTGGAAGGGCCTGATTGCCAAGTGCGGGAGGACGGTGCACCAGGCGGAGCTCCTGAAGAACCGCATGTCGGTCATCAAGCTGAAGGAGCCGGGGATCATGAGCCAGTCGTCCTTCCGGGGCCGCATCCGGAACTTTGTCAACGCGTGGGCCGAGTTCGCGACGCAGATCAAGGGGGCCAGCTCGGAGGTGTTACTGCCGCTGGACACCAGGGCCAGGCTCCGGCCCATCCACCAGCTCATGAAGGAGACGCGGGACACGATCCTGCAGTCGCCTTGGGACTCGATCCTGTCGTCGAACCCGGGCGGCGGCGGCTGGCATTCGTCGAGCTCGAGCACCAACACGTTCAGCCCGAACGGCGGGCAGCAGCCGCATCATGGAATGTCGATGCAGATGCAGATGCAGATGCCAATGCAGATGCCCATGACGCCGCAGAGCGCGGCGCTGGGCCCGGCGGTGCAGGCCACGGTGCCGTCGACCCCGCAGAGCGCGTCCTTTGCGGCGGCGTTTTCGGGTAATGTTTTCGAGCGGGCGGACGCGTTGATCTCCATGGGCGGCCTCTCCATGTCGCAGACCAATACCATGGCCACTACCGGCGGCGGCGGCGCGCCGAGCTTTTCGTCGACGTCGAGCTTTTCGTCGGACGGGATGATGACGCCGTCGTCGTCGTCGGTGGCGAGTCCGAGCGGCGGGGTCGGGGTCGGGTCGGGCCACCACTCCCACTCTCGCCTTCATGGCAGCAAGGCGGCCTTTTAGAGGAAGGGCTGTGGGCGTGTTCTTTTCCGTGTCGTCGAGTTTGTTTTCTCGTATGTTCCAACCCATGACTGATTCGCGGCGCTTTTCCCCCCATGCATACATACACTGGGTGTCGTGTCACCTGTATACTTTGATTCTGCTTCTCAATTCCTTGGTGCGTCGGCCATCCTCTGTCTTTTTTGTCTTTCGTTCTCTTTCGCATAGCATGCTTCAGCGGCGGGTTTTCCATGGCGCAGTCTGACTATGATTATTTTCGACGGGATAAACAAAGACTTTCTTCTTCTGCTTTCTTTCTTTCTTTTTTTCTTTCTTTTTTCTTTCTTCATCGGCGTGGCGGAGCTGGTCGAATTTCTTACAAAGAAGAGCTGCTGTCTCGGATGATGGACGGCGATGGACGGCGATGGACGGGCGATGGAGAAGAAAGACATCTTGGAGTGGACCGAGTGGTACGGAAGATCCTGGGGCGTTCTTGAGGCTTGATGCTTTTTTTAGACATATTCCACTGTATAGTAGGGCAACTTCTTGGGCGTGCCATAATGTCAGTTATTACCTCTTATGAGCTTTGTTGTTTCGCAGTGTCGGGACATGAGACATTTAAAGTCCAACCTCGTGCGACGCTCCGGAATGGTCCCCCGGTTCCGACTCCGAGAGTGGGGCTTCCGGCCTCTCCACGGGGCCCGGGCCGGGGCCGGGCCGCACTACCACGAGTTACCACTATCGTCATTCTAGTGAGAGCCAAAGATGGTACGAAGGAGTTGCCGTTGAGAATGATATGAAAAAAGGAAATAGGGGTTCAGCCGCAACGTAAAAGGGCGTTGAGAAGCTGACTGAGTAATGTTAGGTCTTCCCTCTCAGCACGAATCTACTGCTGGAGCTCAATGACAAGATCTAAGAGTATGGTTCTGCATCCGACGGGATGATGAAGTGCCATGGGATGCGACAAGAGGACCAACTCTCTGAAGAAGTGTGGGAAGTGGGAAGTGCTCGCTGTTCTGGTACGGCAACAAGGTGCGTGCTTCAATGGAATACACTTGCCATTTTCCGCTGAATTTGATGCAGTGAGAAGGATCAGCTGGGAATGGCAGCACAGGACTTGTTGTCTTTTTTTGGGAACCCTTCCCGGAGTACGGATACAATACCGCGGTTGTCCGCTTACTACGGAGAGAGAGGAATGACAATGCAGGACGAGATACTGTTTGTTTTATTTGCATCTTTTGACCAAAAAGTTGTTGATGGATTTGGGAAACGTGGTGTTTCTTTTTTTTTTTTTGTCTTTCCGAGTCACGGCTCAAATTCCGGCAGAAGGACGCCGGACAGGATGTCGGACGTCCGGGTGCTCGGACGGAGACGTCTCCGGGAATCCCCACCTGACGCAGCTGAAGGCCGGATTCCCATCCGGCTCTTGTCTTTGTAAGAGTGCACTGCACGTGCGTAGAAGAAAGAGCTGCCAAGTAAACAGCAAGCTGAGTGTGGTGCCAAAAGACCTAGAGGCATCCCAGGGGGTCGGACTCGAATTCATCCGCTTACATGTGACCTGTCGAAGCTCGGGATTCTTCGCCTTGGCTGAGACATCGGAGGGGCGTCGTCACCATGGCCCATGGGGCGGTAATATCTATCGGAGCTACCCGGAACGTAACCTGCATGTGGAAACCTAAACAGGAAATACGCGCAGCGAATCTCAGTACCATCAGGGATCCAGGGCCCAGGCTGCCAGGCAGCAGCATAATGCATCTAACATCTTAAGAACTCACAAGGGCCAGGTCCAGTAAGTTGTGAGTTGTGACCCGACTCGTCGACAAGGCAACACACTTCGAGGACTTCAGAAGAGAACGACAAGCAAATCGAACATTGAAGCCAACGGATCACGATTCACGGCATGGCATCACAGAAAACGCACTTCCTATCAGGGAAGCGAATCATCATCGCCGGCGCCGGCATGGCCGGGCTATCCTTCGCCATCGCCCTCACCCGCCAATGGGACCCGGAGATCACACCCCCCGAAATCACCATCTACGACCGCGACTCGCAGCAAGCGAGCATCCGCCGCGACGGCTTCAGCCTCTCCCTGGCCGGCCACGACGACACGGGGGGTCTCTACGCATTGCGCCAGCTCGGACTCCTCGACGCGACGCTGCGCCACGCCCTCCTCGGCCTCGAAGGGACGCCGGGCTGCTTCAAGCTCTGGGCCGGCGACTTCCGCGAACTGCTCAGCGTGCGGTACAAACCCGCCGCAGGCCTCCCGACCGCGGGGATCCGCATCGCGCGGAGGGATCTGCGGCGGGTCCTCCTCGACGCCGTGGAAGCGGCGGGCGGGAAATTCGAGATTATCTGGGGCGCCGCGTGCGTCGGGGCGCGGAACCTGGATGACGGCAGGGTGGAGGTGCGGCTGAGACGAGGGACTACGACCGAGCAAGAAGAAGAAGAAGTGGTTGCGTGCGACTTGGTCGTGGCGGCGGACGGCGCGAGCAGCAAGCTGAGGAGTTGTCTCCGGCCCGACGACGCCGCTTTACGCTATGCCGGGGCCGTCCAGTTCGGAGGAAGCGCGACGTTCGCTGATGGCGAGGCGATCCCTTCGCCGGTGGGCGACAACTGGGGGATGCTGGTGTCTTTTCGCGGGGTGGCTTGCTTTCTGTCGCCCGTGGACCGGCACAGCGTCGTGTGGGCGCTCAGCCGGTCGGAGGAGCGAGAGCGACCTCCCCTCGACCGGAACGACCCGGACCACGCCCGAAAGATCGTGCAGGAGGCGTTGGACCTGGGCAGCGTCTTTGGGGAGCCGTTCCAGACGATCGTCAACAAGACGGATCCGGCGACGGTGTTTTCCCTGCCGGCTCGAGACAAGGAGCCATTCCGCCATGATGTTGCGCGACTCGGACGGGTCGTGTTCATCGGGGATAGTAACCACGCCGCCAGCCCTTTTGCGGGGTACGGTGCCAGCTTGGCCTTGAAGGATGGGGTCGACCTCGCCATGCAAATCTGTGCGGCCAAGGGGGAGGAGAGGGAGGATGGTGCTGGTGCTGGTGCATGTGGCTTGGAGAGGGCGGTCGCGGCGTATGATGCGGTCAGTGTGCCGAGAGCGCTCAAGGTCCTTGGGGAGTCGCATTGGAGAATCAAGACCAGTCACAGCACGGGAATCCTTGCTCTGTTGTTCCGATGCTCCATTGCGGTTGGAGGGTTCATGTTGTGGTTGACGGGGCAGAGCTGAACTGAAGGACTCTGAAATTAGGGAAAGCAGTTGGTGTAAGATAGGTAGCCATGATCATGCCATCCCGGCCTGAGAACCACTTCACTTCACTCTATTTAATGAAAACAATGACTATCGCAGACTTTCAGACCTGCCATGGCCGTCGGCGGGCCATGAGTTGTTCATGGATTGTCTTTTGCACGGTTCCCTTCACTGGACATTTTTTTGTTCTTTTTTTTTTTCTTTTTCTCTTTTTTTCTTGGACCAGGGTCAGGGGAAACAGAACCACTTATTACCTGCTCGCCGGGGAACTTTCCGGGCCATCCTCATTAGCAGATGTCTTGGACAGAACACTTGGTATGGCCACGGGGCCGGGGGCTGACCAGCGGTGAGAAACCACGGCAATCTTGCCGGCTAAAACTGAAGCTTACAACCTACGTGTGTGTAGATCTTTCGTGGCCCCCCAGCTTTGCTCCCTATGTTTGTTCATTTTACTTGAACCCCCATACCTGAAGCACCCTTGATAGGTCCTTGGCCTCCAGTCGTATGGGTCTCTTATTCCACTCTTAGTGGACTATGGAGGATGTGTGCGTGGGTGTGCGTATGCGTATGCGTATGCGTGTGCGTGAGAGGGTGAATTGTGATAGAAAAACGAGATTCCACCACATGGGGCCAACAGGCTGGACGCACTTCCAGAAAGAGCACGAACACAGGAGAGGGTTTTAAGACGGGGTGGTCGAGGAGTATAGAGACGACTCGAAAAGCCGAATCCTCAACCCAAGCGGGAACGAACGATATTTTCTTCCTTGACATCATAATCGACGCCCATCATGACGAGTGATCCGTCCAAGGAGACCAAGGACGAGACGGTCAGTGCCCCGCCGCCGGCCGACCAAGCACACGTACGAAAGACGACGACGACGACGACGACAATAACAACGACGCCAACCAAGCCCGACATGGCATCTCCCGAGTCGACAGAAAGTGGAGGAGACGGCCATGATGGAGGCTTGCACGCACCGTCGCACTGGGCAGCTGCAGCAGCTGCAGCAGAAGCAGCAGAAGTACGTCGGCTCTAAAGGAAAAAAAAAAAAAAAAAGGAAGGAAGGATGCTGGTTTGTCTTTGTCTTGTTGCTTTTTATTCTCCCATCAATAGCCCCAGTTCAGACTATACGCATACCCAGTATGTGAAGCACCAAACAGGGCATATCGCCGAAAGAAAAAAAGGAAAAAAAAAAGGAGAGGTTCTAACACGACCCAGACAGCCGACGCCGACGCCGACGCCAACGACTCCGGCCTCGACTCCGCCTCCACCACAACCTCCAGCGCCTCCATCAGCTCCAGCATCCTCGAATACCGCATCATCCACGGCCGCACCTACCACGCCGACCGCGGCGGCGCCCAATACTGGGCCAGCAACGACGACCAGGCCAACGAGACCCTGGACCTGATCCACCACGCCTCGACCCTCAGCCTCGGCGACAAGCTCCACCTCGCGCCCCTCGACAGGCCGAGGACCCGGCGCGTCCTCGATCTCGGCACGGGGACCGGCATCTGGGCCGTGGATTTCGCCGACGAGTTCCCCGCCGCCGAGGTCACGGGGACCGACATCTCCCCGATCCAGCCGTCGTGGGTGCCGCCGAACCTCAAGTTCGAGATGGAGGATTTCACCCAGGCCTGGACGTTCCGGGAGGACGAGTTTGATTACGTCCACATGCGGTATCTGTATGGGAGCGTGACGGATTGGGCGGGCTTGTTCCGCCAGGCGTATCGTGCCTGTGCGCCTGGCGGCTGGGTCGAGAGTTATGAAGGGTCGCCGACGCTGCTGAGCGACGATGGGACGTTGGAGGAGGGCAGCGCCATGGCGGAGTGGGGGAAGTTCTTCTACGAGGGGGCCAGGAAGTTGGGCCGCGTCTTCTCGCCCCTGCCGGACCATTTGCAGGAGAGGTATATGGAGGAGGCTGGCTTTGTGGACGTGCAGGTGTCGACGATGAAGGTCCCCGTCGGCGACTGGGCGAAGAACCCCCGGTTGAAGGAGATTGGGAGGTTCATTCAGCTGTCGGTCGAGACGGACTTGGAGGGGATCGTGCAGTTCATGGCTGGGTTGCTGGAGGGGTGGTCTCCGGAGGATATCATGCTTTACGGTGCGCAGTTGCGCCGCGAGTTTCGCGCCAAGAAGACGCATGCGTACTATCTCCAGCGTGTTGTCTGGGCTCAGAAGCCAGAGACTGCTTCGAAGAGTTGAGGGAGATGGGATGATGAGAATGTGCGTGCAATCGCATCTATTTTCGGCTCAAGCTCCTTGCAACAAGCGGTCCAGCCCTGATTCATCTATACCAGCCAAAACAAGAAAAGAAAACGGGAATCTCATCCATTCGTCACTCATTATATTCTCCCGGCATCGCTTCACATGACATGACCCCTTTTTGTTTTTGATATCCTCATCCCATTTGCCGCCTCGTCCTTGCCTCCTTACGAAAGCCCCTGCACCAGCTTCTGCACCAGAGCCCGCGTCTCAGGCTCCAGCTGCTCCTCAGGCGGGCTGAGGACTTTGTGCAGGATGGGGAGAACCCGCGGTGTCAGAGCCTGGACAGCAGGGTTTTGCTGGTCGTCTACAGTAATCAAGTCAGCGACGGATTGGAGGAATTGACAAAGAGAGAAGAAGGAAAAATGAATTCCGTGAAACGTACAGAGCTTGAAGATGCACCGGTAGATGGGCTCGTTCTCCTCAAAGTCCTCGCTCAGGGGCAGCACATCCAGCACGGCGGGCAACACCTTCTCCACCAGAGCGGGATCAGGGTTGACGTCGATCATGCGGCAGATGCAGCCCGAGACGTTATCGACCAGACGCGCCTCCCGGATCTGCAGCAGCGGCTCGAGCTTGTGCAGAATATCGGTATACCGGGGGAAAGTGGCGTTGGTGTCGGCCGAGTGGAAGATGAGCTGGCCGATGGCGTAGGCGGCGTTGGACCGCGCGAGCGTGTCCTCGTCCGAGAGGCGGTGGAAGAGGACGGGGAGGAGGGAGCCGGTGAAGGGGGTGACGGCGTTGGCCATGAACTTGATCGACTCGGCGATGACGCCCACGGCGGTCGACCGCTCGAGGCCCTCCTGCGAGCTGGCGAACTTGAGCACGGGCTTCTCGAACACCTTCCACAGCTCGGCAAAATCGGGGCCGAGCGCGGTGGCGAGGCCGAGGATGACGTCTAGGGCCGTGTCGATGACGAGCCAGTCGAATTCCGAGGAACCGCCCTCGGCGTCCTGCTCCTCCTCCTCGTCGCCCAGATCCTGCTGGCAAGGGTGCGACCGGGTGATGATAGTGCCCAGCACGGTCACGGCCTGCTTGAGCATATCCTCTTGGGTGAGGATCGCGGGACCGCAGGCCTTGAGAGTGGCACCGACATTACGGTTGATCTCGGTGATGACGTCCCTAGGTTGAAGTCAGCAACGCTGGCCATTGTCGTGGAGCAAAATGTCGAAAAAAGAGAAGAAAAAAAAAGAGGCCTCAAGATCAGAACTGATAGATACGTGTTCTCAGCACCCGCACTTTGTGCGTCTGAGTGAGCTGGGTATAACGCGAGTTATTCATCATTTGGGAGGGCGTCACCAAAAAAAAGGAAAAAAAAAAGACGAGACGAGACAAAAAAACATAGACATACCGCTCGTTATCATCAGCCCAGAGCATCAAGGTGGCCTTGGCGACCATGCTGCCCAGAGCAGTGAGGGTGGCATCCGGCTGGTGCTTGAGAGGAATGCCGGCCTGCCACTTCTGACCCGTCTGCTCCTCCATCAGCTGCCAAACACGGGCGTAGGACCGCCAGAGGGTAGCCAGGGCGGCCTTGCGGCTGCCGTCGTAGGCGCTCTCGACGTGCGGCAGGATCTTCTCCATGGCGGGCTCGAGGTACTCCTTGATGGCGGCGGCGTCGCACGAGTGGGTGACGAGGTCGCCGACCACCTCGAGGGCAATCTCCTGCTCCATGTCGACGGCGGTGACGCCGGCGAGGTCGTCGATCCAGTCGTCGTCGTCGTCGTCGTCGCCGTCGCCGCCGCCGCCGCCGCCCATGGCGATGACCTGGTCGACCTCGTCCTCGGCGGGCTTGACCTTGATGCGGCGGCCGCCGATGGTGACGACGCCGTCGGGCGCGTCCTCCGGGCTGAGGCCGGGGATGGAGAGCTCCTCGTCCTCGGCGTCGAGGCACTCGAAGAGGCCCTTGAAGACGCCGGGGAGGAAGTGGGAGAAGTGCAGGCCGTAGACCTTGGAGAGGGAGGCCCAGAGGATGAAGCTGGTCTCCTTGAGGCGCGCGCTGTCGAGGGACAGGGCCTCCTCGCTGGCCTTCATCAGGTCGACGACGTAGGGCTGGAAGGCCTCGGGGCCGACGGCGCCGGCGATGCGGCCCATGGCGTCGCAGACGGACGAGCGCAGGGCGAGGGTGTCGTCGTCGCCCGTGACGGTGACGTAATTCCCGAGGGCGGCCATGACCTCCTCAAAGTAGGGCTTGAAGTCGTCGCCGCCCATGGAGAAGGCGATGGCGCCGATGGCCCCGGCGGCGGCGGCCTTGATGCCGTGGTCGTCGTGGTTGAGCAGCTTGCCCATGGGGACGATCAGCTTGGGGCCGAAGGTCTTCATGACGTCGGGCTCGAGGCCGTCGCCGACGAGGAGGGAGTCGAGGGCGCTGCAGACGGAGCGGATGACGCCGACGGCCTTCTTGGAACCGTCCTGGGTGGCGGCCTCGAGGTTCCGGAGCAGGGCGGCGATGAGGTCCTCGTGCTGCGGGGCCAGCTCGTCGGCCATCTCGTCGGCGATGTGGATGAGGCCGATGAGGGCGGCGTAACGGACGTTGTCGTCCCGGTCGTTGAGCAGCTCGACGATGACGGGCAGCAGGGACTTGAGCTGGGTGGCGATGAAGTCCGGGGCGCCCTCGGCCGAGGTGCCGAGGGCGAGGATGGCGGCCTTGCGGAAGCCCGGGTCGGGGTGACGGGCGAACTGGGCGAAGTGGTCGAGCAAGGGGACGATGACCTGGCGCGGGGGCAGGTCGCTGGCCAGCTGGTCGATGAGAGAGAGGGCGGTCTTGGCCGGGGAGGTGTCGTCCGGGTCGGCCTCGTCCTCGACCTCGGTGAGGATGTGCATGCTCTTGACCATGAGCTGGGCGCCCATGTCCTTCATGGACTGGATCTTCATGCGGCGGTAGCGGGCGCACTGGGCGAGGAAGGAGAGGGCCTGGGAGCGGGCCTCGTCGTCGACCTGCTTGTTGGAGGCCAGGTCGATGAAGAACTGGATGAGGTCCTTGAGGTGGTGGGCCAGGAAGGCCGGGTCGTAGGCGAGGAAGTTTTGGAGAATCTCGAAGATGGGCTTGTACTGCTCGTCGTCCTCGGCCTCGATGGCGGCCTTGAGGATCTCGACGATGGGCTGGACGAAGGACTGCACCGAGGCGAGGCTCTCCTGGTCGTCTTCCGGGTCGACCAGCATGAGGATGGAGCCGATGGCCTTGACGGAGTTGAGGCGGACGTGGCTGCTGGTGGGGTCCTGGATGGTGGCCTTGAGGACGTTGAGCAGCTGGGGCACCTGCTCGTGGAAGTGGGTGGGGTCCTCCTCGAGGACGGCGTAGAGGGTGTAGGAGCCGACCTCGCGGGCGGCCTGGTTGTCCTGGCTCACGAGGGCGAGCAGGCTGGAGACGGAGGCGGAGCCGGAACCGGAGCCTGGGCCGGACTCGGACTCCTTCTCCAGGTCGGTGCTGATGGCGCGGGCGAGCAGACGGCACTTGGCATGGCGGCCGGCGGCGGACTGCTCGCCGACGGCGCTCTCGAGGAGGTGGTTCCGGGCGGCATCGCGCTGGTCGGCGGGCAGGGTCAGCCAGTGTTTGGGGACCAGGCGCTGGGCCTGGACGGAGGCGAGCTGGCGGATGGCCGGGTCATTATGGGAGACGGCGATCTCTGTGAGGAGGAGGAGCGACTGGGGTTGGGAGTAGTAGTTTTTTTGGAGCTCGGCGGTGACGGCCTTGACCTTTTCGGTGTCGGCTGAAATGGAGTTGTCAGTATAACGGGTTGAATGGTAGAATGACGGAGTCAGAAGAGGATGAGAAATAGGAAATATGAGAGGAGTCGAGAAAAAAGGGAAATTAGAAGAGGGCGAGAGAGGGGGAGAAAAAAAAGAAGAAGAAAAAAAGAAGAAGAAAATCAGGAGGCTGGACGAGACGAAACGGAGGACGGGACCACAAGCAGGGGTCCCATCCGAGGCTTGTCTGAATATGCGACCCGATCCATGTCTCTCCTTTCATTTCTTTTTTCTTTTCTTTTTCTCGTCTCCATCCCCTGTCTCTCTCGCTCACTCCCTCTCCCTCTCCCTCCGCCTCGTCTTCCTCGATCCCTGGACCCTCATCAGTGCGCTGGGGTGTCCGGGGTGGCACGTACGAATTTGGCTCGCCTGAAGGAGCTGGGCCAACTGCTCCTTGTCCATGGTGGGCGACGGGGCAGCGGCAGATGGATGAGGAAATGGCTGAAAAGGGAAAAAAGGCAATAAAAATGATGCTGTGAAAAAGAGAAGAACAAAAAAGTAGGAGAGGGGGAGAAGGAGAAACGCGTGGTTAGGGGGGAATAGGCACGTGAATTTATTGCCCGGTGGGTTGGGCAGAAGGGGGGTTTTTTTTTTCCTTCTTTTTTTTTTTTTTTTTTGCCTTTACTTTACTTTTTGGTGGTATTTTTCTTCCCCTCGTCACCCGTCACTGGGATGGATGCCCAATAGCACGGAGCGTCCAAGGTACGTACACTAGGCTGAAGGCAAATGGGAAAGGCGGTCAAGAAAAACAACTGGCGGGGTAGGTAGGAAATTATGAAGGTACGGTACCACCGGAAAATCGGAAAATACGTGTACCACAGAAAAATGAAAATTTCGCGATAACCTCCTCCCCTTCCCCTGAGGAAGTTGCCCCGCACGGGACACAGCTACCCTGAAATTGATAAGATAAGACTACATGTAGGGTTTTGATTAGGTTCCACACAGTTACTAAACCCTAAACCCACACTGGACTGCGCCCTGGAAACCCTCCCCGCCTCCCCACCCGCCAACCCATTTCAACTTCGCAGCATCATCACCCACGAGTAAACCTATCTCCAGTCTCGTTCTCTCCAGTCTCGTTCATCAACAAGTCGATTCTCCTCTACTCCTGCCAAATTGGCCTTGACCTGGCCCCTTTTCTGTGAGCCGAACGCCATAGACATCGGAGACTCGTTTGACTCTTCGTGTCACCAACTCTCCCAACCGTCAGCCGTCAGCCGTCAGCGTCCGTTATACCCCGTTGTCGTTCATCGCCCGTACCTTCGTCGAACAACACTTTATCTTATTCGAGCCGAGTCCCTGTGGCAGACCCAAAAAAGAAAAGAAAAGAAAAAGAAAAGAAACAAGAACCATCTCCCCCACGCCTCCTGTCCTTTACCGCCTCGCTTCCTCTCCCTTGTCATGACGCCTTACGCCTTACATAAATTACATTTCCTACACCAGAATACTACCATGTGCGTCTACAGCCTACAAGGATGTGCTTCCCGCAGGTTTGGCGTTGGCCTCACGCCTTTTGTCCAATCAACCTCAATTTGACCCGTTTCTGCCCATCGAAATACCGTCCAACTCTTTCCCAACTATCTGGTCTCCTGTCTCCTGTCTCCTGGTATTCCTATTCCCTTGCTCATTACCCGTTGACTCACTGTCCGTCAAGATGGCTCTCCTATTTCTTCTTCCCCCTCTCCTCGTGCTCCTCGAGTCCTCACATCCCAGCATCCCATGCTCGGCCAGCTGGCTCCATCGTAACCGCCACTAAAAGTGAGGACTCATTCCCACAACAAAAGCCACCAGCGTCTTACTTGCCCCCCTTGCCCTTCATCCAGCGCCATATAAATACGTTGTGAAGGATCGTCATCTCTATCATGTCGTCCATCTTCCATTAGTCCATCTTCCATCTTCATCCCCCATCTCTATTTCAACTCCCAAGACAAACAGAACGTGTGCGCCATGGAGTCAAACGCCCAGAGCCAAGGTCAGGTCTATGACCTCCTGATCGTCACAGATGCCACCGCCTCCATGTCCAAATACCTCAAGGCTCTCCATCGAGCTCTTCCCGACATCATCCGCATTTCCACCTTGACCGACTGCTTCTCCCGCATCGGCGTCCTAGCCTACCGCGACTACTTCCAGGGCGAGGTCATCGAGTGGTCAAAGTGGTGCTCCGGAGTCAACCCTGTCGCCAACCCAGACGCCGGAAGCGACGCCGATCTGGTATCCCGAGACCACATCATCCAATTCGCCAGTAGCCTGGTCCCATGCCACGGCGGTGACTGGCCCGAAGCCACCAAGACGGGCCTCGCGAGGGCCCATCATCTCATGCGACCAGAGGCCACCACCATCATCCTTCTCTTTACCGACGCCCCCCCACACATGCCCATCACCGGGGGCAACTGGCGCGACAAGGAGATCGAAACCCTCTCCGACCCTCACTCCGCCGCCCTCTTCGGCCCGGACGCCAAGCTCTTCCTCGACTGGACTTCGGCCTGCACCACACTCGCTACCGGCGAAAAGAAGGCCCACGTCTTCTCCATCGTCGAGAGCCACCTCATGGACACCGTAGCGCCCTACGTCTACCTCTCCACCCTGACGGGCGGCACTTGTTACCAGATCGTAAACGCCAACGCCGACGCCAACGCCGCCTCCACCAGCATCTCCGACCTCTCCATGTCCATCCTGCTCACCTGGACCGGCTTGGCCGACGCCCAGCATGCCACCGTGCCCAGGGACCCCCGCAGCCGCCGATCAGTAGCACGCCCTCTCTCCTATAAACAGTCCGACGACATAGGGGACGTCGCGCACGAGGACGACGACCGCATCTCCCGCTATCTCATGCGCCGCGACTCCAACCACGCCACCGCCACCGTCCTCGACAACATGGACCAGCCGCGGCTCGAGCCCGACAGCCCCGACCTGGACATCGTCGTCCCCCGTCAGAGGCAGCCAGCCCTCGAACCCCTCGCCAAGCGATACGCCGCCGACCCGGCCTACCGCGCCTTGGTCGTCGACCAGCTGAAGGAAATCATCGACACCAACGTCGCCGTCATCACCGTCAACCCCGTCTTCGGCGCCCTGTGGAGGGCCGTCTGCAGCGACCGCGCCAGCGAAGCTCGCGCCGAACTCACCCAGCGCTTTAGCGATCAGGTCGCTCACGTCACTGACCCGGACCAGGCCGCCAGGATGAAGACCTGGCTGGAGGAATCCTACAATTACAAAGCCCAGATCGCAGAGGCCATTGACGAGGTGCCCGCCTCCGACCGCTGCCCTTGTGTCTTCTTCGACCCGACTCATGACTTTACCACCCACCCCGACGAAGAAGAAGAAGAAGACGAAGACGACGCCGACCAAGGGGATGCTCCCGACAAACGGGGCCCTGCCGAGTTCACCCGATCCGAGCTTCTCGACATCAGCCGGTCTTGCGATTACCGCATCCTGCGCCGCCTCGGAAGGGTGCTGACCTGCCTCACCTACGTCGCCTCGGAGGAGGACCTGCCCGCCCACATCCGGGATGCTGCTCCGGGCGTGGTCCCCCGCATGCCTCTTGCTCTAGCCGCCCCGAAATACCAACGCACCTTTTGGCGGTACCTCCTCCATCTCGTCCTCCCCGGGACCATGTTAAGCGCACGTCCCGCCGCCCTTCTCGCCGCCCTGTCCATCCGCATGGCTATCCTGCCGCTGCGAGACGTGGCCGACCGGGAGCTTTTAGCCTACGGCGCCAATTGGAATAACCGGGAAGTCAGCGAAACCTGGAACGTCGGCTGCCTGTCCTTGCTTCTCGATGCCGATCGGGACTACGAAGGCCGCGTGGCAAGCGGCGTCACCGTACGCCCGCATCCCGACGCACGCGTACTTCCCGAGCCCGACCAGAAACTCTTCCAGACCCTGGTAGACTACAAGATGCTGGAGCTCAACCTGAACACCACCCTACAAGCCCGCATTGGCTGGACCCCGTCGAAGACCATGGTACCTCTCGGCCCCATTGTCACCTGTAAACTGTGCCGGCTTCCCCGCTCTGTTACCGTCATGGGAACCGATGGCAGTTGCGGGCTCTGCCACCCCAACTCGTGCGATTGCGCGGCTTGCCTCCGGGCCCCTGACTTTGAGGAGAGAATACACAACAACGTCGGGCCGCAGGATTCCGAGACGACCGAGGCCACATGGGTGGAGTGCTTCAACACGACATGCCGAGCCCAATACGTCGTCTACAACCCTAGCCTCCTGCGCGTGCGCGCCAAATGCTTCTACTGTCGCCACGAAAGCCGTCTCGAGGGTCAAGCCAAGCCGGGCCCCGCACCGTGCGTCGAGTGCTCACGCTGCCTCGGCCGCATCATCTGGCCGCACGAGTACCGCCCGGCCGATCTGGACCTAGCCAGCTTCCAATGCCCGGCATGCGTAGCCGGTCGCGAGACGGTGATCGATCACGAAACGACCGCCAAAGCTCTTTCCGACGAGAACACCACCGCCTGGCTCGTCCGCAACGAGAACAACGCCCTGCAGCACCTGTTCGACGGTCGCTCGCTCTTCCACAAAGTCAGCCGCATACCCGACATTTCCACCTTGGCCTCGAACGTCGAGGTCCTCCCCGGTACCACCAACGACAACGACACGCGGCTCACCATCAGCGGCAAACTCGTCCGCAACGCCTCCGACCTCCGCAGCTCCCTGTCCGACTGGGTCAAGCGGCGCAAAGTCCAATCGGGCACCTGCCTCCTCTGCTTCTCCGACGCCAACAAGCGCGACCTGCGCGCCTGCGGGCGAAGCGGCTGCGCGTCGACCATCTGCCGAAGCTGCAGGCAGGACTGGTACGGGATCAACCGCCGCGGCCAGGTCATCAACCTCCCCGCGCTGTCGTGCCCGTTCTGCCGCCGATCCCCCGTCGCCGCCGTGGTTTCGCGCCTCGGCATCGCCTCCCTCGGCGGGTTGAGGGAGGCGGTGGCGAACCCGGCTTGGGTATACGCCTGGTGTGGCGGGTGCGGGTTCGCGAAGCAGTTTGCCGAGCGGGTGTGCGCTGAGGCCGGAGCGGTGGGGGCGGCGGCGGCGGCGGCGGCGCAGGTTCGCGACTGGCGGTGCGAGGACTGCGAGGCGAACAGGGGCAAGGGGCGGGAGGTGTTGCATTGTCCGACGTGCGATACGGCGACCGAGAAGGTTGGTGGGTGTGCGCATATCGACTGTCCGGCGTGCGGGGCGCATTGGTGCTTTGAGTGCGGGACGGCGTTTGTTGATGCGCAGAGGGTCTACGCGCATATGGAGGAGGCGCATGGCGGGATTTATGGGTATGATTCTGAAGACAATGACGACGATTATGATTGATGACTACTAGCCGGGAGTATTGAGGAGTTTTGGGCGTTTGAAGAGCATTGGACGGACAATAGGGGCAAGTTTGATATCGATAATATTTACATGTAGCCATTATTTCTCTAGAACAGTCAGTTCCCTCCCCCCCCCCCAAATTCCCTTGTGATGTCAGCCACACCAGAATAATCCTTAAGAGATTCATTATAAGACCCCAGGGCACTGGGAACGTTTCGATCACATTCAAGTACCCCGACTTCTAGATACAGCCTTGATTCAAGAGGCTGACAATATAAGGGGGCATACCAATGTCTATCAGACTGGATTAACACTTCCAAGGAGAAAGTATAGATGGCGAGAGACATTTCATGACAACCTCGAAGATGGTAAATGAGATAGATATATTCTTGGGAAGTAAATAAGTATGTGACAAGAGAAGAAAAAAAGAAAAAAACAATGAACCAAGCAAGTTTCCCCCCTCCTATAGAGGACCCAAGATACATGCCATCCCATGCCCCCAACCGTTTCGAGCCTTGTTTGTACTCTAGACCCGCCAGGGTATCCGTTTACCGAATACACTATCGTTCACACGTTATTGGCGTTAGCAGGCATAGTACAGAGGGGGGGTGAGAGGGCAGACCAACCTGGAAGTAGTACGGGTTCAGCTCGACGCAGCGCAGACCCTGGGCGCACTGGAAGACGCCGGTGTACTCGCGGCCGCCGCATTGCTCCCACTCGCCGGCGGGGACGAGCGTCGGCCGCGCGAGGATGCGCTGGGCGGCGTGCTCGGCGGCGACGACGATATAGGAGGACGGGTTGGGGGTGACGTGGCCGGGGAAGATGGAGGCGTCGACGACGTAGAGGTTGTCGGTGCCGTAGACGCGGGTGTCCAGGTCGACGACGGCGTCGCCGTCCTCCTTGCGGCCGTCATTGGTGCCGAGCTTGGCGGTGCCTGGAATGGTACGTACACATTAGCCAACAGAAGAGGGAAGAAGGGAGGAGGAGAAAAGCGGAAGAAACTCACCGATCCAGTGGTTGGCACGGCGGTTAGCATACGACACGACCATGTTGTTCACGTACTGGCGGGCAGAGACGTTGGGAGCGGGGCGCAGCCACTCAAGACCCGGAACGCCGGCAAGAGCCGCCTGCAGGTTCTCAATACCCTTGATGACCGCCTCGATATCCTCCTGGTCCTTGAGGTAAGGAACGTCCGAGACGATGGTGTTGAGGTTGGGGGTGATGGTCATGCGGCCACGAGACGTGGCACCACGGCCGAGGTACTGGCTGATAGTGATGCTCTCTGTGAATCTTGTTAGTTCTACTTGTCCACAAACATGATGATAAAAAGATCGGGGTAAAACTCACGGCCGTCGGGCTCGCCCTCGCTACCCTCTATACGGGCAGTCCACTGGAGCTGACGGACGATGCCATCGGCACCGGTAATCTCGTCGAAGAACCTGCCCCTGATTAGAGAATAATACGACAGGAAAGGGACACCTGGATGTAACTCACAGAGGGCCGATGTTGGGGGCAGACTGGGCAAGGATGCCAGTGCGGGAAGAGAGGTACTGCTGGATATCCGGGAGGTACGCATCCTCGCCGTCGTAGGCATCGTAGAAGTCGTAGAACTGGGCATCGGGGTGCCTGAGGACAGTGTTGGTCTAACGCGAGCACACGTCTAGGTCAGCTTGGTGTTCCCGAAAAAAAAAAAAAAAAAAAAGGAAAGAAAGAAAGAAAGACGACAACTCACGTTAACATGGTCCTCCAGGTTGTAACCAACAGGGAGCCTGATCCACTGGTCCCGAGAAATCATGCTCGAGCCATCGACGGTCGAGTTGCTGACGACATTCAGCTGGTCCTCAGGTCCAATACCGCTCCTCATCAGGATCTTGGCGCTGCCAAAGGTGCCGGCCGACAGAATGACGCTGCCGGTGACGGGCTTCAGACGGACGGTACCCTGGTAGCCACCTTCCAGATAGGGCTCCACCTCGATTCCGGTAACGTGGCCGCCCTGGCGAACGACGCGGCGCACGGCCGTGTTCAGCCAGAGGGTGAAGTTGGGCCTCGCCGTCGCCGAGACCAGGTAGGTGGCCATGGGTCCGCCACGCTCGCCGTTCGAGAACATGTAAGGCGTATAGCCGAAGGTGTGGTTCTTCTGGTTGGGAGTGGAGAGGAAGTCAACCTCGTTCCAGCCGCCCGAGCGCAGACCCTCGCGGATGACGTCCATGCCCCGGGGGAGGTAGATCTCGCCATCCATCGACGGGGTAGTGGTGCCGGGGATTCGGGAGAAGGCGCGCTGTTCGGCAGCAGCCATGTCCGAGGCCCTCCAGCCCGCAGGGAAGTTGTAATCCCAGTCCTGAGAATACGGCTAGAGTTGGGGGAGTTAGTATGCGACGGAAGAGCCAAGAAGGGGGGGGTAGAGAAGTGGAAAGGCAAATAAAGAAATTCAATGAAGGGAGTACACTCACTCTCCACCAGAGAGCAGCGTTAATGGCAGTGCCACCGCCGAGAAGGCAGCCGGACATCTGGTCGGTGTCACGGCAGGCAATGCCGGCGGAGTCGTGCCAGATCTGGTTGCAGAGGCCGGGAACGTCAAAGCGAGTCAGGTTGGTGTCCTGGAGCCACCAGGGACCGCGGGTACCACCCCAGCGGCCCGAAGAGGCGGGGCCCTTCTCGATGAGGAGGACCTTGTGACCGGCCTCGCTCAGCTTGTCGGCTAGGGGGAGACCGCCAGCACCGCCGCCAACAATGACGTAGTCGTACTCTTCATCGGGAACCGGGACGCCCGTCTCGGGGGGGGCAAGGCTCGAAGTCGGGCCCGGTTCGCCGGGGTCGGTGGACGAGGGAGGAGGAGTGACAGCGCCGCAGTCTCCCGTGGCGGTGATGGTGGCCAGCTCGACATACTCGTCGTACGCGGGAGCCTCAATGCTCGGGTCCAGGCCGGCACCGAAGATGCTCTGCCTGTCGTGCTGTTCGACGGTGATCTGGGCAGGGCACTGGGCGTTTCCGGGGCTCGAGAAGGAGTGGGCCCAGCCCATGACGAGGAAGCCAGCGGTCGTCGAGACTCTGCCGGTCTCACCGTTGTGGTCCCAGGCCCAGCAGTTCTGGCAACGGAACTCGACCTCGTAGTGCGTGGAGTTGACCGAGGAAGAGATTTGGGTCTACGGAGAGTAACTAGTGTTAGGTGCCATGTCCATCAAGCGCGCGGGGGGCCGGGGGGGGGGGGGAAGCCCCCGGGAAGAATATACGTACCACGGTGGCATCGCCGGCGTAGATCTCGGGAAAGTCGTAGCTCGGCGCGTACCAGAACTGAGTGAGCACCTCATCCTCGTACGGGTAGGCGGTGATGAGCAAGTTGCGTTGCATAGTGCCGCCAAGAGACAGACCGCAGTAACCCTCGCCCGCGGCTTCGGGAGTCGCGCATGACTGGCAGACGGGGTCAGCAAAGATGCCACGTCGAGTGACCGGGCCAAGATGAGAGATGGAGGGTTTTCCGTACGAAATAGGCAATATACTCATCGGCATCGGTGCTCAAGCTGCCGGGGGGCAGGGTGAGACCAAAGGTCATGCCCGAGGTCGTCGTCCATGTGCTGTAGGTGATACCGGAACCGGGATGCGTCCAGAGGACGGGAACCCCGCTCTGCGCTGTAGCGCCCTGAAAGACTGCGGTGGTTGGTCAGAAGCGAAAGGGTGGGAGCTTGACTGGCGAACGGGTCAGATCGTGGTAAAGCTTACGGGAAAAGGCGCTGAGCAGCGTAGCTGCCGCAGCAGCGCTGAAGGACCTCATGGCGGCGAAAGCGACAGGAGAGGATTGGGGGGCGGGAGAGAGGAGGACGCGTGCCGAGGACCAAGAGCTAGCTGGAAAATCATCGCGGGGTGGGCAGGAACCCGGTGTCATATAAAAGCAGAGAGCGAGAGTCTAGAGACGACCATGGCCCAAGTCGCGGGACTCGCGGCGGCCGCGCAAACACCCCTCGATGATTGATCAATTTGCATGCCGCCATCCCCGGACCCCGTGATGCCAGGGCGGGCATGTGCGCGGATAACGGCGCCTTGGTTCCATTGCGTTGCTATACGTTGTAAAACGACGGGTCCAGAGATTTTGGGGTCCCACCCTGGTTCAAGCCGACCAAGATACGGATAGAGAGAAGAAAGGGAAATGTGAAGAAAGGCTCCGTGCCGGATCAGGGATGGCGTGTAGACTGAGCTGTCTTGGGCGGAAAGCGTTCGTAGGAGATTGCCGGACCGGGACAAGCCTCCCCGACAGGGGTAAGACGTGATCTATCGGAGACAAGGTAGGATTCGCATCGAAATGGACAGGGACAGAGTCCCGCTGACGCATGAACCGCCGTGGTGGAAGCTCCTCTCTGTTCATTTTGTTCCCCTCTCTTTTTTGGTATTTCCTCGGGACATTTTGGAGACAATGTCAAAAGTCGGCGGGAGAAAAAAAAGAAAAAAGAATAAAAAAAGAATAAAAAAGAAAAAAAAAAGGAAAAAAAAAAGAAAAAAAAAGAAATAAAAAAGGAATAAAAAAAAGAATAAAAAAAAAGAATAAAAAAAATTGTAACATCCTCAAGTGGAAAAATCAAAAAACCAGCCTCTTCCTAGTGGAGTCGTGCCCCTGGAGGACGTTGGAGAAACTGTCAGGAACGGGAAGGCGGAGCGGTTAAGACCCGGGATAAGCGTTGCGGAGGTGACAGCCGAGAAGCCAACCCGCCATAGCCATAGCCAAAGGGAACGCAGCAAAAAGCCAAGGCCCCAAGCTCAAGCTGTCGCGGGAGGTCGATCCGCCGATTTCCCAAGTAGGATGCTCTAGAAGGGCGGATAGGCCAATGGCAGACGGGACGAAGGTCAGACGGTAGACAACCCCAACAAGCCCCCAAAGCCCGTGGGTGAATGAGTAAGGAATGACTATTTTCTCCGTGCTTTTCGGCTTTTCGACTTCATGGTTTGGCTCGATGCGACTGGCGGGTTAATGAGAAAAGTCGGAGAGCTTTGAGCAAGTTTTCTTCTCTGCTGACACCCCCGGATTAGTACCTAGACATGACACTTTTGGGTTGCGGACTGCGGACTGCGGACTGTGGACTGCATATTAAATTGCCTTGTCCGAATGCACAAGTGATTACGCAAAGGAGGATGGCGGGCGAGGCGCGTAAACTTGGTTATCCTACAGACGGGACGGCTACCGCTATTCTCTTCTCCGTGGGGTATCGTATCGGTCAATTCGCTTTCGCTTGTCGTCAAGGTCAAGCGAGAAGAGCACGTGTGCATATGTTGTATGATGCCCAAGGTGAAAAGAAGCAATAATAGAACACGACCTAACATGTCTAACGGGGACCATCGAGTCGGAGAACCCGTGGGGGTTTGTGGTTCGTCTGTTGTCATGCCGTCAGCCGTCAGCTCCCCCGCCATTTCGAACCGTGGTCGAGGTAGCTCAGGCTGCATAGCCCAACCCATTGAGGCCCAGACTCGGAGGCACAAAGTACGTTGTAAGCGTGAGTCGCATTGCGCTAGGATAATCCAGACGTTCCACGTGAGCAAGGACGGCATGCAGCATGCAGTGGCACTATCGTGACCTCTTGAGACCTCTTGAGACCTCGGAGGGAGACGCAGAAGATATCCCAAGCTCAAAAGAGACTCAAAGGATGTTGATAGAACGGGGCCTGGTCCGCTTCGATCTCGGCGAAGGGCCCGACCTAGGTAGGTATGTACGTTGAAGCTAATATTGATGTGCGAGGCAGCAGCAATGGCGGAGTTTGATTCGTGAAGAGTTCGATAGGAGCGGCTATGTTGTGAGCCACCTGGGATGGAAGTAGCCGTGGTGGATGAGTTGGTGGGGAGGAGTTGGTGGATGTTGGTGGAGAGGGGTGGGAGAAGAGAACGATGTGGATCTTTTCCTCCGAATATCTACTGGGCAGGTAGGTACTTGGGTATGTTGACGCAGAAACCCCGTCTTATGACGTAAACCCACACCGTTGTTGTTTGAAGATTTTAACACTGGGTGGGCCCTGTTCTGCGTATCGGTTTCGGAGTTATGGTTGACGACTGATAAAGCGATGACTAAGCTGCTGGCTAGGCAGCGTCTTGCAGTCTTGCAGGCACGTTCTTATCAGATAAGGTAGCTAGCGGCAACATGGTACGTACGTCCCTCTCACGAAATTGTGGTGCTGCCTGCCCATGCATCACGACTTCGTTCTGACCAAAGGCACAACTTTCTCTACCTACTCCGTACAACTTATCCATTCAGAATACCCCGATTCTTCCATCTCAATCTCGAATCACACAGGTCTTTGTTCTTCATTTTATTTTATAGAACCCAATATTTCACTCCCGCTTGGGTGTCTCTGTAGCACCATATCTCAGGACCACCTCCAAGACCCGGATGCAACCCTCATCCGGAGCGTTCCGAAGACGATCGAATTTCACATTTCCACCCGCATATCTGCGACTCTACCTCCACCTCGGTTTCATTGAACCAAGAACCAACTAGAGAGCTTCCTTGGCCATTGACCTCCCGTCGCATTTGGCGTCCGCAGAGGGTCCATGGTTCTTGACCTGGGAACTGTCACACAAAAGCCCCTGCCCCCCCCCCCCCCACTCGGCCGACTCTTCACGAACCGAAGCCAAGTGATTCGATTCGCTTCGCTTCCTCATGTGCCGTAGGTGGCAGGGGAACCGCGCAAGGGGACGCCGCCTGACATGTCAACCTTTGATGGCATCGTTGCCGAGTTCCCTGACATAAGAGGCACGTACGCGTATGCCCTCCCTCACCTTCTCATCCCCGCTTCTCTGAGTTTGGAAGAACCTCCTCTAAATTCCATGCCCTGGTAGTTGATTTCTTCCGCCCATCTCCTCACCGTCAGGCTCCGTTGGCCTGCTTCCTAAGCCATGTCCACAGCGATCATCTGGCAGGCCTCGAGAGCCTCAGGTCGCCTTTCGTCTACTGCTCGGCAGCCACCCGTCAGATCCTCTTACGTCTGGAACGTTACCCCTGTCGCATCAACTTCGCCAAAGGCATCCTAGAGGCCCGCGTCCAGACTTTCAAGAAGCTTCGTTTTCTCTTGAAACCTATTCCCCTCGACACGCCTACCTGCCTCGAGCTGGCTCCTGGTCGACATATCCGGGTCACCCTCTTCGATGCGAACCATTGTCCCGGTGCCGTCATGTTCCTATTGGAAGGAGATGGCAAGGCCGTCTTGTACACTGGCGACGTCCGGTGTGAGCCCTGGTTTGTGAACTCGGTAGCCCGAAATCCCTCTCTCGTCGAATACTCCTCGCACATCAAGACTTTGGACAAGATCTACCTGGACACTTCCATACTCGACGATATCCCCCTCCAGACGAAAGCCGACGGTATCGCCGAACTTGTCCGTAAAATCGTCGTCTACCCTCCTGGGACCATTTTCCACGTCCAGGCCTGGACGTACGGTTACGAAGAAGTGTGGATCGCGCTCTCCAAAGCACTCAACTCGAGAATCCATGTGGATGACTACAAGATGAACATTTTCCAGTCCCTCAAATCCAAACCATCTCCCGCCGATCGATTTTCCAGCCCGCCGGTCCACTTCTGTCCCGAGGCACCGGCCCTGACCGGCTTTGTTTGTGGGAACACCGAGCATCCCGGGTGCCTGACGAGCGACGAGAATGTCCATCTACACAGCTGCGAGAGAGGCAACTTTTGCTCGGTTGTGGAGAAGGGTCCCGTGGTGTGGATACAGCCAATCGTTGCCCATCTCCCCGATGGCGTCGATCGCCTCGAGGTCGGCATCGGTGGCGGCGGAGAAGACTTGGAGCGGGAGGTCGAGATCGATGTCCTATCCAAAGAGGATCTCAGCCGGCTTCTTCGGCTAGTGACAGACGACAATGACATTCCCGCCGATGTTCGAGCCAGTGTAAGCGACTACCTGGTACGGACCACACTCCATGGCCGCAGCTTATCTCTGGATCTTTTCATGTCATCCCTGGAGGACAAAAACGAGGCCAGTCTCCGAAGCGCGCTTGCTTCCCTTACGAAGAAATCACAACTTGGCCGGGGAGAAAAGATCGTTGCTACCAATGTCGATCATGCAGATCATGTAGATGGCGTGTTACCAGACACAGTCACCTTCCCATACTCCAGGCATTCGTCCTACGAAGAGCTGTGTCATCTGGTCCAGACTTTCATGCCACGGGACGTCTGGCCGTGCACCGTCGACCCCATCGAGTGGCACAAGAATAATATCACCATCAAGTCCTTGTTCGGTCGCCACTGCTCGGGAGACACCTTCGCGCACGACCTCCACATGGAAGACTGGGCCAGCAGAAATGCCACAGACCTGCTAACGCAGTCCCACAGTGAGCTGGAAACCCAGGGGTCGTCGGCTTCCGCTCTGGACAGAGTCGCTCCAGAATGCAGCACATCGTCTCCGCCCAAACAGCCGAGTCGGGAGACTTCGTCAGCCAGTCGAACGGGAAAGCGGACATTTATAGCCTTCCATGACGACAGCAGAGACGGAAAGGACAAGGACCCCTTGGATTCTCAAGTTTCCACCGAATCTCACTCGTCTGAGGGAGCATCCCTTTTTCGAGCAGACGCGTACAACACCATGATGCGGAATCTTGCTGGTGGCGATTGGACACCTATCGAACTCATGTCCACCTCAAATCACCACACCGATGTTGAGAAGAATCCTGCTCATTTGCCAGGGGGTGGAAAGGATGGAGATGTCAGGAACGGCAGGCCCATGCAATAACAGCGGCCAAGGTTCTATGTGAGAAAAGAAATGAAGAAGAAAAAGAAGAAAAAAAGAAGGAAAGAAACTTATCGTTCCATGTGAAGCGAGATCACTGACACACATACTCGCGTCGAAACAGGTCATTTGAACCCAGGGCTCGAGCTGCATGCACACTGCACGATACCCAATCCACATCGGCACCCTTTCTAGGTGTGCCCAGTGGGATCACTCCATGCAACATGGCCCCTAACCAATACCTAGGTACCCACGCTTCCCTCCCGAACTCGTGGTCCAATAAGACCTTTGTCGTTCTCGTGCCAGGCCAATGCATTCTCGAGAGTGAATTATGACAGGTTAGTACGAAATCGGGCCCTTTGAGGCAGTTGATGCTGGTTCTCCTGGGACGTTACGAGCCTGGAAACGCAGTTGAACATGTGCGAAGCAGCATAAACCGGGTTTGAAAGAACCACTCCGACCTGTCTTTTGTGTCAGAATGTCTCGTCATGCCGCGGTAGACAGTATTTACGACCATGCAGCGCCTATACCCCTTGGGCCATCATTTGTCGGCTGTCAAACTTCGAGAAAGTGACTTTGGCTGAGCCGTGAGCCTTCTCGTGGGTGGATGGACACGCTCAACGTGAGACTTGGGCCCAAGGCTGCCAGTTGGCGCCTCAACTTCTCAAGAGAAGCTTCTATTTTTGTCTCTCGGTCAAGTCTGAGATAGACGTCGTGCTTTTCACCCTATCTTCCCGGCAGTGGGAAAATGATTCCTAAGCAACATGGTCCTGCCGACCCAAGAAGGTTAGGAGACCTCAGGCCGCCTCGGCCTCGTCTCCTCCGCGCTGGGAGAAGCTGGATATGTGATATACATAACTACTCACCACAGGGCTAGAGAGGACCGAACCAATCGACGACTGCGCCTACAATAGCCGGTAACCGGGATTCCCTCCACAGAGGTCTGCGGTCTGCACTGACAGGGGCAATGGCCCGCTCCTCTTCTTCCCCAATACATATGGTTTTCTGTTGACCAACCTTTTTCTCCGTTTCCTTTATTAGCTGGCGACTCCAGAGCGGTGTCGAACAACACTCGGCAGCCCATCATCAACCAACGGATGAGCAGACAGCCGATAATAAATGTGAATAAATGAGAAACCCGCTCTCGCGTGTTACTGTCACCTCCATATACATTGCAAAAGACTGGCTGGCACATGCGGAAGTATGTGAGGTCTTCCCCGCTACGTGTGTTGGGTGGTCGTCACGTTCTGCCGACATCCGTGGAGGTGTGCTGCGCTGCTTGTTGGCGGGGTTTTCCCACGCCGTAACCGGGGAACTGGCGGTGGGAGGGAGCTCAGGATGCCATACCTAGCGTTCGTTTGCGTCTGAAGGATACCACAGTCGAGTTGTCGACGTACGAAAGAAACCCAGGGTCCACTGACAAGTCCCAGGGCTTCGCGAGTACCATGTCAGATGGGCAGATGATTTAACTCGCTCGACCTCGCCCTCTGCTCTGCTCCAGGGGGTCCAAACTGGGACACGGCTGCATGGGGTCCGCAAAATCCACCTTCCCCAGCTACAAAGCGAAGTCACACGCAGTGGACTGGTTCGGAAATAGTCAAGGGGACGGGACAGAGGAGTCCTTTTCCCTCACCTGTCCTTCCTTCCTCATCTGGTAAAGACTGGCGAGAAGTCTCGCGATTTCCTCGCCCCAGGCGTTCACGTTCAGGGGGCGATGTGATCTTGCCATCTTGGAAGTTGGAGGCGTTCTTCTTGGGGATCTCATGCTCCCTCGGAAGGTTACCTGGACTATGGGGTGTCTGGTCTTTACTTTCCGGGAGCAGTGAGGCTCACCCGTCGATCTAAGATCCAGACCTACTGGCGGCTGGCGTTGACGGCGTTGACGGTCTCCTGGCAGTGCGGTGCGGTGGTAGGAGACACGTGTGGCCCGTGGGGAAGCCCCGGTCTGTGACGCCATGCTGTTGGACTTGCAATGGGGAGTGTCAGGACTTTTAACAGTCTGTCGTTGGCTGTGTTGTTTTGTCCTGTTCACTACGACGTGAGTACGTTGTACGGTATGTGTACGAAGTACGTACCTGCCATGCGGACGAAACAATCAACGGGACGGGGACCTATGGTCCCATTAGGGACACCCCACAGTAGAGGGGGTCGGCCGGTCGAACCTCGGATGGAACGCGGGTTTCCTTTCCGAATGGGAGGAGCGAGAGGTCGCCGATGTGGCTCTGGGCCTCCTGGCTGACTCGAGTAGGAATCGGGTTTCGAGAGTTGAGAGTGGACAAAGCCGAGCTGGTACACACATATACAACGTAGGTAGGTCGTGCGGATCAGTCGGGGAAACTCCTACTTACGGACCAACCACGCATAATTCGAGGTGAGACGGGCTGAAGAGGAAGCACGACAAATAGGGACTCATCGTCTCCCAACAAGGCAAACGATCATTAGGACGGGCACTGGAGGAGCTGGAACGGAAGGGCGAAATTTGGGGGCTATTATTAATTTCTCACCAGTTGATCCGCATGAAGGGGCCGGTCAAGGGGACCGCGATATTCTCGATATTTTCACCCTGGTCTGTCTGGCCCGACGGTTCATCCGAATTTTCGGACAAAGGGAGGCGTCCGACAAGGAGAAGAGGAGACGAGACGAAGGTAAAGGTGAAAATGCCGTTCTGTTTCAGTTCCCATCTAACGGACCTTTACGAGGAAATCTCCGAAGCTACAGGACCCCCACTGCGAGCAGTCTAGTTTTGGGAAACCATTTGGCATGCTTTATGCGATTCATACATGTACAAAGTACAAAGCACGCATCTCCATACTCTCATTATTAATTATAAGGGTTTTGGCCGAGATCCCCGCCAATGGTGTCAATCCCCATGGGCCATTTGCCCCATAGGCGCCTCGCTTAGGGGAGTGAAAATCGCCGAGAGGAAACCCCCAAAACGAAGCGACGCGTTTGGCAGGGGGGGGTGTGGGGGACGTTCCACGACGGTAATTGACAATGATTGGCCCCGGAGCGATAGGCCGAGAGGGGCGGGCCCCAGCCAGTGACCTGGGGCTCGGCTCAGCTGGAGAACCGTGCGACCACTCGGAGCATGGGAAATGGTGGGGAGGGGGTTCCAGGGTTTATCCGGGGACGGGCCCGCGGGCCGGCGGGAGGTGTGGCGGTTGGACGAAAACGGTATAGTATGACCCAATCGTTGTGAGAGATGTCCACCCCCCCACTAACGGATCAACGCCCCTGTAGCGCCGCAGGGGAACTCCGTACAACGTAGGTACCTAGGTACTTGGTAGGTACCCTACCGTGTAGAAAGTTCCCCGTACTATCGTGCTGGGCAGGGAAGCGACACCCCGGGGAGTGAAAGCCGACCAGGTGGGTGGACCGGATCGCCAAGGCATTGATTTGCTCTCACAGTCTCACTCCACACAACGGAAAGGAGATGCTAGCTAGCCGGTGCTCTCGAAGGGGAGACCGGGAAAGAATGGGCAGCGTACAACGTACAATGTATGTACGGGTGTATGTTGTACATACGTCTGCCGTTTGCCTGCGGGCCGCGAGGTGGTATCAGGGTACGTTGTATCAGGGCGTTTAATCTATTCGGCATCTGGGTGGGATGTACCCGCAAGTACGTTGTAGGTTTGTAGGTACGATGATGGGGGATCGAAAAGGCGGAGGGAAAAAGTTAAGAAGAAGATAATTGTGGGAACCGGGGGTTTGTCCCGGGGGTTTGTGGCATGACGGCAGCGAATGCAACCGCCTACGATGATAAAGCCTTCGGGAGGCCCCGGGCATACACTCGGAGGCCGTTTCTAAAAGGTCTTTTGAAAGGTCTTCCCATCAGGTTTGGTCAGCAGGGACACCTAGGAGCTGCTTTTGTCTTCCTTTTTTTCTTGTTCTTTTTCTTTTCATAACGGATTCCTCGAAAGGGGGAGCTCGACATGACTTGACCGAACCTAGGTCCCGTTGAAAAGAGGAGGACACTAGCCCAGGCCAAAGCTGAATCTCATACACCGAAGCTCACCATCGGATCGAGAGGAGTACGACGACAACGAAGACGAACAACGACGACGACGACGACGACGAGAAAAAAGGTTGATAACCAATCAGCAAAGACGCATTGCATGCGAGGATTGTTGCATCGGGCTACACGACAGCAGCACATTCTATTCTCCGAAGCCCCCGCCCGCCGCCTGTCCTCTGGGTACCGCTTCGGGAAGGGTCACGAGGTGTCGCATTCTCAGCTCAACTGTCCTCCCCCCACTGGCCAACTGGACGGTTACTTGTTCTGAGGGGAGAGAGAACTTGGCTTCACTGAGAAGAGAAGGGGAAAGAGAAAGACGGAACGAGACAGACGAGAGTGACACTCACACGGCAACTTGCTGGGCAGAGATCTTCGACCATAGCTCCTCTCACGCCTACGACCTTGACACCTGTCACCAGACATTACTCTCTTCTTTTTTCTTGGTTTTTTTTTTCTTGTTTTTTTTTTCTTGTCCCCTTATTCCACTATCGGTCAACCATCGACGTGTTTTTCCTCTGCGGCTCTTTTCCGTCTTGGAATCACGGAAGACCCCGAGCAACAAACGCCACACATCAGAGGGACTCTCGCCCTAACCGACCCCACTGATTCAAAAGACATTTTGGTGCGTTCCAGTGGGCTGTTCCCCCCTGTATTTTTGGCGCTACACACAAGGGCCATTGAGTGAGAGCTTGGTGGCAAACCAGTTGAGAGGACCGACCAAACACGACACCAGACGCGAGCAGGGTTCATCGCACCAGCTGCAAGCCATAGCTCCTCGATCCCAAGCAGGAGGGTCCCAAGTCAGCGAGACGACAGCAGTAGCTAGCGTCTTGTCCGGAGAATTTCTTTCTTTTTTTTTTTTTTTTTTTTTTCTCTTCGTCTCGTTCCCCCCTCGTCTTTCCGCCCTCCTCTCCTGACAGGACGACCGTTTGTGCACGGCGCATGGAGCGTGAATTGGTCACATCGGGGCCCGTTCTCAGTACCAGGCGAAGAAAGGGAGGGAAAACGAGGACGAGGAAAAGGAAAAGAAGTCCAAACGGGAAAAGACGAAACGAGCTGTGGACCAGCTTGTGAAAAGAACATTGAAAAATTGAGACAAAAAGAAAGGAAAAAAGAAACCGAAAGGGAACACGAACACGAAGATTCGAGACCGAGTCCGACACCCGAGCACATCCCCCCCCGAGACAGACCCTACAAAAACTGGTCGGATGGTTTTCGCCCGTTGGGGCTCAGGCCCGAGTCGGACGCGCCCCGCGACAGGGGATGTCCCAGTGGTGGAAGAGGAGGAAGGGCAGGGACGGGGGTATGACCACGGGCACGAGCATGAGCATGCGCATGACAATGACAATGAGCATGACCAGAGCCACGGAGGTGCAGCAAATCCAGTAGGTGCAAGTGCAGATGCAGGCCCAGGTCATGGAGGTGGAGGTGGGAGCGCCAGTGGCAGCGCCAGTGGGAGTGGTGGTGCCAGGGTCCTGGTCCTGGGGGGAAATGGGGGTGGGGGCAGCAGAAGCGGAGGGAGAGGCGGAGGCGGAGGAACTGGAGCCATTACCAAAGGGGCCAAGGCGAAATTGGCGGCGACTCTGGGGAAAAGGATCGGAAAGACGAGCCGCAGAACCAGGAGACTGGCAAATAATAAGACGACAACGACGCCGCCATCTGGGGACCCCGGTGTTGGTGCTGGTGTGAACGGCGCTGACATTGCCACTGGCTCGGGCTCCGGCTCTGTCTCTGCTTCTGGCGTTTTTGGGGCGACCAGGCCTCCATTACACCATTTGCCGTCTTCCTCCTCTGCGTCTGCTGCGACGACTGCATCTGCCACTTCGTCCTCCTCTTCCGCCGCAGACGTTGGCATCACCACCGGCGCCGCCGCTTCGCCCACATCTCCTTTACCACCGTCATTCTCGCCCCTCTCTCCCGTTCTGCCTCTCAGCAGCAGCACGCGAGCCACGCGATCTTCCACCCGGAGGACACGATCTTCGACTTCCACCTCGACTTCGTCCACGGCGGCGGCAGCAACAGCAACAGCAGCAAACCCGACCGCGGCACAGCCGCCGCCCCCGGCCCCTCAGGTCTCCGCTGCCGCGGTGCACCGCAAGGCTTTCAAAAACATGGAACCGCCCGTCGTGTCGTTTTACGGCACCGAGCCCATCGCCCTGCCCCCGCGCTTCGCCAGCGTCAAGAAGCGATTGATCGCCGGCCACGAGGATGCCGTCGAGGCGTCGTGGCACCGCCTGTTGGCCGCCCTCAGGGAAGAGATCGCCGACATCCAGAAGCGCGGTTCCGACCTCATCCCCACCATCAATTACGCCGACATCAACGATCCCGTGCGCGTCGACGCCTTCGCCCACCGCCTCCGACGTTATGGCGTGGCCGTGATCCGCGGCGTCGTGCCGGCCAACGAGGCCGAGACGTGGGTGCGCGAGACGCACGACTACCTGGACAAGAACCGCGACTTCAAACCCCCCGCGCTGCACGACCCGACCTGCATCGACCTCTTCTGGACCCCCGTCCAGGTGCGGGCGCGCGCCCACCCCAACGTGCTGCGGGCGCAAAAATTCGCCATGTCCTTCTGGGAGTCGACCGACGACCTGCACATCGCGCGCCGCCCCATCAGCTACGCCGACCGCCTGCGCATCCACAACGACCGGCTCGGCGCCGTCGGCCAGCAGAACGGCAACTCGGCCGCCGACTCGCTCAGCGCCAGCGCCTCGTCGACCGTCATCGCGCAGATCGACTCGGGCAGCCTCGAGCGCTGGGAACCCGACGGCTACGGCCGCGGCGGCGGCACCTACGAGCCCATCTTCCGCGGCGACTGGGAGTCGTACGACCCGTGGGACCCGTCCGGCCGCGTCAGCGCCACCACCGACCTCTACAACGGCGCCGGCGCCTGCAGCATCTTCCGCATGTTCCAGGGCATCCTGGCCCTGACCAGCGTCGAGCAGGGCATGGTGCGCGTGCTGCCGTCGCCCAAGCTGGTGGCCGCCTACTTCCTCCTCCGGCCCTTCTTCTCGCCCAGGCGCGGCCCGCCCGAGCAGCCCGACGGCGGCAAGGCCGACCAGTGGGAGGCCTACCTCGACGCCTCCAACTGGGCCCTCGACCGCGAGCCCACCACCGTCATCCACGGCGCCGTGCCGGGCCACGCCCAGCGCATCACCGAGCGTTGGCACCCGCACCTGCACATGCGCCGCAGCCTCGTGTCGCTGCCGAGCCTGCAGGCCGGCGACTACGTCATCTGGCACTGCGACGAGGCCTACTCCATCATCAGCGGCGGCACCCGCCTGGGCGTGCCGCCGTCGATGCAGACCGGGTCGTCCAACGAGCTCTCCCTGCTGACCTACCTCCCCGTGTCGCCCCTGACGCAGACGAACGCGCTGTTCCTCGCCCGCCAGCGCAAGGCCTTCCAGACCGGCCAGCCGGGTCCCGATTTCGACACCCTCGCCGGCCTGGGGCACGAGGCGTCGCACATGGACCGGCCGGACGCGAAGACGATCGAGGCGTATGGTGGTGTCGACGGCCTGCGGGCTATGGGGTTGGCGCCTTGGGACGTCGACCCGGCTGATCCGGCGCCGCCGCCGCAAAGTGCCAGCAGCAACAATAACAACAACAACAACAACGACAACAACCCGGATGCGATGGACGTCGACTCGGACAGTGCCAATGTCAAGACGGCCCGGACTTCCAGGAGCAGTAGCAACAGCAACGCCGCGTTCGAGAGCGGGTCGGTTTCGCCGGGCCAGGCCGACTCGGAGACGGAGCTTCTGCGCCTGGCGAACATCATCCTGTTTCCGAGCCGGTATGACTTTTACATTCCCAACGGGGGTCGCGGGTTGAGCGGGAGCGGAGATCGCACCCCGCGCGCTGGGCTTGGGACCATGAACGCGGTGAATGGGAATGGCAGTGGCCACAGTACCGTCAACGGAATCGGTCACGGAATCGGTCACGGCAACGGCAACGGAAACGGCAACGACAGTGAAAACGGCCTGAAGAGCCCCCCCGCCACCACCACCGCCACCATCCCCGGCCCGTCCCACCCGATACCCAAAACGACGCTCGCGTCGGGCGTGCCGAGGGCGGCGGCCACGAACGGGGCAAAGACCTGACGGCGTTGGTTGAAGGGGCGATGGAGGCGCGGCCTCACCAGCCGGTTCCCGGACGGAAGCGCAGCGGACGAGCACGACGACCGTGACAACGACGACCTCGAGCTTGACGATGCACCTCCCGCCGCGGGGGAGCCGGCGGTGGAGAAGAAGGCCACGACTGTCTCTGCCAAGGGGGACGACGGAGATGCGACGCGGGGTGTTGTCCCTGCTTCTGACTTGACTACGACTGATACGACTACTACTGCCACCACAACGGCGACGACGACGACGAGGACGACGACACATGCACCTACTGAGGAGAAGGAGATTTTGGTGACGACCAAGGGGAAGGAGACGGAGCCGATCGTGCCGGCCGTGACCGTCACCATTACGGAGAAGGAGGTTGCGTAAAGGGGCATCGGGTGCACCTTTTGCAGCCCTTTCCCCCTAGTTCACCGCCACACACTCATCAACTCGTCGTTGTGTTTTCTTTTATCAGTCACTTTTAGTTAGAAGTTGGGGATCCTCGCATCTTTGGCGCTGTCCTTTATGCAGCGGAGCGGAGACGATGATCGGAGAGAGGAAGGATTCGCCCCTTCAACGTGACGCCAGATGGCACCCTATTATGCGCCTGGAGAGAACGTGCTTGTTTCTTATGATTGGAGATGATTTCTGGGAAGGGAGAAGAAGGTGTAGAGATGTGCGTGGGGGACCTTTTTTTCTTTTTTTTCTTTTTGTTGTATTCCAATACCATGGAGGGGTGGGCATGAGAGAACCAGGGCTTCTTCTTTCTTTTTACTTTTCCTCTTCTTCTTTCCTTTCTTTCAAGAAACAAGTGTGTTTTACTTTACTTTTACTTTGACAAGAGGAGGGAGAATCGGGGCCAAATGCGGACTATGGGACACGGATGGATGGTGCAGGAGTAGAGATGGCATAATGGTTCTTGGATTCGAACTAGAGACACGGAGCATAGTCCATGCCCAATGAGTTAGTGAGGATGAGAAAGAAAGAGAGGAATATGAAGAGAACAGAATCACCCCGGACTGGACATCGTGTGTGTGTGGGTGGCTTGAATAGGGGCTGGGGGTGTGGATGATCCCGTTGGTGGAATACAGATGCAGCGGGAGGACATCCCGTGCCAGTAACACGAGAAAACGCGGAACGCATCCCCCCGTCTCTGCCTGTCCCCTTGTCCTTTTGTCTCTTTCTCTCCATACATGTAAACAACGGAGTGCGCGGTGGCCTTCCGTTCTTGGTGGTGCGGGAGGACTCGTTCCATGTTCCCCGTTTCGTGTTTTGTTCCTATGTTCGGCAGCTATCATGTTTCACTTCGGACCATTGTAATTAATCAAGACGCGTGCCCATCTTGTCCATGCCTACATGTAGTTTACGTTGTTTGGGATCCATTGTCTACTCTGTCTGGTATCTAGGCCGGCTGGTTCCCTGCGGCTGCCACCAAACTGCCAACCCGCGATGTGGGGGACCGGATATCAAGGACGAGCACTCAACTGGGTTAGACGAGATCCATCAGCCGGGGCAGTCCCTCTACCCCGGACCACGATCCTGGGGAGGTGTGATTCATTATGCTTGATGAGGTATATATTCGTAATCTCTGCTTGGATTGTTCCCCCCCCCCCCCCTTGGCTGTCACGGGGACAAGACTCGTCACTGCAATTTCAACTCTTTCCCCAGATGGGCCTGCGGAAGGCCGGAGTTTGATCACGGAGTCATCTCCGTAGATCGGTAAAGAGCACGGCTGGAATAGAGGCATCACGGGTTCCTGGACGCTAATGAGCTAATGAATCTCTGAACCAGACTTGTGTTGTTAACCTGATGCCGTCACGACTCACAACAGGTATCACCCATGAGAATCCCCAGTCCTTTCTTGATGCGAGTATTCGACTGTGATGCATTAGGGAATATGTCCGGCATCACATGGCTCTGTTCCCTGCATGTGGGCATACATGGGGTCAGAACTTTCCACGCGGCATGCCCGTCACTCTAGTAGGATGGCAGAAGATGATGTGCTCTGGGCTTCTACGTACACACCCTCTGGTGGAAGCTCTCCCGCGAGGCCTTTACGTTTTCCGAATGTCAGCTAAGTTACATCTGGGTGTACAGACATCCTGCACTTCCAGCTTGGCACCATCTTGGTGTTGAAGAAGATTGCTGTATTGATGTGAATGAGATGGGACGAAGGGTTTAGGGGAAAGCTTCGCCATTTGTCTAATACACTTGACTCCTTCAAAGCCTCGATTGTTGGCTACGGGTTCTGTAGTTCCAATTCCTTTATATCGTTGTCATCGACGCCAACTCCTAACTTGGTGATGAAACTACAAGGGAGTGATTTGTGTTGTTTCTGCTCATCTTTTTACTTAAATCCCGGTTTACATTCGAGGTAAATTGTCGATTATCCGTAGATATAAACACCAGACTAATATCCCCTTAGAGACTGAACTTTCTGCAGCTACCATGGCATGTCCGTCTCATAGAAGATAATGCTCTGGTATTGTATCTGAGCGGTTTAAGCCAACGTGATGCTCTCAACAGCTACTCTAGACATTGTCAATTAATGCTTCTTACAGCATGCCGACGCTCAATTCGGCGTTTGGACAAACTAACATATTAAGGTCTAGATTGCGTTAGTATGCGAAATTTATGTGAATATCACAAGCAGAACCAGATCCCGTTAACGCAGCGCATATTAATAAGGGCGGGTTGATAGCATATAGGACGGGTTCATCTAGGGTTCTAACACCGTAACACGCCTCTGTGCTCCGTATTATACCAATATAAGTCATAACCTTGAACATGGTCTTTCCAGACATGAATTAGCAAGTTCTGAACATGATGCCTCGGCTCCAAGCAAAGGCTGCTTGCAACCAGACCAAGCACGAGGGCTTACTTACCGTTGAGAGATTGGCGCCCCGGGAACCATGCAGAGTAGAGTACCCATCCATAGCTTCGAAGAGGAGATATTACTAACATTAAAAGCCGAGGAACTCAATACTGTAGAGTCAATTAAGGAAATCCAAGGGAGCAGAACATAGATGGCGATGGGTGATAGTTGTCTACCACCGGGGTCGCAACCAGCGAAACATTGACAATCTAGAACTTTCAACCCCCCATCGTATCCTGGTCCAGGCGAGCTTTGTTCGAAAAAGGGCTAAAAGGTTCAACAGCGATATTTCTCATGGCGCCGCATCCTGTGGAGGTTATAGAGATTTCGGGTCATGAAAATGAAAGACCGTCAGCAAGAGCTTCGACAAGGAAGGTAACTTGAGCTTAAAAGGATCCATGAATCAACCCTAACAATTAAAGAATGAAAAAACCAGAACAACAAAGTGGACTTTACAACTAACTGCGGTCGAGCTCAGTGCTGCGTCGAGCGTACCGTTTTGAAGTGAATATGGTGGTCAAAACACGATACTCTGATGTCAAAAGCACTGCCGAACAATGGTCGTTTATCAGGATACGCCGGAATATCTGTATTTCTTGGCTATATGTCCGCATGACGACGTATTGATGGCGATATAAACTTTGTTCTGAAACCTCAACTGTATGTGCGTGGGTTCAGGTTGGGGGGCTCTTATAGAGGACCTATGAAAAGGGGGAGAAAACAAAAAAAGAAGAAAAAGATACAATAAAAATAAATAAACAAAGGGTCTTACCTACATGTAGGCACCTGTACGGAATGCTAGTTTATGCAATTCCCGCCAACGGGAACATGGCAGTCATATTTGATGGGGGCGCATGCTGTCCTTTGCCCGACGGCCACTAATAAGGCCGGTAAGACTCATAATGCAAGGTAATATGAAGTTGGGCTGCCGTGCATATCGCGGATCGAATGATAACGTGCACTGGGCAGACTGTTAGGTCTTAAGGTGGCCATAACGAGAGCCGTGCCTCTATAAGAGCGTGCGGTCTTAAGGGGCAACGTCCACACGTCACTCCGACTCTCACTCACATATCCCTCGCTTTGCGTCTCTTAGGTTGGTGAAATACTGTCCCAAACCAAGCACACCTTATCACTGATAGCTAACATATTTACTTCTAGTCTTGCTCAATCATAGACGGTCAGGCTCGAGCGAACTTCATGGCTGAATTGGATGCGATGATACGAGAAGCGACCGACAAGGACAGAATCATTTCCAGGTTGACTGGTGATATCGAAACGTTGAAGTCACTGTCCCAACGAGGTTCGAGCTCGCGGATGAAAAGGGGAAAAGCAGCGGCGCAGGACGTCCATACCCAGATCATGGAGTTAGAGGAACAGGCGGCCCGACACAGAGAGAGTTCACGAGTGTTATGGCTGAAGATCAACGAAATGCAGGCGCAACCGCAAAACCGTGGGCCACCAGTAGCTAGGTAACATGGTTCGCTTCTTCTGGGTCGCTGGACATATGCTATGGGTGGGGGACTGTCCCTTTTGTCAACTGGTCAATCGTAGCCCGAGCCTGCTGCAGCAAGCGCTGGATCTCTTCCTCGCGCCCTTCCACGTGCAGATTGTTCTCGTCGAGATACTGGGCAAAGCGCCGCGATACTTCCAAGCGCCGGTCCACGTCTGCCTGTAGCTGTACATCGTCAGGGACAGGAATGTCGCATAGTCCCGTTATGTTGGGCATGACGGTTTCCCAGAAAACAAAGTCCAGCTCCGCCGGATCTATCAGTATGTGGGACAATGACCAAGCCAGGGCGTCTCTGGAGCCCCACTCGGCTGCGAGCTGCGCGTGGTACCTCGACTTGTCCTTCATGGAAGAAAGAACACGCGTGAACTCGGACGGTAGGCCGGCTAGGCCCGAGTCGTTGCCTGTGATCCACGTCGGAGGGGCGAAGGCACACGGCGGGACGCTTGCCGTGTACTCCCAATCGATGATGCCGCATATGGTAAGCTCATCGTCCACGAGGATGTTGCCAGGGCGAAGGTCGGGGTGTGCTAGGAAGAAGGACCGGGCGGTCGAGTGGATGCCCATTCTGGCCTGGACCTCTGGCTGGCAGATAAATCGTTGCGCAAACTCCTCTCGCTCAGCCTGCTCACGGTCCAAATCCTTGTGGGGCATTGTCCAAATGTGTTGGAGGATGCGAAGTTGCTCATCGAGGAATTCTTTCGCGCTCGCAGTCACGATGCGCGAGACGCTGTATCCGGCCGCCTGGAGTTCGTTCTTGCGGATGGAGAAGGCGCCGACAATGTCTGGTGGATTTTCGGGTTCGCCATCCTCGTTGTTGCTGCTGCGTGGCATGAGCGAGCCCCCTCGTGTGAAGGAGAGCTTGCGAAGTTCGGCAAAGACGTCAACTAGTTGCTCGAGAAAAAGCCGACGACGGGGTTCTGGGCTGGTCTCGAGCGCGTCTCTGGTTAATGGCTGGCCTTTGATTTGTTCCATAATGATAAAGACTTGAAGCTCCGAGGTATGTCGACAGAGTTTGCTCCTCCCGTAGGAATAGACCCGGGGAACCGGAATATTCGTATGCCGTCGGACGTATCTGCGAAGAGGTTAGACTGAGTTGAGGTAGTTAGTACGTTTCGACCTGAAAGACGACTGCACTGACTGCATTGTACAAACTTCGCTTCGTACTTTGTCCCACGCATCGTGTACTGCTGGCTGAAGAGGAAGCCGCACGACGCGCGTAGAGCCGTCGGTAAATTCGAGGACGAAGCAGCCGTTGAAACTACCCCGGTACCGCGCCTTGATTTCGCATGGCAGACGCTTGCTGTGGTGCTGCGTCCCTAATGCCCGGATGGCGTCTTCGTTGACTGACTCGAAGAATGTGTGGCTGCGACGATAGATCTGCTGCTCCGTCAAGGGCCATGCATGTTGAAGCGTAAGTGCCGGGGTTGCCGACTGTTGAAGCCCGGTGGTGAGGGCTCGTAAGAGTCGAACGAGGTTGTAAAAAAATCCAGTGGAGGATGTCCAGATTGTTGAGAAGAAAGCTGAGAGACTGCGTCGAGAAAACAAGAACATGGCGTTACATAAAAGGGAGGCTTGTCGCTCGGCACGTGTATCCAAAGGAAGCGAATCGTGGAGAGTTGCATGTGAGACTGAGAGAGGTCGCGGGTTACGACGCGTTGGCGGTCAACATGTCTCGACCGACCTAGGTACCGTAGCCAAGAACGGGGGACCGAACCACGGGGACCCACAGGTCGGCGCTGATTGGTGCGCAGCCATTACCCGTGCCACGCCCCACTTATTTTGGTTCGTTTGGCGCAGGCTGTGTTGGTGAAGCCTGCCACACTGGGCCATCTGTCACGACTGCCAAAGGCCGTCAGCGCCTGTCCCGGCATTTTCTCAGCCGCGCTCGATACGTCAACCTTGTCCCTGACCTCGACCATAAGGCTGCCCCTGTCACACTGAAAACACGTGAGCCTGTTTTCTGTGTTTCTATTGGCTGGACTAGCCCTATATTCCTCGCGTGGAAAAGGGGTAGATATATTTAGAACACCCACACCTTCCTGTTCTTCTTTCCTTTATATAACGAATATAATCATATATCTATTAAATCTCTGCTCCGGCCGGATCACACGCCCGTTAATCCAATAGTTATAAGCCCGGGTGGTAGTATTTATTACTAGTAACTTTTAGCTGATCTATCACCTATATATTATTACTACCCGTTACGTATGCTTCTACAGCTAATTAAGGAGTATCTACCCTACTTTCTCGCTCAGAAAAGCCCTTATTCGCTAAACCCCTGCTATAAACTATATCCACGAAGCTTAAAGTCACCGCTAAAGCGCTCGGTATCCCGCGGCTGGAGTCTACTAGGTAATAGGCCGATTAGATCTTCTATATTAAGTTATATACGCAGGGTATAAAGGTCTAGGCCTTACTCGACCCTAACGGGCTAGAGTAGCTAGACGACCGACCCGAGTACGTTATACCTATATCTATCGACTAGCTACGCGAAAAACATACCCAGGTTATTAACGGGGTGCCGACCCCTCCTACCACGTCGGAACTAATCGAGCTCGCTAAGCTAAAAGGCTATAAGGTTACGGCACGTAATTAAAAGCTCGCCCGATCGATTAAGGCGCTTAATAAAGCTAATTATATACTTAAAGCGACTATCGAAACCTTTACCTATTAATAAGCTGTTCTTTATAATACCAGAGGGCTTAGTCAAAATAGCGGAACCAGCGGCCTTAGCACTGGCGGCGCGGGTTAAGGGGGCCTAAAATAACCACTGTCAGCACCTATATCAAGAACCAGAGCTCCGGTAACTTACTATAGCACGTTTAAGTGACGAAAAACGGCTATTTAAGGAAGATAAGAAGAAAAAAAAAATCCGAGAGATTAGGCGAGGCACGAAAAAATAACGGAAAATCGTTAAAAAGAGGCCGTGGTTATAGGAGGGAAAAGAAGGCTCCGAGAAGGCTGAAAACCCTTTTATTTATATCCGGCACCTCCCCTATCTACTAATTACTTTAAATAGCATTTTCCTTTATTATTTACTACTATTATTATTACTCTTTCTTATTTTACAGCTCCCATACCTGCCTTTTAACTCGACTTCAAAGAATCCGTAACTACTCTTTAAAGCTATTTTAAGATTAACTATAAGGCGCCGGCGAGGTTAGGCTAAGCAATTACTAAGCTAATCAGGGCATAGTAATTAGGGGGTGTATCGCACTAAAAACACGTGAGCCTGTTTTCTGTGTTTCTATTAGCTGGACTAGCCCTATATTCCTCGCGTGGAAAAGGGGTAGATGTATTTAGAACACCCACACCTTCCTGTTCTTCTTTCCTTTATGTAACGAATACAATCATACATCTATTAAATCTCTGCTCCGGCCGGATCACACGCCCGTCAATCCAACAGCCCCGCGTGGCCTCCCACAAGAACGCTCCTCCTCATCCTGCGGCTATTGCTCGACTCGGACAGCCACCTTATGGCATCGTCACCGCAGCTATTACATCAGATTCTGGCCGAGATATCATCTGCTCATAACTCGAAATGTAAGGCGACAGCTGGACCCTTCAAGGGTGGGTCCAACATTGTCTACGCGATTCAGTCCGACCGCGGGAAACGTTGGTGTCTCCGCATACCACTGGATGCTGACGCTGCCTGGCTTGCTGCCAGGGGCGCACGTCTTTTAAGACGTCTAAAAGAGCAACAGCCAGCACTTCAAGTTCCAGCCATCATCTATACATCAGAGCGTTATACGATACTGGAATACCTGGCCGGGGCTCCTTTGGGGTCTTGGAACACACAGCTCTTGACAAGGGAGCGTCGTCGGGTACTTCTCGATCACTTGGCGTCATTCTTGTTCTCCCTATGGACATCAGATATTGTAACTATCGACGCTCTGGGTCAGATTATTTTGTCCAACTTATGAAATGATGTTGAGAGTAACTGTCCGCAGAACACAGAATAACCTACCGGGAATGGCTCAGAAAGGAGGTTGACCGAGGACTTCGTCGCACACTCCAAGCGAACTCGTCTTGGGGTAATCCGCTGCATTATCTCTATCGCCGCTCTAAGATTGAGGAACTTACACCTTATCCAGACGATGGCCGTCCTATAATCAAGCATGGAGACTTGAATGCGTGGAATGTTATTGTATGCGACAAAGGACTGTCTGGGTAAGTCTGATACTCCTCCTAGTTACTGGCAGCATTTCTCATTGGAGTAAGGGTCATCGATTGGGACACTGCCAAGCTAGCTCCCGCTCCTTCTGCTATCCAACACCCACTCTTCCTTGCAGACATTCCTGGATGGCGAAATGATCATGTTCCCGAGGGTATGACGTTTGAAGAAGATCGAGCGTACCTAGAATATGCAATCAGCAGGTTAGATGCACGTCTTGGAAGCCCACAGCGAATTCACGACCTCCTTCGCACCTCTTTTGAGCGGCAATTCCTAGAATTATCCCTTCATAACCAGCGGATCAACGAGCAGTATGTCAAGAGGAGGTTCGATCCTAGAGGGTGCACGGAGTAGGAAGTTAGCACTTGATCAGTTGGATGATTTTCTTTTAGCTCATGAATCAATGCAGGCTCTCCCTGCTGTAGTAGAGCTGCGGAGGAGCCTAAACCAGGACAGTATTAACCGGAGAGGAATACACTCGAGTTCGAAACAGGGACACCTCTACCAGCGTATGCATGTTCTATAGTCTTATTCAAAACCTTACACTTTCTGGGAATAACTTACGTGTCAGGACGGACGGATTTAACTTTGGATACCTATACCCATGTCGCAAAATTTCCTAATACAATGGAAATGCTCACAAGGCCGCTAAACCCTATCCGGATGAGGTCTTGAACACTTTGTTCAAAACATGGCCTTATGTAGGCCTAGCCCTCCAGACATAGCAGCATGCTTGATAAAAGTCAGAGCTTCACAGGACCCCGAGTTTTCCAGTGGGTATAGTCGTATGTGTTAGTCGAAAGCATTTTGGAGCCTTACGTATTACATCTTTCATTATAAAAGCGGCCTGGATTCAGATCATCCGAACAAAATGCAAGACGAATCAGCTGGGAATGGCTTCATCGAGTCATTGGACGCGGGCCAAGGTCGCCGAGCGTCCAGGTGCTCGGAATACTGTACATTACGCATCGGACCGGGCCGTTGCAGAGACCCCTAAAGTTCATTGGAATTTGATCTGACTGGATCACTTTTCTTTCTTCTTCTTTTTTTCTCTTTCTTTTCATGGTCCGCAATCGCAACAGGGAATCCAACAGTGGAGTCTGGTGAACTTGTCACACCGTTTCCATGTTCAAGTTTGGAAGGTCTTTTCAACCCCGTCTTCCAAAGCACAGGGCCAAGATGCAAGTGGGCGCTGACGGGACGCAATGTAACAGAACCAGCACAGTCAACAAGAATGGCCGATAGCCTGGAGAAGCCCCTGAAGAGATAACGGCGTCTATCCGAACATATGAATTCCCAGTGCAATTTCCTCCCCCCTGGCCTGTCCAGGCTGCTCTCCTAGGCTCAACCAACTTGTTTTGATTCCTCGCAGCTGCAGCTCTGCCGACGTGGCTAATGGCTATTTTTATCCGATTGAAGCGCCCAGGGGCCAGGGCCGGGAGCAGGCAAGGCAGGTCAGTCCTTTTAGAGCTTTAGGCTCAAGCGAACCGTCAGCAGATGCGATGCGCATGCCATGCGGCTTGCCCAGGTAATTATTTGTTTGTTCAATGTTCCCATGACGACGCCGACGGTCTGCTCCCCTTTCCTCCCACCTTTCCTCCTCTTCCAACTCTCCATCCTCCGTATATCAAGTCGCGTCGCAAAACTTCCGCGATCGCGCATCATCCCTGTCGCACAGAAAGAATCGCCAAAAGCGGTTTAACGTTGTCGCGAAACAACATTGTCGCATAGCGTCGCGTTTTTGTTATCGTCAATCATCTCAACTCCTTCCACCCTTCCTTTCCTTTCCTTCCCTTCTTTCCTTTCCTTTTCCTTCCCTCCCTCTCCTATTCAATTTCCCGCCGCCCCATCTGCATCCCATTCTCCATTCCAGCGCGCAACTTGTCTCCACGAATCCGCCCATTCCCCCCAGCCATCACAACATCCCCCATCGACCCGATTTCCGCCATGGTTCGCGAAGGCACCCGCTCGCAGACGGGCAATTCCAGGCCGCGCATCTTCCCCGCTGTCGAATCCGCGCCCGCTGCCGTGCGAAAACGCACCTCACAGGCCACCACCAAGACCAAGAAGACCGCCGAAGACCCCGTCCCCAAGGCTGCCAAGCCTACTGGAGTCACCAAGTCAAAGGCCAAGGTGACCAAGGGGCCCAAGAAGGCAAAGACGGAGACGGGCAACAAAGGCGCCCCCAAGACAGCAAAGGTGCGTCGCAAAATCCAACTCGATGCCGTCGATGGGGAAGCTATAGCCTATGCAGGATGACATGAGCTAACGTGCTTTCTTCTCGGGCAAAAGAAGGCCGTCTCGACTGCCGACAAATAAAGGTTGGGGGGGGTCACGAAGCGAATGTCGACAACGTAAGTCGGCTTGTGCCACTCTTCTTTCTGGCCTTTCCTCCACACATGCACTTTGCTTACTATTTTTATCCTGCGTCACAGATGTCAACGAGTCAACAAGGAGCTGGCGTTGGTTGCTTTGAGGCCCCGGTTTCTGCGCGCCTCTTCCAAGGTTAAGCGGATGGATGCCTTTTGTCTTTGTCACTGGATTTTCTGTTGCGGCGTGCTTGCTTTACTTAAATAGTGTTGTTCGGTAAATGGATCGATGTTTTGGGAATTATAAACTTGTAAGCAATGTATAAGTAGAGAGAATATCGTGAAATGGTATCTAAGAAAAAGTCGCTTATCAGAATACGCCTTGGATCTCTTCAGTTCAGGCTATATTGACTTGTGGCGGCATATTTGAATATAGTTGGGAAATATATGCGTCGGTTTAGAACGGGCTCTTATGGAATGGTGGAAGAATAAATAAAGGAAAAAAAAGAAAAGAAAAAAGAAAAGAAAAAAGAAAAGAAAAACGAAAAAAGGAGAAACAACCGTACCACTCGAGATTATTAAGCAGGCTTGATAGGGAGGTCATGTGACCTGCGCTCTGGGCAGGTATCTTATCTTATCTTCATATTCCCTCTACTGTAGTAGCTTAGTCAGGTAGATTTTCCCGAACCTGAGACCGACCGCGTCACTCACACCATCACGCAGCCCTCTACTATAATTCAGCAACTCCCGACTCCCAACTCCTGAACGGAATAACTACATGTCTTTGACTCCCTCCTCGTTAGGTCAGGGACGGCATCCGAATCTTGTTCCCACCCGCGAACGAAACACTCAAAAAGTCGTGGAGGAGTGGCTCCATACCCGCCTGAGCCGCAGCATCCAGCCACTCGTCCACCCCGACAAGACTGTACGTTGTCTTGAGGCCGTCCCTGTCCTCCTGCTTCTGCTCTTCCTCCTCAAGATACGCCTTCAGCTGACTGGGCGCCAGTTTCCTGTTGTTACAATGATGCACGAACTTGGCCGTCATCTTCACCTTCGTCTTCGTCTTGGTCTCATCCTCGGTGTAAGTGGCAGCGTCGACCGTCTCCAGTGCGATATCGACAAGCTGACTGGACACGTCTTGCACGGCAACAAGATCCAGAGGTCCTTTGACCTTGCCCTCAAGCGCAGGGACCTTGCCCAAGGCGCGTGAGGTGTTGAGGATGGCCGCCATCAAGTCCAGCTTGGGCGCACCCGCTCCGACGATGCTTGCCGGCCGATGAATCACGACAGGTAGGCCGTGCTGGGTGCTCAGCGCCTCCAGGACCTGCTCGGCCACCCACTTGCTGTCTTGGTACCCGCTCTGCGATTCGGGCGCGGGGATGCGGTCGCTGGCAGACTGCGTCGAAAGCGGTGTGGCATGGACATTGACGTTGGCGTCGTCGTCGTCGTCGTCGTCGTTGTTGTTGCTGCTGCTGCTGCTGCCCACGAGCGCCACGGCGCCGGTCGACACGAAATGAAGAGGAATGGCTCGGACCAGTGCCATGCGGCCGAGCTCGACGGTGGACGAGACGTTCGCTTGGCGCAGGGACTGGTACGTCTTGAGGAACGACACCTGCGCGCCGTTGTGGATGATCATGTCGGCGCGCTTGCTGAGACGCGCAAAGTCGGCCTCCGAAAGCCCCAGGCGAGGGGATTCCAGGTCGCCGGGGTACTCGATGATCTTGTCGCTCTCGACGGGCACGCGACGCGTCTGGCCATTCGCGGCGCCGCCACCACCACCACCACCACGGATGGCAATACAGTGCACCTCGCAAACGCGATCATCGTCAACAAGACGCTGCGCGATCGAGCTGCCCAGGAACCCGGTGGCACCTGTAAGCACCACAACTAGGCTGTTCGGGTTTGTGGGAGCCGTGTCACCGTTCTGCGTGAGGGAATTGGTCCCTTCTTGGCATAGAGGCCGCAGCGCTTCTTCGCACGCATCTTCAATCTCCTTGTTCCAGTCCACTCGTGCAGCAGCTTGGCCTTGGCTGCCGTTCTCCTCCTCGTCGTCGCCGTCGCCGTCGGAAGAGGCAAACAGCGCCGCCATTCCGCCCAAAGTGCTGTGCTGGAAGAGCTCCGGTAGCTGAATCCTAGCAGGCGCGAACTGGCTCTCCAGCAAGGATCGAAGCTCGATCAAGTTTCGTGAGTTACCGCCGAGGCCAAAGAAGTCGGTGTTGGCATTCGCCATGTCCAATGCCATCTTCTCCCCGAGGACCTGCTCCCAAATTTTCGCCACCTGTCTCTCGGGCTCGGACAAAGACGCAGTCGAATTCTCCGTGTTGTGATTTGATTGTTTCGATCCTTGCAGCTCGGCGGCCGGAATGGGGTATGCATCAATGGCGCGTCTGTCCGTCTTGCCGTTCGAGTTGGTCGGGATTCCAGCCACGGGAACCCAGACGGAAGGACGCATGTACGGCGGCAAGGGAAGCTCCCCGCGGAGCCCATGCCTCACCCACTCGATGCTCTCGCTCTCCTCGCTCTCCTCGCTCGCATCTCGGCCCAAGACGACCAGCGCAACGAGCATCTCGTCCTCGGGACGCCACGACACGGCGGCGTTGCTGATGATGTCCTTGGAGCAGCGCACAATGGTGGCGGCAATCTCGTCGAGCTCGACGCGCTGGCCCCGGATCTTGACCTGGCTGTCCTGGCCTCCCATGCGTCCGAGCACCGTCAGGGTGCCGTCTTCTGCGGACAGACGGCCCAGATCACCCGTTCGGTAGACGGGGAGGCCCGAGGGCAGCAGCGCGACGCCTCCGCGATTCAGCTTCGACGAGTCGATGAACCGGCTCTCGGTCTCCTCGGGCCTGTTGACGTAGCCGGGGCTGATGGAGTACGGCGAAGAAATGCAAATCTCGCCGGGAAAGCCAGACGGCGCGGGGTTCAGCTGCTCGTCCACAATGGTGAGGCCGTAGTTGGGCAAGATGCGAATGCCATCCGAATCGGTCATGATGTCCTCGTCCGTCTGGTACGGGACCAATCCTCGGGCACAGCCCAAATAGGTCTCGGTGGGACCGTACGCGTTGAACAGCTTCAGGTCGGGGAGAGCCAGATGGCGGAAGGCGCGGCGGAGATGGTGCGTGACCTTCTCGCCGCCGGCATGGGCGAACCGCCACTGACGACACTGCTTCAGGTGGTCGAAGCCGTACTGGAGCATCAGGTGGTACTCCGACGGGACGATGCAGGTGTACGTCACGCCTTCGGAGAGCATAAGCCGGGCGAGGTGCTTCGGATCACCTCGGCCCTGCTGGCCCACGACGATCAGGGTGCCGCCGCGGGCCAGGGCGTTGAAGATCTGGTCCAGGGCCATGTCGAAGCCGTGCGACGTCTGCTGCAGGACCACTTGGCGCTCGCCCGCTACGTCGGCGAGGACGTAGATCTGGTTCAAGAGGCCGATGTGCGTGAGGCGGACGCCCTTGGGCACGCCGGTGGAACCACTCGTGTACAAGAGGACGGCATCTCCGTCTCTCTTGCTCAGATTCGGTGTCGGATCCGATGTGGAGGAAGCTGCTGTGGGTGCATGTGGTGCCAGCAGCTCTTCCAAGCGCAATGGCTCAGCGGCATCCAGTGTCTCTCCCTCGGCGGCAGCCAGCTCTTCCGCGAGATCCTGGGTGGCCTCGGAGTGAACGAGGTAACGGGGCTTGCAGTCTGCCACGATGGCCGCGAGCCTCTGCCACGGATTCCGCATGTCGAGCGGCACCCACACTAAGCCGCGACGGAGAACGGCAAGCGGAGTGCAGATGGCGTTGACGTCGGGAGGGAGGAGAACGGCGACTCTGGATCCGGGCTGGATGTTGCTGGCCTGGAGCCCTCGGCAGATCTGGTCGGTCCTCTTGATCATGTCCGAGTAGGAAACCTGGTTGCCGTCGTCGTCTTTGATGGCGATGGCATCTGGGAACTCGGTTGCAACCCTTGCGATCTGGTCGACGAGGGTGCCCTCCCATTCGATGTTGACTAGAAAGGGTTCAGTCAGCATTGCGTTTGAGGAAAAGGGGGGAGAAGTGATTCGAGGAATCTGGGAGACTGCAGTGAACAGAACTTACCTGTCGGCCCATGGCCTAGAGCGGTGGCCTTGCGCATCTCCTGTGCATCAGCAAGGGAACAAGTGCTGACCCGGACAGAAGAGTCCTGCGCAAACGACTTCAACGTGTGCATATACCACTTGGTCAGCATCTCGGTATCGGCAGCACTGTACATGTATCGCTGCGTGGTGAGGGAGAGAACACAGGCGCCGCGAGGGGTATCCGAAACCTCGACGGCCAGGTCATACGAGTTCTTCGCGGCCATGGCGCCGGTCCACTCGAGCTGCCCATCGCCCAAGGGGCTGGAGGACGGGATGCCCAGTCGATAGTTGACGATCACTTGGAACAGCGGATGGTGGGTGTTGTGGCGAGGCACCTTGAGCTCATCGAGCAGCAGCTGGAACGGAACTCCCGCGTTGGACAGGCCCGCCAGGACGGTGTCCCTCGTGCGCTGGGCGACCTTGTCGAACGTCTCGTCGTCCTGGATCCTGCCGACTCGGAGGGGTAACAGGTTGAGAAAGCAGCCGACGGCCTGTGCGTCGTCCGCAGCATCCGGGCCACCGCCGCGGTTCGAGTCGACGATGCCGATGTTCATGTCGTCCGTGGTGTTGCCGAGACAGCGCGCGAGAAGGGCGTGGAAGCTGGCGACATAGAAGTGGAAGGGCGTGATGCGGAGTTGCGAAGACTTGGTCCGGATCAGGGCGCATAGGTCGGCGTCCAGTTTGATGTCGAAGGTCTGCAGGTCATAATCGTACAGAGGCTGGCGACTCTGGGTCTTCGCAAAGCGGAGTAGAGGTATGGGGGACGACGACGACGACGACGACGACGACCCGTGGACCCTCATCCAGTATGCGAGTTTATCCGCCATCTTGTCCGACATGCACTCGGCCCGCCTCTTGGCGCACACGTCGATGGCCTGGGGAGGGGAGCTGCTGCTCAGGGGCTGGCCGGCATACGCCATGGTCAGCTCTGTCAGGAAGACAATGGTAGCTTGCGCGTCCATGACGATGTGGTGGTGCACGAAGACGATGTGGTGGAGGCTGGGCGAGACGGACAGCACGGCCACGACCATCAGCTTGCCGTGGCTAATGTCGAAAACGTGCTCTCGCAGCTGTTGCACCTCGGCGTCGACATCGGCCTCGGCGTCGATCTGTTTGCGGATCACCTGGATCCCCGAGCCGTCCGTCCTTACATGTACCCCCTGGACGGCTTGCTGCGTGCTGGGGTCGACAAAGTACGCGCTGCGAAGGGCTTCGTGGCGTTGGGCGACGTGTTGCAGGGCGGCTTCGAATTGGGCCATGTTCAGGCGGTGCGGGTATCGACCGCGGAACAAGACGTTTTGGCTGGACTTGTCGACCAGGTACTCGTGGAGGAAATGGAGAGCCTCTTGCGAGTGAGACATGGGTCCCGTACGCTCGTAGCTATCTCTGGCCGGGGGGGTAGGGGCGGCGGCGGCGGTGGCGGCGGCGGCGGGAGATTCTTCTGCCACGGGAGATTGTTGCCGGGCCGTGTTCTTAGGGCCCGTGTTGGACGCTGATCCAAAGACGGACGGGGAGGCGGTGCTGTTTGGCGAACTGGGACTGGGGCTATCGAGCCATCGATCATCGTGGTTGGCTTGATGATCGGAGGACGTGTCGGAGCGTGAAGCAGTAGACGTCTCGTCACACTCGATGGTGATTCTCGGGGCATTCGATGGCCGGGCAGAAGCCGGTGGAGATTCCTTCTCCCGTTCCTGTTTGCCGGGAGTGTCGGAGACGATGATGCTGAGTTTCGACTTGACCTCGACGCTGATATCGGCAATGGTGGCATCGCTGAGAATCCTCAGGGTGGGCACATCCACAGCGAGCTCCTTGAGGAACCAAGACCGCAACTCGACGGCCACCAACGAGTCCATGCCCAGCGAGAGCAGTGCCGTCTTGGGGTCCATGGGCGCGCCGGTGTCGGCCAGCTGCAGCACCAGGCGCAGTTTGCGCGAGAAGGCCGCCTCGATGGCCGTCAAGACGTCCTCGTCGCTTGTAGCCTCGGAGATGAGCTGCCGGAGGGTCTTGTCGGGCTCAGCGCCCATGCCAGCAGTCGCGGAGAGGCCGCCGCCGCCCTGGTTCTCGGAGGGCACAAAGTGCGAGAAGCGCGGGAACCGCTTCCAGCTCGCCGTGTTGGACAGGGCGAGACCGGTGTGGATCTCGGGATCGGCAAACTCGACGCGGCCGGCTTCCATGGCCTCGGCCATGATGGTGTGAAACTCGGGCTCGGAGATGGACATGTAGGCGGCCGCCTTCATCTGGGCCTCGAGGAGCTCGCCCGCGTTGCGCCACATCCAGCCGAAGCCGACCAGCATGGCAATGTCGACGACCGAAGCCGACACGCCGCGCGCCCGGCGCTGCGCGGCCAGGCTGGCCATGAACATGTTGGCGGCCGCGTAGTTGGACTGGCCCGGGTTGCCGATGACACGCGACAGGGACGAGAAGAGGATGAAGAACTCGAGGGGGTCCGAGTGGAAGATGTTGTCGAGATACTCGCTGCCGCGCACCTTGGGGCCCAGCACCGCGTCGAAGTCCTCCAACGTCATGGCGCTGAAGGGCCTGTCTCGGAGCACCATGGCGCCGTTCATGACGCCGCCGACGGGGGGCATGGTCTCGACAATCTGCCGATGCACGTCGTGGAGCATCTTCTCGTCCGCCACGTCGAGCGCAAATACGCGGACGTGGGCGCCTTTGCTCTTCCAGTGGCCCAGGAAGCGGGGGTCGATGTCGGGCTTGCGGCTCGAGAGCGCCAGGTGCCGCGCGCCGTTGTCGATCATCCAGTTGCAGAGACCGAGGCCGAGTTCGCCGGTCAACCCCACGAGGAAGTAGGTCTTGTCGTGGGAGAACATGTTGCCGGTGTCCAGGGGCTTGACGACGGCGGCGACCCGGTCCACGCACGCCCAGTCGACCAGCTCGAGGGGGTCAGAGACGTGGGGTGCGGTTGCGCGGTTCGTGGGCAGATTGTCGACCGGGGTCGCAGAGAGGGTCGCAGAGGACTCGTCCGCCGCCACTGGCACGGGGACGGGGGACTTGGCTGCGTCGGCGTCGTCTCGGAGAACGTCTCGCACCTCCTCCAAGCTGAGCGAGACGGCGAGGTGGCCATGCTGGTTCGTCTGGCCGGTCAAGTGACGAACCTCGGCAGCGTCGTCGTCCAGACCGGAAGCCAGTCGCTGGTAGAATCCGGCAATGGGCTCTTCCCCGAGGGTGAGCAGGCAGCGGACATGGCTTGGAAGCAGAGAACGAAGCTCCCTTTCCGTGATGAATGGGTGGAGGACCCGAGGCGTTGTGTCACCACGTCCGCCCTTACCTCGGGCCGGAACGCGAACGCTGGTCGAAGATGTCCACAGCAACTCGAGGCCATGGGCGGATGTCACCTCGGAAGCAATTTCCGCAACGGAGGCGTCGGCAACGTGTAGCCAGACTGTGCCCTTGATGTTGGCCAGGGGCTTGACGAGGCTTTCGCAGATGATGCGCACCAGGGCTGCTCGGAGCGAGCTTTGCTGGGAGGAAGGGGAAGAAGCTGACGGGGTGCCGCCGGGGGACTGGCCAAGTGGGATGATGTCGTCGGATGCAAGGCTGATAATGGAGCTGTTGGTCGGGGTCAAGGCGAGCACCATCTCGCCCGACTCGACGGCTTTACCGACACAGACGAAATGATGGCGGCCTTCTTTCGTGACCACGGGGAAGAGAGAGCAGGCCTGAACGCGTACAGCTACGTCTTGAGAAAGGTCGGCAGCAGTGGAGGAAGAAGCCTTGCTCTTACTCTTCGTCTGCTGCTCCAGCCAACACACGCCACTGGGCGACTCCCTCCTCAGCGTCACGGCCTGCTGCGAGACGTTGACTTGCCCCTGGACAGTACGGCGGCCCAAGTTGATCCTCTGGTTGGAGGCTTCTTCGGGAACGATTCTCGGGATGTACGTGTCGCCGCCGTTCCCCTGGATCAACGTCTCCGTCTCACCGGACCAGACGACATGTTGCCACTCCGGGTCGTCGTACTCGTCGGTATCCAGCAGCAGCATGCGCAGAAGCATATTGGACAACAACACCGCGGGCTTCTCCTTGTCCTTCTCCTTCTCCGTCTGGGCCGGGTCCACGTCGACGAACTGCAGGTTCAAGTGCGCGAGCTCCTGCATGACCGAGCGACCCAGACCGACCATGATGTTGGCGTAAGGGTCGTCGGCGCGGCAGCCGCGCGTGGCCCAGAGGATGGTCTTGGCGTTGTTGAAGATGCTCTTGAGGGTTTGGAACTTGGCGGCGTCCATGGTGCGGAAGGTGGCTTCGTGGAGGTCGACGAGCGAGAGGACGGTGGTTCCTAGAGGCAGAGCGGCTGCCGGAGCGTCCATGTCGGCGCCGTCCCCGTCCCGGGCGGCCAAGACCGGGTCGTGGAGGCCCTGGGCGACGGTGATGGTGTTGGCAAAGGGAGAAAGCAGGTTCTTGATCTCGCTGACCAGTGTGGTAAGCTCCGTACCCGCTGCGCCAGGGCCAGGGCCGGGGCCGATGAGAGCGATGTGGTCGACCTTGGGAGCAAGGGGCTGGCTGGGCTCCATGAGGAGAGGGCTCCTCAGTGCCTCGACCCTGCCATGACCGTCCAAGGCTTGGGTGGTAAACACGGAGAAGGTGTATCTGTCCTCGTCTTCCAGGTCACGACACTGCACGTCGACACCCGAGAACCCCTGGCGACGCAGGATGCCGTCCCACTCGTCGATGGAGACAGTCGGGTGGTTGATGCGCCCCTCTTCCTGTCCGAGCCACCAGCCCGGCAGCGCCGAAAAGATGGTCTGGATCCACAGCGCCTCACTGGTAATCTCCAGCAGGATCATGCGGCCGCCGGGCTTCAGCAGCTTGTGGCAATGGGCGATGGTGACGTCCAGGTGCTTGGTGGCATGGAGCACGTTGGCGGCCATGATGACATCGAACGAGTGCGGCTCGTAGCCCTGTTCCACGGGATCGCGCTCGATGTCCAGCGTCTTGAAGATCATCTTGTGCGCGTGGCGGGAGAAATTCGAAGCGGCCTTCTCGAAGAAGCCGGGCGAGATGTCCGTGTACGTGTACGAGGCGAAGTTGGACCGGAGACACTGGAGGGCCGTGGTGGTCGTCCCGCCCGTGCCGGCGCCGATCTCGAGGATGTTCATCTGCGGATAGCGGTGGGCGAGTTGGCCGACGAGCTCGCCTACCTGGGTGTTGGCCGTCTGCCCGCCGATGCAGTCCTTGTACAGCCGGTTCAGGACGTTGTCCTCCAGGAGAATCTGCAGGGGGGGCACGTCGCCCCGGACAATGGCGGCGTAGGCCTGGCCGATGGCGTGCACGGCGCGCAGGCTGATTTCGTCGCGGCCGAACTCGTCGCGCCAGGCTTGGATGTCCTCTTCTCGGTCGACGGCCCACTCGGGCTTCACGCGGGGGTGTTGGCCCTCTTCGATGGACGGTAGCAGCCTGTCGAACACCCAGCCCAGGCAGGCCTTGGCGTGCCAGGCCATGTCCTCGATCTCCGGCGTCGAGATGTCCTCCCGGAGTTTCCGCAAGAAGAAGTACGAGGTCCGCTCCAGGACCTCGTAGAGCCGGGAATCGTCATGGCTCGCTTTGATGATTTTGTTGTTCTCGATGCCGCAGGCGATGTCCTTCCTCCAGACGGTATGGGAGAAGAGCTTGCGGTCTTGATCGGGGCTTTGCGTGGTGAACGAGGTGCAGGTAAGACCCTCTAGCTGACACTGCAGGGTATAAGTGTTGGCAGCAGCAGAGTAGAGGTCGACGTCGGCGCAGATGATCTTGTCGGAAGCCTCGCGCAGGATGCAGTCGGCACTGAAGTGCTTTTGCGGCTGCTGCGGCTGCTGCGGCTGCTGCGTGGTCACTCGGACACGACGAATGCTCGTCGGAAGGTAAGCAGTCCACATGCGTCCGTCGTTCGGGTAGCTGAAAGCAGAGAACACGCCATGGAACGAGGTATCCAACACGGCGGGATCCACGATCAAGTGCGTCCGGTCCCTCTGAGACATGGAAACGGTGGCGAGGCCCAGACGTCGGCGGATCGAGTCGGCGAGGAAGTCTCCCGAGTAGTCAAGGCCGATGCCGCTCACGCTGGCGTAGAACTGGTCGAGGTTCACATCCGTGAGGGGGAGCGGCGGCGCTTCACGCCTCGACGGCTGTAGAGTCTCGGCCTCTCGCGCACTCGTCATGATGATGGTGGCCGACCCGGTAAAGTTGCAGTGGCTCTGCTCGTCGGCTCCGGCATCCGCTTCGATGCTGTAGCAAGAATACTCGGCGGTGGTGGTCGCTGCATCCTGCTGACGCGCGCGGATCACAAAGGTCACCTCGGTCCCCATCGAGGACTGCTCGGACAGCGTAATGGCTCGGTGGATCTTCATGTCGTTCAGCTCGATCACCTTGATCTTGGTGTTGGGTTGCTGCTGATCTGATTCCGGGACCAAGTACGACGCCGCCTCGACGGCCATGGACACGTAGCCCGCGGCAGGGAAGAGGACCTGGTTCTGGAACTTGTGTCCACGCAGCCAGTCCATCTCCTTGACCCGCATGATCTTGCGCCAGTGCACCTCCTGACGGTTGCCGCTGACGGTGGGCAGCCCCAGCAGATCGTGTTCCGGTTCCTTCCGGCCGCGCCACAGCTTGGACGTTCGCGATTCCCACAGGAGCGGCTTGCTGTGGTTCCAGGGGAACGTGGGCAGGGACTTGCAAACTTGCGGACGGAACGACGATGCCGCATCGGAGGCGCAGGCCCGGGCGAAGGCTTCGAAATCGGGCATAGCTTGCGCCTGACCGGCTCCGTCAACCTGGACATGGACATGCCTCCACACGAAACCCAGGGCCTCGGAGAAGGCGGCGAGATCGTTCTCGCCTCTCTTGAGCACGCCGCTGTAGGGCACCGCCACACCGGCCAGGGACTTGATCAAGTCGGTCGCCGGACCGCGCAGGGCCGGGTGCGGGCCGACTTCGAGCACGAGATCGAGCCGTTGGCTTTCTTGCACGGCGCGATCCAGCGCCTGCGAGAACATGACCGGTTGGACGAGGTTGTCCACCCAGTACTGGTCGGCGAAGCTTCCCGGCTCGTTTGTGTAGGATCCGGCCGAGCCATGGACGCTGGAATACCAGACGCAGTCGTCGTTGTCGCGGTTGACGTGGGTCCGGAGCACTTTGATGTCGCAGGCGCGCAGGGAATTCAGGTAGGCGCCCGAGCAGGGCTGCATGTGGTGAGAGTGGTAGGCCTTGTCCACCTGCAGCGCCCGGGCAAAGACCCCCTCGGCGTCGAGGACCTCCTTCGCCTCGAGTATGGCATCGGCGTCTCCCGAGACCGTGACGCTGGACCTGGCGTTGCTGGCGGCGACCGCGACACGGCCGTGGAACGGGGGACGCTGGCAGAAGGCCTGCGCGTCTTGGAAGGACAGCCCGATGGCCATCATCTTCCCGGGCTGGCCGGTCGGGGACGAGGCGAGATGGGAGTGCACGCCGCGGTAGTAGGCAATGCGGATGGCATCGCGGGACGACAAATAGCCGGCGGCGTAGGCAGCGGCGATCTCTCCCGAAGAGTGCCCGACCACTGCGTGGAAAGAAACGCCGACCACCTGTAGGAGGTGCACGAGGGCGACCTGTACGGCCGTGCAGATGGGCTGCGCGATCTCGGCGGCCCTCACGCGAGAGGTCTCCTCGGGGGCCAACAGCTCTGCGCGAAGAGACCACGAGGGTGCATCGGGGAGCTCGTCTAGGGACGCCTGAAGCTCGTCGATGGACTGCCGGAAGCGGGCCGACTGCGTGTACAGCTCGGCGCCCATTCTCGGCCATTGTGCGCCTTGACCGGTGAAGACGCCCAGAATGCGAACCGGGTACTTGTCGGACACGCGCGCGGCCTTGGCCGACTGGACGGAGAGCGCGTTCGCGTCCTTGCTGGCGGCGGCTAACCGTTCGATGAGCTGGTCTCTGTCGACGGCGGCGATGGCGGCTCGGACGGGGAAGTGCTCGCGCCGAAGCTGCAGGGTCCATGCCAGGTCGCGGAGGTTGATGCCGGGGTTGGTCTTGAGGGCTTGCGCTAGGTTCGACATGGCAGCCATCAAGCCCTCGTCCGAGCCGGCAGAGAGCGCGAAGGGGCCGAAGTGCTGCTGCGGCTGCTGATCTTTTGCGTCTTCGCATGCGTCTTCACGGCCACATGCATCGTCGGCAGGAGGCCAGCTCTCAATAATGGCGTGTGCATTCGTTCCGCCAAACCCGAACGAGTTGACGCTGGCCCTCCGCGGCACGCCCTTGGGCAGCTCCGGCCAGGCCTGCAGCCGGGTGGGGACCTCGAGGCAGTCGTAGAAAGGTTCGATCTTGGGGTTGAGACGGTTGAAGTGGAGGTTCGGGGGGATCTGGCCGTGCTGCACAGCCAAGGAGGCTTTGAGCAATCCCGCCAGGCCGGCCGCGCCCTCCAGATGTCCGATGACGGTCTTGACGGAGCCGACGTACAGCACGTCCAAGTCTTTGCCCGCGTCCCGTTCCGGGTCCGACTCCCCCGAGGGCCCCGACTTTTCCGGGAAGAAGGCACATCGAATCGCGCGGGCTTCCTTGGGATCGCCTGCTTGCGTCCCCGTGCCATGGGCCTCGAAGTATTGGCAGCGATCCTCCGTCTTCCGCCAGTCCAGGCCGCATTTGCTGTAAGTGGACTGGATGAGTGCGGCCTGGGCTTCTGAGCTGGGGACGGTGAGACCTTCCGATCGACCGTCCTGGTTCACGCCCGTCTCCCTGATGATGCATTCGATGTGGTCGTTGTCGGCCAGGGCCTGGCTCAACCGCTTGACCACCACGGCCGCGAAGCCTTCGCCTCGGGCGTAGCCGTCGGCGTCGGCGTCCCACATCCGGGACCGGCCCGTGGGCGACAACATGGATAACTGCAGGTGATCATAGTCTTAGTCAACCGGCGATGACTTGCATATAGTGATTCAGGTGCTTCAACGTACTTGCGATTCATAGATGTACTTCTCGGGCCCCAGAATGAGGTTCACGCCGGCGGCCACGGCCAAGTCGACCTCGCCGCCCCGCAACGCCTGCACGGCCTGGTGCAAAGCCACCAAGCTCGACGAACACGCCGTGTCGACGTTGACGGAGGGCCCCCGCCAGTCGAAGAAGTACGACACGCGGTTGGCGATGATGGCTCGGCTCGACCCCGTGGCTGTGTATTGCGGAGCGCACTGCACGTCCTTGTTCAGCATGTCGTAGTAGTCGTCGGTCATCTGGCCGACGTAGACGCCGGTGGCCGACCCGCGGAGGTCGGACATGGCGTAGCCGGCTTCTTCGATGCCTTCGTAGACGGTTTCGAGGAGGAGTCGTTGCTGGGGGTCCATGCTTTCGGCCTCTTTGGGGTTGAGGTTGAAGAAGGCGTGGTCGAATTCGCCCACGTCCTCTTCGAGAACGTATGAGTGGGCGACGTTGGAGGTCTGGGGGGTCTGTCTTAGCCAGGCTTCTTCCAAGTACAGTGCAAGCAAGGTCTGGGTCTGGCGGGGAGTTCAAGAGTTGAGGCCACAAGATGGAAAGGGGGAACGTAAACGTACACCATGGCGCACACTTTCTGGGTGGTGGAACGAGTGCTGGTTGAACTTGGACGGGGGAATCTCCTTTCGAAGATCCGGGGGGCTGCGCAGAATGTGCCACAGCTTGGATGGAGAGCTCGCGCCTCCTGGGAAGCGACAGCTGGTTCCGACAATGGCCACCGGCTCAGTCTTCCAGCTGTCTCTGCTGCTGTCGCTGCTGCTGTCGCTGCTGCTGTTGCTGCGTGGCGGTGCCATGTTCGGGGCGAAGAATATATCGGAATAGTATGGTTGGTATCTTGATGAGATGGAGGTCGGGCAGCTTGATGGACGCCGTCTCGCTGACTCTTGAGGACCTTGATGATAATGGCTAAGATTCGTGTCCCGATGCTACCGTGCTTCGAGATTTGCGCCTGTGTAAGTTGTAATGAGTAGGCCTAGTAAATTGTAACGAGAAAGGTCTGAGGGGAGGGTCTGCAGCTTTTGCTTCTGGTGTTTTGATATCGAGTGAAGCAAATAGACAGAGTGCCAAGTGCAGCTCCTCTGTCCCCAGCTCACTGGAGTCTGGAGTCTGGAGTCTGGGCCTCGCCGGACATACGTTGATGCAGTGCCTTCATGTTGCATTTGATCCTTCAAGGTCCTCCTGTAAGCCGGATGTGGAACACGGAGCGGCGGATTACAAGGCACAGTATTACTCTTTCGGATTTCTCGCTGGGATCGAGACCGACATCGACACCGACACCGACACCGCCGGCACGCCGGCACGGCACGGCGGAATCCTTCAACTTGGCCAAATTGTAAGCGCCGTAGTCGGCATATTTCCCCATTCCTGCGCCGACGGTTCAATGCAGAGTATTCCACCGAAGAATAGACACCATGGTCGTATTGTTACGCACATCATGTAAGTTGTTAGTTTGAGTAGCCATCTTCGAACCCGTGCTCTGGCGAAAAAAAGAAGAAGAAGAAAAGAACATTGAACTGTTGTTAAGCCACACGAACCAGTGTTGAGATTACCGTAAAGCCTGTGTCCCCTAGTCACGACTCCCGCAGCTGTCTCTCAAGTGTTCCTCCCGGTTCATACCATACCATACCATCCATACGGTCTATACAGTCTATACGGTCCATACGGTCCATACCAGAGTCAGACATGAGCGTCCGAAAGGCCCTCGTCGGGAAAGGCCCCGGCGAATACCAAATTATCCACGATGCGCCGATACCCGCCATACAGCCAGACCAGATGCTCTGCAAGACCAACGCAGTGGCCCTGAACCCAGCCGATGCAAAGACCATCGACAACTCACCCAGCCCCGGAATCGGTGGTTACGACTTCTCGGGCACTGTCGTCGAGGTGGGAAGCTCCGTCACGAGGTTCCAGCCCGGTGATCGGGTTTTCGGATTCGTCCACGGCCTCAACGCCGACAACCGGGCATCTGGTGCCTTCGCCGACCACGTAGTGGCAACCGCCGATGTCTGCTGCAAGATGCCCGCGTCCATGACATCCAACCAGGCAAGTACCATGGCGCTGGCCTTTGGAACTGTGGGCTACGCCATGTTTAAGCAGCTCGGACTGGCCATGCCTGGCTCCGAAACCGGGGAGAGGCCGGAATACGCTCTTGTTGCTGGTGGAAATACGGCTTCCGGCCGGATGGCCATTCAGCTTTTGAAACTGTAAGCTCTCTCTCTCTCTCTCTCTCTCTCTCTCTCTCTCTCTCTGCATCCGCAAATTCGCGACCTTGGCTGAGAAAAGTCACTCAGGTCCGGCATCAAGCCCGTCGTCACTTGCAGCGTGAGCGCCAGCGCCACCATGAAGGACCTCGGCGCGGTGGCTACCTTCGACTACCACTCACGCACCTGCGGCCGGGAGATCAAAAACTTCACCCGCAACACCCTCGTGCATGCCTTCGACTGCGTCACCACCGCCGACACCATGACCATGTGTTTCGAGGCCTTGGGCGCCAAGGGGGGCAGATACATCGGTCTCGAGAACCCGCCCACTCGCGTCAAGTACACGCGGCGGGACGTGACCGTGGACTGGGTCCAGGCCCTGACGCTCTTTGGGAAACCTGTCAAGCTGGATGGTGTATACGGCAGACCCGCCTCGCCGTCGGATCGTCAGTTCGCCGCGCAGCTTTACAGGGCGGCGGAGAGATGGACCCAGGAGGGATTAGTACGAGGGCCTGACTTTCAGCTTGGAGAAGGTGGCTTGGAAGGTCTTGTAGAAGGAATCGACGACGTTCGCAAGGGCAAGGTTCAGGGGTATAAGTTGGTGTACCCGATAGCTTAGGGTACGATAGCTACGACATGTACAAATGATAGCGGGCATGAAATTCAGATAGCAGTCTCCTAAGCTCCTTCATTAGACGTTGGTTATGTCGTGAACTTCAAGATAGAACCTCACTTATACGGACTTGGCGCAATTTGTGCAAGAATAAGACTGAAGCAGACACGGTAATGTTAGAAAAGAAATAAAGAGTAAACTAAATGGGGGGGGGGGGGGTTGCTCTCTTTTTTTCTCTTTTTTTTTCATCCCCCCCTCCCCTCCCCCCTTTTTCTATTTTTTCTTTTTCTTTCTACTATTTTTATTTCGATACGTAGTCCACATACAACCACCCACACAACGCCACCAGCACCATCAGAGCCCACGGTTCTTTTCTTCGTTGACGCCTCAACGGATAATAATTTATTATTCTCCGACCTTCATTTCCTCTGTCCGCCACCGGCCGGAGTCACCGACAACATCATGGCAGCCTTCATAACCCCTGTCATTTTGACGCCTAGCCCAACACCATACCATGCCTGCGCCTCGTCTTAGTCTCGTCTACGATCAGGATTCAGGGCTCCTTCACATATTTAAAGCAGACCAGACAATGCATGCCCCGTGGTAACACTCACTTCCACGCCAGTCCTTTCTCTCTTTCACTTACCGGCACCAAAACTCATTCCCAGAAGCACCTGTGACCTGCCACCAACTTACACGTTCCACCACCAACATTCACACACAAGCATCGCAATCGCAAAACAATCTCTACCCATACTCACCATGAGGCTCCCCCCCATCACATTCAACGCCGTCGCCGAAGCAGGCGTCAAGATGCTCCTGTTCGGCCGTCGCCGCCAAGACCTCACCCCCGCCGAGTTCCGCGACTACTACGAGAACCAGCACATGCCCCTCCTCAGGAACCTCTCGGGCGACGTGTTCCCTCTATCCCACGAGCGGTCCTACGTCCAGCGCCTCGGGCCCGACTTCGCAGCCAGCGTGGTGCTGGGCGAGCAGGACGACTTTCTCTACGACTCGATGGCCATCTTGACCTGGCGGGACATGGCCCACTTTCAAGCCACGTTCACGCTGTATGGAGACGACAATGTCGGGAAAGCCATTGAGGAGGATGAGGCCATGTTCACCGAATGGGGGAAGGCCGTGCTGGTCCAGGTCCAGGCTAGTTCCGGTTGCTAGACGGAGCATTCCGGATATCCCTGTCGGGGCGGCTGGTCTGATATGATATATCCGTTCTTCCCCCGCTTTAAACGGCCCTCTTTACTTTTTCGTCTTACGCCAGTGTAGCTTGCTTGGGAAGTGTATTATTCTATAGTCTGTAGTATCGAATCAATGCACCTCCGTGCCGACTTTTCCTGCCGTGGATATGTCCGGCCGGCCGTTCTAACTCCTTGGCATATCACCGTCGAGCCTCGTCCGTACCCTCAACACCCAAACGCCAACGCCAACGCCCAGCACCTGCTCTGCACATGCAGTATTGGGTTATGGCCCGCTCTATCTCTATTGGGACTGGAAAACTTCAACTTGAAACTTCAACTTGTTGTCCGCGGCCGCCTCCAGACTAGGACTATCCGTAGAATAGGAAGTTAGGAGCCTAAGATGTTCCATGTACACACCAGCGCAAAAGCCTGCAAATAATGATATTAACGAATTCAAGTGCATCCTCGCGACTGATGTACACTCTCCCAATCCTGACCTTCCCCTCTCCAGCACACAATCCCATTCAAATCGGCCGGTTCTCAATCGGCGGTCTTTGGATTCCAAAAACCTCATCCATCCACGAGAAAATCTTGAACTGGAACCGAGAAACCGCCCCCAACTTGGCCTGTAGCGAGCCTTGACCCGGCCCCACCGGATCCCACATCGTCAACCCTTCCTCGCCGCCCCGAAACTGGGCAAGCTTCTGGTAGGTCAAGTGCGGCTCGACCGTGTAGATGGAATCACGCGCACTCGTAACCATGACGGGACACTTCACCCTGGCGCAGATGGGCTCCTCGCCGGGCGGCTCCAACGAAATATCCGCCAGCTTGCGCAGCGCATCGACGCACGAATCCGTGCCGAACGCCATGCGCAGGTGCCCAAACTCGAGCTGGTGCTGCATGTTCAGGCCCGCCGCCCACTCCAGCACCGCATCCGCCGCGCCGTCCGACAGGTATTTCAGGAAGAAGGGCGACCGCGCGCGGACCTGGGGCCCGAAATCGTAAAAGCCGTCGCAGGAGATGCAGGCCTTGATGCGCGGGTCGGTGGCGGCGCGGAGGGCGAAGTAGCCGCCCATGGCCATGCCCATGACGCCGATGCGGTCGAGGTCGATGTTCCACTCCGGGTGCTCGCCGACGAGGGTCCAGAGGTGGTCGAGCACCGTCGACACTACGACTTCCCAGTCCCGCCGGATCGGGGGCTGGCCTGGCCGTCGGAGCACGATGCCTTGTCCCGGGCCGTCGAAGGTCATGACCGCGTAGCCGCGGGACGCCGAGCCTGACGCGGTAACGAAGTAGAGCTCTTCTTGTGTAGAGTCGAAGCCGTTGAGCGCGAGGAGCAAGGGCACTTTTTCTGCGCCGGGCTTCGTCGCTGCGGATTTCGGCGTGGGCAGGTACATGTATCCGGGGAGTTTGGTGTTCTGGTAGGGGACCTCGAACGTCTCGACGGCGGTGTCGAAGAGGGCGCACGCGCTGCGGAAGTTGGCCACCGACTTTTCCATGATGGGCAGCAGCCTGGTGTCGGACGGGTTGACATGCAACATGCTGGCCCGACGCCCTGGAAATTAGCCCTTTTTTTCGTTTCGCCTCGCCCTGGCCGGCCCACGAGTCGCAACCACCATCAGGCCACGACAGAGAAAAAGGGACGGTGGACCTACTATTCGCTCGCGCGCCTGTAATTGCACGCCCGCAAGAAAGCCCACCTCGCCGCTTCCCTATCGCCGACCTTCAGTGCGCTGTCCGCTGCCTCTTCGGCGAGTTCCGCCGCCTCCGCCCACGCCTGGTACCAGCTTTCGGGATCATTCTTCTTGATCTTGGAAGCCGCCTCCAGACACTCGCCCACGTCGGCGCCCTGTGTGGGCGCCATGGCCAGTATGCGGACGAACTCGAAGTTGAAGAACTGCCATGGCAGGATGTCGTGTGTCTGCGGCATCTCGAGAGAGTGGAGGTGATGCCCGTGGAGGATTGCTAGGTCTGTGTATGCGGGTGTATGTGGGTGTTGTGGGCTGGGTGTGGGTGTCGTGGTGTGTATGTGCCGCGCGACCGTGTTTGTGAAGATGATGTTGTGCTGGGTTTCCCAAATCGAGTTGACCAGATTCGGCCGTGGGTTCGCCTCGCTTTTTTCCTGGCTTCCTGTACCACGCGCGCGACCGGGAGGGAGGTTAGGGACTAGGAGGGACTAGCGTCGGGTCTTTTTCAGCACAGACCGGGACGAAGTCGGTGGATAGGTATGATTGTGGGGCCCAGGCGCATGCGGGTCCGGCCGAAAGCCATGTGTCAGGCCCGTGCCCGACCCACTTAGTTTGCTCACCAGCATTAAGCTTCATGCTTGGTCGATCCAAGGGACCAAATTAAAGTGGGGCGGCCCGAGTGCAAGGTACAACGCGTTACATACGTACCGTACCCTAGGGCCTAGGAATAAGAGCTGAGAGCCTGAGGCTGCCTCAACTTGCAGCTGCAGTACGAGTCGAGTTGACAGGATCCTGGACAATTTCATAGCTTACAGAGTCATAGCCTAGGAAAAACTGCGGAATGGTTAATGGCTTTGCCAATATGGTACATGTAATTTCATGTTCGCTTACACATCTGGGCTGTGCCTCGCATGCCGTCGGGGCGGGCGGGAAATGAGAGAACGGCGGCAATCGACGAACAGGGAGAGCTATGGCCTATGGGCTATGGCCCTGTGGTCTGTGGATAAGAAGGGAAATCAAATCCTGAAAAGGCTGCCCGCCCATCAAGTGCGGCTCGACACCAAATACGAAAACGTGCGGATTAGAGCCAGTCATCACCTTGACTAATAATACATGTAACCAATCAAGCAACCAGAGCCCAGACCCCAATCAGGTAGTATTCGGAGAATAAGCGGTGAAAACATGAATTTATTGGCGCCAAGTCGCGACTCACACTAAATACCTGCACGGGAGGAAAGAGACACAACCAAAGACAACAAAAGACAACCAAGGACAAAAGTGCTTGAGTCTAGGCCTAACATGTGGCATGTCCCGCTAACCCAGTGCATTCTCAACCATGGTGGTCTCAATCTCGAGACCTCCGGCCCTAACCCTCTCCACAAAATCCGGTCCCAAAACTGCGGCGGTCAGGCATCCGCCCTTGATGCCATCTGTCAGGTTCCGGTCGTACAGCAGCGTAGCCGCCGCTTGCGCCATGATCATAGCAGCAAAGGGATACCCCCCCTCGTTGTACTTCAGCTCGATGAGGCAACCCTTGCCCCCGTTCTTCTCCACCGCGGGGTCAGCCTCGATGAAAGCGGCCGCCGTGAAGGGCGCGCTCCTGATCTGCTCCTCGGAGGGTCCGGTGCCCAGGTCCGGCGCGGAACGCAAGATGAGGTTCATGAACCAGGGATATTGGACCCAGGAGAACACGGTGAGCATGACGTAGCAGCGGACCATGTTGCCAATGGCGCCCAGGTACGACTCGGCTTTCTCGTACTCGTTGTACTGGAAGTTGGGGCCCCAGCTGCTCTTGGGCCCGCCCAGGAGACCCCAAGACCTGTTGATGAGGCCGCGAGCTTGGTCGCCAGGCGGCGAGGAGTTTGTCAAGCGCCCGAGGAAAGGATCTTTGTGGATTCCGCGGATGGTCTTCAGGGGATTGGTGTAAGGTATCGGCGTCAAGAACGATGGGTGGCCGGCTTCGGCGAGGGCTTTCGGACCTCCGCTTCCGAAGGAGAGCATCGTGCGCAATGTACCGCCGCTCATGTTGGACCTGGATGCTGGATTAGACCCGAGAACCCCCGTCAAGTAGCGTTCAGGAGGATGGGTTGCAAACTGCGCATAGCATACTCAACCATATCGATCCGCAGCGTCATGTTCCCCATCTGTGCCGACCATTTCTTCGCAAGCTCGCGGGAGCCGTGGATAGCAAGAAGATCCATTGCTCCTGCCCTGAATCCGCAAGCTAGGATCAGCTGTTGATGAAACTGGTCAGCTGACTAGTTCCAGTTTCACAGGTCACAGTTCGAAGCCGCCACCTACCGCAACGCCATTTTCCTCGGCTTGTTTGTGGTATTTGTTGATCCAGTCTCGGCAAATTGGAGGAACTGCGGCGCTGCGAATCACTGTCAGAAATTATCAAATGAGAGACGGAGGAAGAAGAGATAAAAAAAAAAGAAAGAAGAAGAATGGGAAAACAAGGGGGAAAAAAAAGGGCCGGAACAAACCAGTCCACATAGTCAGTTCGCTGCTCCACACACGCCCGTATGATGTTTTCTCCATCAACAGTGTAGAGAACGCTGCTGATGCACACCTTGGCCCTGCCAATGACCTCTCCGAGCGTCTTGGTGTCCTCAGGCGTAACAACCTCGAGCTCTAATCGACACGCGTCAGTATGGACTTCAATGTTGACATTGGCTTCTCAAACGGTGCGAGTGCGACTCCATGAGTCCATCTTTTCTCACCTGGCTGCACTCTATCGGGGTACTCTTTTCTCAACCGCGCTGCCAGCTTCTCGAGCCGCTCAATTGACCGACCGGCGACTGCCCATTTGAGGTCCGCGGGAAGCTTGGCGGCGATGTGTGTGCATATCTTCGTGCCCGTGAAGCCGGAGCCTCCAACCACGACGATGCCATATTTCCGGGGAGTCGAGTCCGGGGCCGCCATATTGTGAGTGGACATGTGCTCCAAGTCGATGTCGTTGGATTGGTACCTGTTTTGCAATAAACTCCCGGCGCCCTAATGTGAGGAAAGAGCGAGCTGCGAAACGACTTGAACAGGCATTGAAGAGGGGGGCCAGACTGCCAGTGGTGGCGTCTCAGTCCTTATATCGTCGGCGGGATGGCGGACAATTATTGGACAGGGGGGGCGGAGATTGGTGGACTTTTGGGCGCTGTTGGTTGTTGGTGTCACACGTCAAACGAGCACTTTATATGTGGTCAAAACTGACTTATACCTCTGCCGGAGATTGAAAGGTTAGTTCACTACCTTAGGTACCTTACTCTGTATAACTTTGCCCCACATCTTAATCGCTGAGTCGAAGAGATTACAGGTAAACTGATATCTAACCACGAGGCTAAGCTAAGGGTAGGTGTGGGGCAGAGTAGGGCAGATAGTTAAGCTAAGAGTTGCTATAGGGCGTGGTCTATACTGGGTTATATAATAAGTGTATATGCCTGAAGTATCCGGTATTAATACGAGGGGTAAATAAGTAAGGGGTAATAAGTAGAGTAGGAGGTGGTGATAAATAGACGAAAAGACGGAAAACGGGCCGGAAACGATTCAGAAACGATTCAGGATAACTTCTTACACGGAACTAAATCCTGATAGTAAGATTCAGCCGCGAGAAGAGGTTAAAGACCTAGAAGAATAGGAAGACGACTTTTATAATCTTAGATTTATTAAAAATAAGAATTAAAGACTATATCTTTATAGACTTTATCCGAGTCGCCGAGCACTATAAGACGTTATCCTAAGGAATTAAGTTAAATAAGTAAGTATTTACTAACTACTACTTTATATTATCTATTACTTACTAAGATTAGATTCTATTTAAGGGGGAAAACGTCCTAATTTTAATTTCTACCGCTATATATAGTAACGGAAGACTTACCCTAGGCTCTCACGCTATATAGGTTAATAATATTCTATATACCGCTAGAATTCCTAAGATACCTTAAATATTACCTGCTAGAGTAGCCGTTATTATCCTAGTAGATATTTTAAATAATAAGGAGAAAAGTTCTCTATAGAAAATCATACGTTATACCTTTATTTAAGGTATTTTCTTAATTACTACCCTCTTTTAGATCTAGTATAAAATAGCTCGAAAATAACCAGGTTTTCGGGCTACTAGTACTATACTTAGAGATATACTAGTTTTCCGCTATACTTATACCTATTAAGGCGGTAAAGCTTATTAATATCTTTTAGAATTAGACTTTTATTATAAAAGTATTATACTATAGCTACTTAATTAAATTAGTGTAAGAAGATCCAAAGTTAAGGAGCTTACTATATAGAAAAAGACTTTAGGGTAAGTAAAACGCGTTTAGATTAAGAAGTATAGGTACTAATATTATTTTAGATAGGTATAGGCAGTAAAAGGAAGATTTAGTAAAAGGACTGCTTATATAGACCGGGAAGAAACGTGTATTCTAGTCGTGGACTCTAGTATCTACTATATAAGTATAATATTTTCGGTATTTACGTTATATCGAATTATTTCTAATTAATTATAGTACCTTGCCGACTTTTAATAATATCGTATACAGTGCTAGTCTTAGTTACTAGGCGAAAAAACGCGTTATTACTTTCTCGCGATTATTCCTCCGGTCTTTTACCCTTATATAGACCTTATTAGATAGACTTTTAATCTAATAATACACGGAATACTAGCGAATCCTAATAAGAACTACTACTTTTTTATAACGAGCCGCAGAAAACGAAGGATATATAGTATATAATTCCCGAAATTATTCAGAAATAATTCGGGAACGATTCGGAAATAATTTAGAGACTATATTTCACTTATACTCTAACTCTCTTATATAGATAAGGTGTATATCGCGGGACCTAAAGAAATCTAACGGTGAAAATATAATATCGAATTTCGATTTTTTATACTATACGATTTTAATATAATACCGTGGATTATTATAACCTTATATAGAATATACGTCTACCCTCCCCCACCGCCTTTAAAAGCCCCCCTATTAGTTATTAATAGTATTACTCGAGTACTCACGAAAATTAATAAACCGATAACTATACTAAATACGTTCCTTAAGTCGAGTAAACTTAGGTAATTCGTGGCAGAATTTAAAGGTAAGATAATTATAGATATTTATACTAGCCTTATAAATACCGATTACCTTCGGTATATTATTCGTAAGTAGTAGATTATCCTCTTTTCTTAAGGCGGTTAAGGTCTTACTTTAGCTCTAGAGTAGATAAAAAAGGTAAACTAACGAATATATATAAGTATACTACCTTATTACCTATAGTTATAAAGAAGATTCTAATAGCCTATATTAGTATATCCAGTACTTATACTAATCACGATATAACTATATAGTAATCTGTTTTTTTAAGGAATAGGTAAAATAATAGAAGTTTCCTGATATAACTTTCTTTTTCGTTAATACTAACTATAAATATATCGGCGGCGTAGAGTAAAAAGAAATTATTTATATATAGTATAGTTAAAACTCGGAAAGAGGTATATACCCGAATTATTCCCGAATCGTTTCTAAATCGTTTCTAATATATATTAGTGCTCCCTTTAGTAAGGTGCTATATAAACTCGGAGATAATAAAGATATATCTCTATATATTTTAGTAGGTTTTCCGGATCCTCGAGGATAAGTATAGTATTCTAATTTAGTGGAAATACCTTTATAGCACGGGTCTTCTTAGGGTGATTTTAGACTAGGCTTTACTAGCGATTTAAGGCTTTAGAAAATATCTTTAGGAGAGGTACTAGCTTAAAGAGCCTTAGGAGTTTATTTTCGGCGTGGTATTAACAGTATTTTAGGAGGTAACCTAGAATAAGGGGAAGGATTATACTACTAAATCCTTATAAGTTTCCTAGAATACTAGACTTAGGAGGATTATAATAACCTGTATAATAAGATTAGCCGTGAGTTTTTCCTCGAAATTATCTAGAAATAATTCGGACACGATTCCGGTATTATTCGGAAATAATTATAGAACGATTTAGCGATAATTAGGAAACGTTTTCGGCAGGGTAACTAAAACTAACCGACTTACTAGGGAGATTTCCCTAGTATTATAACTAGGCTATATATAAACGCTTTCTATATATCGCTATAGGATTTTACTAAGCTACCTTAAGTATTCCCGTGAAAGATTAGGCACTAATTACCGATAATTTAAATATAGTCGAGGTTATATATTAAGCCTTATACTTATAGACTAAGCGAAATATCTATATCCTTAAAGTAATTAATAGATAAGTTTAGCTTAAGTTATACCGAACCTACTTACTAAGTTTATTAGATATCGTGATTATAATTAGAATCCAATCTTAAGAGATTTTACGATACATTCTCTTTAAGTCCTAGGATTATAGCGGAATACTAGTATAAGAGACCGGGTAAATAACTACTTAGGTTATAAAAGTAAGCTTTACTATTTTATTATATATAGTAGAAGAGTTACTAACCTTATAGTATTTTAGAAAGAAAACTACGTAAGACTAATACCGAATAAGAGGAGGATTTTTATAATTAGTCGCGAAGCCGTGTAGTATTAAGTAACCGATCGATTTCGAGGTTACCGCTTAACCCTCCGGAAGATTTTAGCGTATTCGATTAAAACGATATAGAGTCGGATTCTCGAAATTCTTTAGTATAAAGCATAAGGAGTATACTATTAAGCGGGGTCCCTCTAAGACGCTTACGAAGTTAACGCCTAAATCCATGTAATCTTTATTAGCAGGTTACCCTAAGTTAGATTTAAGCTTTATAAGCTTCTTTATCTTTTAAGGAGAGGTCTCTTAATATAGAGGAGCGTAGATATAAGATAGCTTAAAAGGATCGTGAATTAAAGGCTGAAATTAAGAGGCGAAGGCTTAAAGATAAGCGGCGTTATACGCTTAAGCTAAAGCGGATCGAACTAGAAAGAGAGTTATTATTACGTTTAGGATAACCGAGTTAAATAGGTAAGAAGACTTTAGTTATCGGTATCGTTATTCGTATTATTATAGGGTATTCTTAAAAAAAAAAGCTATATCTTATAAAAAAACGCCTTTATAGACGCCTAATTATTATCGTAAAGTCCGAAATAGTAAAACCCCGATATAATAGAAACGTTTCTAAAACGTTTTGTAAATAACTACTTACTCCTCGTTATTAGAAGTAGTATTACGGGCCCGTAAGACCCGATAGTAACGGGGAGGGGGGCGGATAGCCTTAGGGAAATCTAGTAAAATAAATATTAGTCTATTAGTTCTTATTTTATAAAGAGTAGTAAACTTACCCGAGACTATTTTACTATCCGCTATATTATTATAGCGATACTTAGCCTAGACTATATAAAGATAGTCGTAATAAGGGGGGGGATAGCCTATAAAATAGATACTATTAGTAAAAGATACTAATAGAAAAATAAAATACAATATACTACGACCAATAGAGTTCTACTCTATACACGCCTAGTAATATTCCTCCGAACTCCAGCCGAAAAGATCTATTTTTATATAAAAAATATCGGGCTAGTAAAATAGATATATTAGCACGCGTTTCTAAATAGGTTCGGAATCGTTTCTAAAATAGTCCTTATATTTCCTTTATTATTTCGCGGAATATTACGAAGCTATATATCTTTAGCCACCGCTTTAGCCTTACGAGGAGTGTTAAGCTAACCGTTAATACTAAGAGTAAGGTTTTATATTAATCGGTAGTATTAAGCGGTACGGGTATTATCATAAGCGTTAAGGGAGCCTAAAGCACTTAGAGCGGCCTACGTATAGTGCGTCTTATAGATATATCTCTTTAGTGCATTAATCGAGGAAAGTTTAGAGCGCTATATAGAATAAATTAGTTAAAGCCTTATCGCTATTTCGTGAATAGGAAGATACTTATATTAAAGCAGAGCTCGCCGTCTTCTTCTATAAAGCGGTAGTATATCTCTCCCGCTACTAGGATAACCTTACTAGTCTTATAGAAGTATTAGTAAACTATAGTATATTAGATTAACGAGTATACTTACACCGTCCGTCTTAAATTCTAGTAGATTTCTAGGATATTCATTACTATCTTCCCTATTTATATACTATTAGTATACCTCCGTATCTCTATAGTTAAAGGGTATTATCGCGAATTCTATAGGAGAAATTTTAAAGAGGGTTAGAAAGGTTTCTAAAACGTTTCCTAATCGTTCCCGAATTGTTCCTGAATTATTTCTAACGCGGTTAGAGACGTAAAATACTAAAGAATCGATCCTAATAGGAAAATATACCTAAAGATAACGAGGAAGATAAATAAATTAATATAGTTAATAAAAAAAGTATTAATAGAGGGTAATAGTGATAGCACGAAAACACTCTCTATGAAAATATAGAGTAGTGGTAAAAGGAAAGAGATATAATAACGTTAACGCTACGAAAAAGAGGGGACTAACACGTTAACGTGTTACGACGCGACTCGTAAAGACTGGAGAAACGTTTCCCCTATACCGTTATTCCGGTATTCCACTATTCCTCTATTCGACTAATTAAAGCTTAGCCCCACACCTACCCTTAGCTTAACTTTTCCCAGCCACCCCCCCACCTACCCTTAGCTTAGCCTCGTGGTTAGATATCAGTTTATATATAGTCTCGAGTCGAATGCCCCTGTTGATCCGTACCTCTCCACCTATTTCCGTGCAACGATATAGGAGTAACATTAATTACCTACGTTATAACTGAAGCCATCACCAGTTTGTACGATGCCTGATCACCTGTATCCGATTATCGAGGGATGGCGAAGAAACAGATTGGTGGTCGCGGTGACGGTAGTGAGAAAGGGTGTTGGTGAACGGGTGTAGGTACTTATAGCTGCTAATAATTTGTATGTGTGTGGATGTACTTTTACCTAGAAGCATCCCCCACTGTCCTTGGTATGGATACTGTATACATTTGTTTATGGGTGTCGTTCACCCCTGAGTCCTCTTTGAGTCTATGCCCTTTCTACTGGGACACCGCAGTAATTAAGGGACAGATAGTGACCGATGTCGCGAGAATAATGTCCGCCACTGTGAGCATGGCGCTCGGAATATTATCACCTGCCCCATGTCCTTAGGTCAGCGATGCCCAATGGAAACAGTTAACAGACCTTCAGGATGCGAGGGAACGGACTTGCAGCCGAAATTTCCATTGTTGACCGCTGTAAAGCGTCTTCTTCAGTGTGATGATGATGGGTGCTCTTGTGTCGTCAATATGCCCAAGCATCCAGTTCCAAGGACCAAGGTTCTAAGCCGAATGTTTCAATAGGGTTGGTCGGTCATCGTCTCCGGTATGCTTGGTGTTGCTCTGGTAATATACTGGATGTTTATCCTTTGCAAGACATTCCACGCCAAAACCAGGGGAAATGCAGCCTAATATATGTATACTTTCTTTCCGACGTCCAATGCTCTTGCGGATGCACCATGCAATGTATCATCTGACCGTTGGAAATCGGGATGGCAATGTAACCTACCCCATTGATGACGTGTGTGGCTGGTTTTTCTCTCATATCCTCCCAAGATCAGCTTCTTTCACATTTACTTTCCTGGTCTCGACTCTCACTCAACCATCAGCTCCATTGTTCATGCCAGCCTACGGTCTACCATCCTCGGACTTCAGATGCCTCATGTGCTCTCACTGGCAAGGATCATTAAGACGATCATTAGCTGAAATGGCACTTTAGGGCTTTCCTCAAGGAGACAAGAACACGTCTTTAAACGTTGACCTCTAGGGTGCCCTTCAGCTCCAAGACCTTCTTCCACGAATCCCTCGACGCCATGCGCTTATGCCAAGCATCAACATTGGGGTACTCCTTCAAAGCGTCCTCCGCCGGACAATCCAACATGAGATGCACGAGGCTGTTGTACGACACGAAAGCCATATCGGCAAACGTCATCTTGTCGCCGACCAGCCACTCCTTACCCTCCAGAGCCTTGTTCAACACGCCTATAACCCGCCAAACCTCATTCGTATACCGGTCGATGGCAGATTGGACACGCTCCGGGTGGTGCAATCTAAACCTGCAGAATCATTCGTTTGACCAAAGTACAACACGGCGTCAGGGTCCGGGGAAGGGAAGGGTACGTACCATCCAGCCTGACCAAAGTAAGGACCCTGACCACTGGTTTGGAAGTAAAGCCATTGATTCACATGATGGACCTCGTTTCCCCCAGGGTATGTCAACGTGTGGTTCTTGTCGTATTCTTGGACGAGGTAGGTAAGCACAGCGCCGGACTCCCAGAGGACGAGATCCCGGTTAGGATCCTCGATAACTGCCCTTGTTGTTAGTTTTTATTTCTTTTGATCCCCAAAGATAGAGACACGCAAGCGGCAAAAGCACATAGCTGCACACTGGTCAAGTACGCACCTGGAACTCGGCCATTGGGGTTGAGATCGGTCAAAGGGGGAGATTTGATGGTGCTGGCATGTACCACTTTGAGCTCATACGGAAGGCCCAGCTCCTCCAGGACGAAGACGACCTGGGTGATGAAACATGATACTTAGTACAGTCCACTGTAATCGACCCTTTTACCCTTGAGACAATGTACCTTCCACGGATTGGGGCCGGCCATCTCCTTAGGACCTGGGGGGACAATTAGGTAAGCACGAGCATGAGCCTGTGGCGGGACAGGGCCGTTCTGAGGACTTCGTCTCACCGGCCATCCACACGCGAATGGGTTGCATAATGGCGATGGTTGATACGGTATACCCAACTGATTTAGGTACCTATGTATTAGGCGGGCTTGGTATCTGAATAAAGTAGGACGCGGGAAATCGATCCGCAGGATGTATTGTAAATTGTGCCTTGATTAGGAACTTTATACCTTGAGGTACTCGGTTGTTGATTACCTTACTGGTTGCATACAACGGAGCTCCATAAACGTACGTACCTCAACTGCCTTAAACTCCACAAGCAAAGTCCGCTCCGCCGAACAAAGAGCCCAAACCTATCTTAGCGAACGGGACAAAACCGCTGAGCCGAATTCGGCGCCAAAGGATCAATATCAGAAATGCAGACCTGCTTACTACGGCTCAAACAACCTATTTGATCACGCCGACATTATAACATTCAGCCGATACCGTCCCATTGAGCCGACATGGTACCGTTGACCCGACCTTGGCCTGCACGCAGCACCGCCAGCCTCTGTTCGTCTTCTTCCCACGTCTTGCCGCCGCCGCCGCCCCCGGCATCCACATCAAATCCTCCGACAAACCCCGCTCCAACACCGAGCGTCGAGCGACTTTCCTACACCCCGAAAGCCGCGCCGCAGGATTCGCCCTGATGTTCTGGAATCAAGCCGACAAAGTCATGGAACTAGCAACAATGCAAGTGATCCAGCAGAAAAGATCGACAGTGACGCTGCGGGTAACGTGAATCACCATCCACCGTCGCAGAACGGGCGTCAACCCCCCGTTCTGCAAACCCTTGATCTGGGACATAATAATGGGGACGAAGCCGAAGTGCGCAGCGGCAAGGGCGGTGCTGGCAATGTACCACCCGAAGGAGCCCTTCGCGCGGAGGACCTCCTCGGAGGTGGTGGTGAGGATGGCGGTGGTGGAGGCTATGGTGCCGAGGAGCGGCAGGATGATGGCAGGGAGGCCGGTGTTGATCATGGTGTTCCAGTACGGGGTGATGACCTCTTTGGTGTACGGCTCGACCTTCTTGTTCAGGAAGATTCCGAGGAAGAAGAACTGGTCAAAGGCGAACCATAGTGACACCGTGGACGTGATCACCGGCACGAGGTGCAGTATCGACATGATGACTGAGCCTTAACCGGGGAGGAGGTGAGATGGGCTCCTTGGTGTGTGGATGTTGAGCGTGGGCGTGGGGCTAAGAGGTAGACTTTTTTTTTTTTTTTTTTAACTGTAGAGCAGAAGTGTGGTGTGGAATCTCTTGGTGAGTTGGAACTTTGCGATCTCGGGGTGTCTTATGCTCGTCGATACAACATGCCGCCGATGATGGAGGTTCGGTGTGTCACTGCGTGGACAGTGGGGCTAAACCCGCCGCGTGTCGAACGATTATAAACGTCGCCCGTCGGACGATCAGAAACTGTCAGACAGCATACACCGTAAAACAGAAAAGGGAAAGAAGGGGAAAGAAAGAAATTAGGAAAGAAAGAGAGACGACAAATCCCCAACAAAAACTTGACGCGACTCGAAATTGTCCATGTACCTAAGTTACTTTCCCTTTGCTTTTTTGCGTTCAGGGGTCCCTGCAAGCCTTAAAGCGGGTCAATACCGAGGCCAGGCCCCTGGAAGCTTCTGTACGCGCGTACCTAGTGTACAGCACACGTGCAACGTAAGGTACCTTACGGAGAAAGACGCCGAGCGGGGCAGTGTTTGTGCGACAATCCTTCAAGTCGGATCCTTAATTAATGGAGAACCTGCCGTTGCTCCCGTGTCAAACTCCGCTACCTGTCCCGGAAATACCATCACGGTACATGCGGAGTTTGGTGGCCTCGCCAGCACCTCGTTCACCGGCCCTAGCCAGTACTACCAGTAGCTAAAGGCCGTACGAGAGATCGTTTAAAAAACACAAAGCCCAGCCTTCAAGTCACCCTGGCAGTCAAGCAATTCATCCATTGGCCCGCATCTTTGATTTACACTACTTTCCCGTATCGGAAACAGTCCTACTCACGCCCCCCCGACACACACACACACACTCACCTCATCCCAAAATGGCTTCCCGCGACGTTCTCAAGGTGTCTGCCTTGCACTACAAGGATGCTAGTAAGACGGACGAGGAGTTCGAAAAGCACGTCCACGAGAACATCAACCCTGCCTGGGTGCAGCTTGTCAAGAGACACGGCGTTTTCAAATACGCGGTGGTCAGTGTTCCCTCTCAAGCTTGCCAAGACAAAATAACCCTTCATTATTAGGTGGTTGCATTGGTATTGAGCACAGCTGACGCGTCGACCATTCTGTGGCGTCAGGCCTTCTGCCCTAGCATCATCTCCGCCAAGCTTGCGGAGAAAGTGGAGAAGACCCGCCCGGGCTGGACCGTCATTAGCTCCCATGCGGTTCTGACCTACTGGGTTCGCGACATCGAGCATATGCTGGCCCTGACCGCCGATGAGGGGTACAAGGAACTCGGCCGAACGTCAGAGGTGGGCTGGATTGATTCCACCAAGGGCGAAGTCATGGTCGGATACGAGAGGGTTTACATCGAGAACGGGGAGATTCTCGATTAGAACCCCCCCAAGAACTTGAGGCGCTGCGACGGGCTCTGGGCATGGAAGAACAAGCGGACTTTGGGGGCATGGGCGGGAAACGACGTGTTCCGGTGTTCTGGCCACGAAAGCACAGGCGGACTTTGGGAGCGAAAAACGGGAAACAGGACCTTGGGAGCCGAGAAGGAAGCTTGACTGCAGATGAACAAGATGCGGGTACACGTACATACCTTAGGAGGTGGCACGGTTCACGATTCACCCCCTGCATATGGTTACGTAACCCCCCTCCGCAATGCCTCCTTTGGGATTCCGCTGGCCAACCGGATGTATAGCCAGGCACCAGGGGCTCATAGGGGGGGCCCCCTGACCTCACTCACTGCCACTCTCGCTTTTTCGTGATTACACTTACAACGTACCTTACCTAATATCTACAAAGTACACAACCAGACTCTACTACCTTACCCTCCCTACCTTATACACCTCTTTGCTCCGTGCCTCGTACAACATATTGTAGGCAACGTGTCTGTACAATAAGATCATGCGATGTAGATAGTCCCAAGCCACTGGTTCAACAATTTTTATTCAACGTTCCAAATTTCCAATGGCATCTACCTATGCTGACCACGTCGCACAGGCATCCGAGGCGAATTTGGCAGGTCTTGACCATTGTTCCGGCTGCATGGAGACCCGACACTAGTCTTGGACCCCCCACCCCTTACCGCGCTGCTAGGTCTTTGCTGTCTGGTATCTTGGCAATGTAACTTAGCACGACATTGGTCCAGCCTTAGAAGACCCTTCCTTACCCTGCTCAGATCCCGAGATTCCGCGGGAGGCCGTCAAGGTACGAGCCAGGCCCTATCCATGCATACTTGCCTTATGCCGATCGTACGGTGAGCACGTTTGCTGGCTATGTGATGAAGGGAAGATCCCGCTCTGTGGCTTCGCTTCAGGCACGAGGATTTAGGCTAATGCCAAGTGTCTGCTCCAGCCAGAGCAGACGGTACCTACCTGCTAAATATGATGTGTAGCTAAAGCCTAGGCTGGGGAATAAAGTTATACTCGAAGATATTTTGGCCACTATATTCGTATTCTGAGTTAGACAATAGCAGGAGGTAAAATAGTCTTAGAACCCTCGTCTTCCTCTATAACAGTTAGTATAGTATACTGTATTACCTGGTACACCAAGTAGTAGATAATATACTTAAAGACACAAACCTATTTTAAGAGTTAAGGTATTTATAGTCAAACGACCCGAAAGCCGTTGAGCCTTATAAACCTGCTCCCAAGACTAGTAAGCCATCGTAGCTTGACCACTTGTTGAGTTGTGTGTACGTATTCCACTATCGGCCGGCCCCAGACTCCCAACTGCATGAAGACCCCTGCCCTGGCTCGCCCGCCTGGGCGGAGATAGTGAGCTGAGCGCTTAAATACGCACGGTTGACGTTTCCACGTTGGACGAAGATGGCACTGTATTTCTGGGTGACAGTACCCGCCATTTATTGCATGCGATCCACTATCAAGACCTGCCTCCAACAATGACAAAGATGTACCCAATGTCCGACGTCGACGGTGGTATCGCTGGCATGCCACTTCGACAAACATGTGACCGATGCCGCTATCTCAAAGTCCGATGCGAAAAGGACAGCGGCAGTCCCTCTGTCCGCTGCGTGCGGTGTTCAAAGGCCGGGGCTCTTTGTATACGCAACCGTAAGTTGGAACTTGGATGCCCGACGCATGTTTGTTGTTGGGGCCGTTGGCTTTTGATTTTCCCTCGCAGAGTCGGCAGTTCGCCGATGTTGGGTAGTATTAACAGGGGAACAGCACGCCAACGGAGTGGACGCCCATTGTCCAACAACTCGCTTCACACTGGCTCCAGAGATTTGCGGTCCAACTCGAGTTCAAACTCAAGCTCCAGCTTGAGCTTGGACTTTTGCAACGACGGACCGTCCCAGAAATGGCCTTCTCGCACGGCGGCGGTGTGCGCTGATACGACCTTGCGGAGCTCGCTGGAGCCTTCTAACGATCTTTCTTGGCTCAACGCGAGATCCATCACCTCGTTCCAAGCAATCGAGCAGTTTATGGAGTACGGGGAAGACACCAACAATGTGCCTTCGTTTGACCCTGATATGGCTCTAGAACACGGACTCGAATTCCTGGCAGATGGGAGCCATGGGACCATGCTTGACCAAAGCCCGGGACCAGAGAGTAGCAGCAGCAGCACAAGGGATGCCATGGAGACGGACATACGAGAGTTGACAGAACTGAGTCTCCGAGCCCATCGAATCACAACAGATGCCGGGACTCCTTCTACGGATGAGCTGTTCGCGATGACACAGTCGGCTCTGAAGGTTCTCGCGCGAATCACCTCTACGGTACAGCAGCAGCAGCAGCAACAGCAGCAGCCCAACGAGGTCTCCGCCGTCCCCGGCAATGGAGACCAGGACCCTCAACCCGCGGTGCAGCATGGCCCCTGGATGGCAATCAGTCTTGTGCTACAAGCAGTCTCCGTGTGCGAGCAGATCTACGAGATGTTCGGCCACGCCTGCTCGGTGCTTCAAAGCGAGCTTGAGCCGGACGTCCAACACGGCAGCGGCAGCGGCAGCGGCAGTGACGCGAACGATCACAGGATGTCGGATGCACGGGCCGTCATGACTGTCGAGCTCATAAACTACCTGTTCGAAAAGTTGAGCCGCGCCCAGAGACAGCTGCTCGCCGCCGCGTTGACCGCCGATGACGCCTCCGCAAACAGCCTGGACGACATGACCCCAGAAGACTCCATCACGAGTCTCTCGGTACCATCGGACGCATTGTCGAGGTGCTCCACAAGCGTAATACCGATCCTGAGGGACAGAGCTCACGGGAAGCACCCGCAACTCCAGAAATGTATCCAGGCTATCAGGGATTTAACTCGGAACAAGGATTGTATATGAGAAAGACACATGCATTGACCTTGGCTGGCAAAAGGAAAAAAAGGTGTTACGAGTTACAACCCAACATTCTCTGGAGTTATCAAATAATTAGAGTAATAGAATCGTCGTGGGACAGACTCTTGACCCCTTTTCTGCTTCCACAGTTCCACAGTTCTACCCACGTCGCCGCGTTGTCGCGTTGTCACGCTAGCAAGCCGTAAAACTCCGTAAAACGTCCGAGCCGCGTCTACCGGAGCCTTATATCAAACAGTACGTGTATTCGGTCTAGTGACCCAAGATCAATATCTATCCGTGTTACATTTGTCTCTGGAAGCCCTTCTATTCTAGCCCTAAGGGGCTTAGTTACTGTATCCAGTGGGTACTATCCACAAGCAATCTTGAGACCCTTGAAAGCTTGACAATGCATGCCTGTCTCGGTCCGACGCAGCCGAGGCCACGCGTTTGACGTGGGGTAGGAATGCCGGTTAGCAAGCGCAGAGTCCAGTCTTCTACAAGACCAGGTACGCGAAACGGCTTAGCAGATCTGCCTGCGTGGACATCCCTACAGCTACAGTTTGATATAATCAAATTCCTTACATAATGAGCAGACGCCTTCAGCTCAACACACCCCCCTCAGACCGGCGAGTATAGGCTTAGTCTATACAGTCTAACAGCCCATACCTTAGCCCTATCGTCAGATTTTGCCTTCCTTCTGATCCTTCCATTCAGATTTTCCTCCATCGGGGAGAGGGGAGAGGTCGGAGCTGGACTAGAGAATTTTGCCCTGACCAGAGCCAGCACTAGGACAGAGATATTTCTGTCAACATAAAGTTCTAAGACTGTCGACAGTCTGGCAAGTTATTGGGATTTGTCATATACCTCCCAAACCCGGGTAGGTATCCTTTTTGTTTCTGTCCTGATTGCTGGCTAGTTCGTTACGGTTCTTTCAGTAACTACCGACGTCTGAAGGATGCCACCACACGTGCTCTGTGATCGTTTATTGCCAGCAACCCGACCACTGATGCCAAAATCAATGCCCCAACGACCCCGAAGACTCAATCCCCCTTTCACACCTTTTGGTGCATCATCTTATGCAGGCTTTAGTAGCAAAAGACCCAGCATAGACACAAAGAGGCAGGCTTCGTGTTCTCTTAGTCCCTGAAAATACGAGGCACCCAGGAGAGTCCTCGCTTTTCGAGACCAGGGTAGTGACGAAGTCGACCACGAGGAAGCTTCTCAATGCGCTTGATGTAGTCGTGGTCCAGGGCGTAGGCTTTCTTCCCATCGTGAGGGTTTCCCTCCATGAAGAGGGCAAGCTTTCCAAAGAAGGCTACAAGATGTGTGTCTCCAGTCAGAAAAGAACTTTGTCCCGGTAGAACTGAGAGAACTGTGAAAAGATTGTAAAAGCAATGACAAGTAATGGACAACGAACCATAGCTATCGGCGTTGAAAGCCGTGTTCTCTTCATCCTGCATGACGACGGATTCCCAGCCGCCGGTCTCGGCCGTATCGGGGTCTTCGTCCTCGTCATCATTCCATTCATGGTCGTCGTGGAGGTAGCGAGGAGTGTGGGTGAGCTGGACAGCAGGCCAGAGTTATTGTTCCATTGAGTCTAACAAGGGAGAAGAGGGACAGGGCAAGAAAAGCGTACCTCGTGCAAGATTGTATGCGACAGCGTATCAAACCAATCCACCGAGGACTTATCCTTGAGCCGTCCGAGACGCATCAGGTCATTGTGGGTGAGAGGAATCGGCATCTCGGGCTTGCCACGGAGGCGGGCCAGGTTGAAGGCGTGGTCACAGAGCGTGATGACCGAGACGTCCCCCTTGTTGTCTTCATCGGGCACATTGGGGGTACGGTGGTGCGTCTCAAAGGCAGCAAGGTTGTCCATGCCGCTGGAGGAGCACGTGAAGTCGGTGGCAACGCTGTTGATGTGGTCGATGAACTGATTTTCGACCGGGTGGTAGATGAAGCGGCTCGAGTTGTCGCAGTAGAACCGGACGTTGGAGCCGACCCGTTCGCGGGTCTCCTCCCAGTCGTTGCCGATGCTGGTGAGGGTGTCTATTACATTCCGAGTTCCGTATGTTAGTCTTGCTATCCCCTGTCGCGGCGTTGGGATCTGAAGGGGGAGAGAACGAGAAGGAGAGGAAGAGCACGAGACTAAAAGCCAAAGCAGAGAGAAGAAGCAAAACATAGACTCTTACCCTTGACAACATTCTTGACCGTATCGAAGCCGATACTTTTGTACTTCTCCCGCCACTCAGGACCGCGACGGATGGTCCTCGTCTTGCCAGGGTCATCGGTGAAGATGTAGTTATAGGCGCGAGCCAACTCGAGGTTTTTGCCTTTGCCATGAAGGTTTAGCTTGTCAATACGACGGCCGGCAATCCGGGCCATGCGGAAAGCCTCCTTGAAGGCACCCCCATCTCGGAGGTTAACGGTCTTGCCAGGACCAGCAGGGTATTCCAGGCAGGACTTGTCAACCCAGTATGTCAGAGACATAACAGGGGCAACAGCCACAGCCAGGGAAGCGAGAACGGCAGTGAGGTGCTTGACGCGCACCATGGTAGCGAGTTTAGAGACGCACGTCTCTGCAGAGAAGTTTGCTTTGATGCAGAGGTAGTAAACAAGAAGAAGGTGATGGTAGTTGACCTTGCGCGCGAAGGTTAGGAGCGTGAAGGTTAGGAGGTAAAAGCAGAAGAGCAGAAGCGCGCGAGGAGGAAGAAAACAAAGAGATCAGGATTGTGTGAAGCCCGGAAAATATTTATAGGGCAAAGCCTCTGGAGTGATTTATCTACCTTCCTTCTGACTTGAGATTCAAGAACAGTGATTAGGCAAGAGCAGGAGAATATCGGAGTCAAGTAATTCTTGTAAGTTGGCAAGTACGCTGGTGGTGAGAAAGGGGTAGAACTGGGAAGGAGCGTACTTTCCTACTTTTAAGCATCAAGTTCCGAGTAGAGGCTGTCACCCAAGGAAGGCACAGGGACGTGACTTCTTTGTGTCTAGTTAGCAATATTGCCTTAGGCAGCTGATATTCTTTGGCATCTTTCAAATGTTCTGGCTTTGGAAGAGCTAAAGCCGTTGGCTTGGTTGGTTTAGCAGTCAAGGGAAGTAAGATCTTGGATCATAACAGCAATACGGATCTACAAAGAGCAGCAAGCCTATCATGGACTTTTATTATTAAGTGGTAACAGGTCCTAAATTGCTTGATATGTTGGTGTAAGGTTGTGCTTATGAACGGTGTCCCTGAATATGCTTTGGAGGGCTTGGACGAACATCTTGTGAGGTCTAGCAGCATTGAATCTGCCGCCCCCGAGTTCCTTCCTATAAGAAAGGGTTTGATTATACCGTAATGAGCCTTCCTCTTTGAAGATGATGTTGGGATGAACTCAAAGGGCATATCAGACTCCCATCCTCAGGTTATATTGAATTGAAATAGCATACCCAACTCCTACCACCCGTATTATCCGCTCGCCCCTATTAAGAAAATTCAAGAGACCGCCTACCCTCCTATATCTAGTCCAGTTATGACGGTGCATAACAATATACAAAGCTGGGTTTTATTGGAGAAGGTAGAGCACCCCAGGAGTACCAATCCACCTAAGTGCATATATAAAGGTGGTTATTGCCATCCATGGGATGGGCTCCTACGGAAAGAGGCATGGTCTAATCCTGGTACATATTTTCAGAGCCACATCTTCTTAACTAGGTTGTAAATGCTGGAGATTTCTAGACTGACTCTTACCTTCGTAGACACATGAACAGGGTAAACATACGTTTTCTTAGTTGCACGAGCTTTTACACTATACTCTGGCAGTCAGATGTTGCTATCCACATTCAAGTTACAAGAGGGCTGTTGTCATGGTTAAGATGCTCTTTCTTCACGACAACGTCACCGTACCTAGAGGCTTGGTTTCAGAGACTACGCCATCGGAAGTTAGCAACGGGACCAGTTGAGTGGACTCGTGAAGGCTAAGAATAATCCGGCTGCCATGCCTTCAAACAGCTTTAAGTTTCGGTTGGACTGAGACCAACACCGGGTGTCAATGGGTGATTGAACAATTTAGAGCTAGTGTTCTTGTTTATTCTCTCAATAATCCCAAGCCAAAGAAGCAAAGGAAGTTTTCGCAGACTTGGGGAATCTATCGCTCTGCCTTGAGCGGTCGAGCCCACTGCCCGCCTATGTGCCAGCGCCTTGTCTGCTTTACGGGCACCTCCCTCCTAATATTGCTAGCTTTTAAAAGATACCATATTCTGTTTAAACTCGTCTCTCAAGCCCATACTACTTGAAGTTCATTTAGTTATTTAATGGGTTTAGCAATGGTACCTGGCTTTAGTAGAGCCGTTGCCGGAAGTATCGCCATCGGATTGATCACACCACTACAGTGCTGGTTTTATGAGTTGTCTGGCCAGCACTACCGTCGTACTGGCACCTGCTTCGCCCTCTTGAGTCTCGTGTAGTTGCCGCGGATAGCCTCTTGTTGGAGGCAAGCAATCTGCTTAACAGGCTGTGATTGTCGATGATGCGCCCTGGGTTATGTCGGAGAGCTGTCACGTCTTCGTGTTCGTGATGGAACTTGAGGAAACATCGACGCGATCCGCAAAGCGTTTCTCGGCGAGGGTGAGTCTGTGATTCCGAGAATCGCCTTTTAACAGAGATGGGTAGACAGCATAGTGCTCAGTTTCTCCAACCTCTATATAGGCGCTGTTTCTCACACTGTGATACACAAAGAAATGCAGTCAACAATGGATGGACTAACCGTGGCTTCTTTATTACTCTCAGGGCACTGGATAGCCATGACTAGCTCTTCGTGCGACCCTTACCAAGCCGGCTAGAAAAGACGCTATCACGGTGGGACATTCAATTCGCGTTCTAGAGCATCTCCGATCGTATAGTGGCTAGTATGCCAGCTTGTCACGCTGGAGACCGGGGTTCAATTCCCCGTCGGAGAGACTTTTTTGTTCTTATTTGCCACTTTTTTTTTTCTTTCTTTTTCTTATTCCGCAGCTGTATTTTTTGTAATTTCATTTTTCTAGAAGAATAATAGAGTAAGGCGAGATGGAACCAAGTTCGGGCCGGTGTGGCGGGCGTCTACCATGGCGTTGCACAAACACAGCCACCGCAAACGGCCCCAACAAGCCACTCGGCGCGTTGTGCCCAGTTAGTTGGTGGCTAAAAATAGAACTTAATGCGTATCGACCGTTGTTGGGTACGTACCCTTGAAATGCTGCATCGCGGTGGGGCCAGGATGCGTCCCTGCGTCGCCGATGATGCTAGGGTTTTCCTTCGGGTTTCATGGTCTCTAATGTGTTTCGTGTGTCGGTTCTACTCGCGCCATTTACCAGACAGCAAGTACGAATTGAGGATACTGAACGCGAGGCAGACGTGGTCGCTGCGCGTATTCCGGAGGCGGGGTTAAAGACTGGGAGATGAGACATCGCAGACACGGATACCTACCCCGTAATATTACCCATACCATTGGACCAGAATGTTATGTCCAATATGCCGGCGTACGAATACCTACATATTTTCTAGTAGGTTATCCTGTAGCCAGTGTCCATAAGGCGGGGAGACCGGGGTAGCTTCAACCGAGAGAGTCGAGATACCTACCTCACGGGGTCGAAATAAACCTGGGGTCCCAGCGCGAAGAGTGCCAACTGCCAACGCCATTCCTCTCTAGTCGTTATGTGGCTGCTCGTATTTTGAGTTTCTATTTATTCCTCTCTGCATTCGACTGAGATGTTGGAGTCTTGGGGCAGAAGTTGCACGACCATGGACTGTTTGGATGCACAAAACCTAAACATTCACGTACGAGGCAAAGGAGGTTGGTTGACGTCTGCGCCAACAAATTAATACTTATCTTGGGGCCATGGTCCCGTCGATCCGTAGGCGGTTGGGAGTTGGTACTGGCCCTATGGCTGACGCCACATTGTAAGGGTAATACCAGGATAAGCAGTGGCTTCATTTCTTGGAGCCGTCCCATGGGGTTAGGGAAATTTATCTGCCAGGAACTGGTTGGGCTGTCGGAATGAGCGCCGAGCGGAACCTGCAGGTACCGAAACACAGTCTGCGACTGGCAAATGAGAGGTGTGAAGACGACTATAGTTTGATTGCTCCCTTCCCGTGGAGGGGTGTGTGTGTGTGCGTCGGCATACGCCGCGCGGTTGGGAGGGAGCTCGAGCTCAGTTGCTTTGCTGTCATGCTGTCTGTTGGCGAGGTGACGTGAAGACATGATGGGTTATGTACATATGTACATACGTACGACGATCATAAATTGTCTTGGGAATTTTGTCCGACTTCTTTCGTAAACTGGCTTTGAACAGGGAGGACGTAGCTTGGGAATGGCGGAGATACACAGCTCTCCATAAATTGAGGGTCTAACGGGTCCGTTGTTCGTGGAAGGTGCTAAATTTAGCGCTACCCTACATTTAAGGCCATCCTCCAAAGCCAAGGCCTCCAACACGCTGGGCTCAGGTCTCACCGACTCCAAAGGAATGATCCGTATCAACGGATAACAACATAACAGACATCAAATGGTCGCTGTTTGGAAGCCAAGTACTTGATGATCAGGAAATCAAAACCATTATTTAGGGTCTAGTGACCAAATGACGATCATCGTGAGAAACACCAACGGATCTCCGTACGCTAGCGTGATGGTTATTTTCGGTTTCAGATACACGTTACCGTGCGGCCAACAGCCTTAAGCCTAAAACGGTGCTCGCCTGGGCAGAAGACTGGGGAAGTGCCGTTTCGATACGTTTACAACCAATCATGACATAACCCGTGGAGTAAGTACCCAGGTGCTTGTACGGAGTACTTTAGGTAGCATTGTCTAACACTGGATTACGAAGTACTTCATCTTGCCCGCTATTGGTTCGCGATTATCGGTGTCCGCGACCATGGGAATGCAGCTTGTAGGTATCCTATTGGCCAGCGCGTCCTTGACAGTACTTCTATTTGTACAACAAGGTACATGAGAGCTTGGTGAGGGACCGGACCCCTTAGAGAATCCCACGTCGTCAATCACATCTCTTTCAAACACGCGTCCTCCGACCAGGGGCGGCAGTGTTGGAGCCAGTATGTACGAAGTGCCTTATTCATTCGTATTGTTACTGTGTTCAGAACATAAGGTATCGGTACTTCGCTCGGGAAGCAAGATCTGAGACTTGTTCCTTCTCTGCGCAGTTGGCGCTTAGCCAAACCAAAGAGGGCGCCAGAGCCCAGGGGACAAGGGCGAAACATGCATGCAACGCGTTTTCGTACGCCCGACGCGCCCCCAAGTCACCAGAAGCAGAATAGTTGACAACGTACTCTCCCAACCAGCTTGAACATGTCGTCCTTTGGACATATCGAGTGAATCCCCCAGATCCTGCCTGCAATTTTTTTTCGTTTTTTTCGCCCAATGTCCGATGAAGCGTCGTGCGGGCTGTGCGTAATCCCGGCGATCCATTGGACCCGGCGCTCCGCCGTCGTATGGCGGCGTTGAGGGGACTTTTCTGGGGAGCTCCCGGGGAGATGGTGCTTGCGCCAATGCCGAGACCGACAGGGGCAATTGGTTGGCATGGAGGCAAGGACCCCTGCTGCTGCTGCTCCTTTTTGGGCTGTTCTTTTGTTGGCTCGCGCAGGGCAGCGTTCTGCTTTGTTTCGTTGGTCAGCCACAGGAGTATGTACGGACCCGAAGTAGGCGAAAGGACGAATGTGTCTCACGACAATACTAATGGCTGTCGCTGGTATAAGAAGTTCGACCTTCCCTCCCCTCCGAAGGGTTGTTGACCTGTCATCACCAGCAAGCAGTTTCATCTCCCGTCTCATTTACCAACGCCTTTACCACCGCCACGGACATTTGACCTCCCAGTCCTTATATATATCACCAACCCACTCCTAGTAATTCCTGTCCTCAACCCACACAATCCGACCTTCCGCGTGTCCTACCTGAAGAACAAAGAACACCAAACAAAACTTTCCGTTTTTATTACAAAAGTACACCCGCCAAAATGTACCGCGCCATCGCCGCCCTCGCTCTCCTCCCCGCCGCCGTCCTGGCGCAAAGCGCCTCCGAGTCCGCCGCCCCCTCTGCCACCAGCCCCGTCCCTTCTGCGGGCGAGACCCACGTCGTCCTCGTCGGCGACAGCGGCCGGACCTTCAGCCCCGACAACGTCAACGCCGCGGTAGGCGACATCGTCGAGTTCCACTTCGTCTCCAACGGCCACTCGGTCGCCCAGAGCAGCTTCGACGCGCCGTGCCAGCCTCGGGACAACAACGCCTTCTTCTCCGGGCGCGTCCGGGGCGAGATCTTCTCCGTTGAGGTTACCTCCGAGGACCCCATCTGGTACTACTGCGCCGAGGGCAACCATTGCCGCGGTGGCATGGTTGGTGCCATTAACGCTCCGTATGTTTTTTCTTTCTTCCTTTCTTTTCCCTTCGTCCGTTTTCCCTTTGGGTATCGCTGTGGCGCCGTCTTGCTAACATGTCGTTGCACAGTACCTCCGGCAACACCCTCGCCGCATACCGAGATGCGTCCGGCAATGCCGGACGTGGCAGCAGCCCGGGCAGCGTCCAAGGCGGCGAGCTTCGCCCCTTGGACAGCGCCGGTATTGGATCCCACGGCCAGATCCGCTGGGGTCTCATCGGTGCCAGCGCTGTCATGGCTGCGCTCGCCGGTGGCATGATGCTCTAAATTACGGGCCGCTGGCGTCTCCCCGATATTCTCCCCGATATTCTTTTCTCTTCCTTTCTCGATTGGTTCTATGATACCAAAAGCGACGGCATAATGGGATGAAATCCCCCAAGTATTGCACAGGGGTGATGATTCATGTACAATCCTACGAGGCTGTTTCTATATAGCGTTTCTTGTCCTTTATTCTGGTATTTGAAAAGCCATAGACTTATTTGACTCTATCGTTGGCATATTTCGTTGGCCGCAATGGTGTTCCACCTTGAACAAGAGTCCAGTCCGCAACATTGTGTTTGTTAAGAATCGAGTGAATCGGTGCCAATATTGGACCGGTATCTAAGGTACCTTATTACCTAAGCTAAATCTGTGGGGTACTCCTGTTTTTAACAAAACGCGAAGTCGTATATACCATTTTGCTGAAGCCCAGGTGTGGCGCTGCAACACCGCTGATAGCACGTGAGCCACATTATAGCTACCAGCCACTAGGCCTGGGCCTGGTCTGGCCTACAGTTTTAGCTTACGTATACATCATCACATTTCTGTGACCCTACCTTAGGTAGTCACACTACGATCCTACCTGTGGTAGGTACCTACTGCCACACCAGGTCACACTCTCCGGAGTCATCTCTCGCCTTCCCTTGGGCACGGGATCTCGCAGGAATACGAACAACCAGATTGGGGAGGCTTGGCCATCTAGCTTCAAGGAGGGCTGGATGCTGTGTAACGTTCGGTGTTTCCTATATTTAACCGTCACTGTTTGTCAATTGCCCCTAGGTACTTCATTGAGTCAGGAGACTGTGCGCTACGGGCGTAGCCTGACCATATCTAGTGGGATTCTCGGCTCATAAAATGACGTCTTAGAGAATCAATGGCTAGCTTTAGTATGGAACAAGCAAAGTTAAAGCCCAGAGACATGCGGGGAGATGGTCGCTTAGAAAGACGAAGAGAGCCCCTCTGAGAGAACACTCCGCGATTACCACTCCGCGATCACACGCTGTCCAGATCTTGCTATCCTTCATGTTTGCACCTGTATTTTCGCTCTTTGCTAGCACCTATTTGGCATCTTCCCTTCACTTTAACCATCGCCGACTTGACGTTTAAGCGCACTTGGGGACCGACGTGACACGCAGGGGTCTGGCAAATGGGCAATATCCCGCCGGCGACGCTTTGAAAGCGGACTCGGACGACATGGGATCCTTAGACTTCATTGAAGACCTGCGTCACAGCGGCGCCGACATTACGGAGGTTCGCAGCATGTCCTTCAGGCAAATTACTTCGCAACAGCCTGGGGAGTCGTACGACAGGTTCCTTGCCAAGTGGGAAGCTTTTGTCAACCGGTGTGACGGTGCCGGTACTCTGTCGGATTGTGACCGTATACGGATGGTACTGGGCCGTGTCCTCCCCGAAATTCGTCGCGGCATCCCTTCTGAAAAAGTTCCTGAGAAATATGAGGATCTCCATCCTATGATTCGAGAGGTCGAAGCCAAAGAAAAAGAGTTAACCGACAGCCTACGTGCGATGGAAGCTGCCCACTTGATCTTCAAGACACCATGTTTCCAAAAGCGCGGACAGTCGTACGACGACTTCGCTGACGAGTGGGACGCTCGTATCGACCTGATGCCCGACGCTCTGCCCGATCCGTGGCGTATATGGATGGTATTGAGCCACGTCCTCCCTGAAATCTACGACAGAATCGTCAGGCAAGGGGTTCCTAAGAAGTATACGGATCTCCGTCCCATGGCTCGATATGCCGAAGCCTCGGCTCGGGGTTTAAGCCGCAGCAGGCCCGAGGCCGAAGCGGCGTCTCCTCACCAAACGACGCGGCAAGACAATGACGATGCATCGAGAAAGAGGCGTCGAGGGGAAAGTTCATCTGAAAACTGGCATCGAGGGAAAAAGAGAAAGTCTGGTGGGCGTGGAGGGGCATGAACAAGGAGAGGAGAGCCTGATGCACCTGTGATTCTGCAGGTCGGGACTGTCAACTATGGGTGCAGTCACAATAGACGAGTTGGTCGGTCAGTACGGAGTATGTCAGCCAGCATGACTCCCAGGGCCTGACAATATTTGTCAATATTTGTCAATTCTCGACAGGAAAAGTACAGGATAACTTTGCAGAATGAACTCCAAGCTTCCCAGACGCTGGCTCACCGAGACTCACCGAAGAGTGGATACTTTTGGGGACACTGGACACTATCATTAGTCACCCGGTCTGGACACGAGGCAGCGAATGACGCGCCAGCTCAGTAATTAGTAAAGCACAAGTAATTACAAAGTGGTAACCTATAAGTCATCGGTAATGGCTCCCCGCGGGCCAGGTAGCTCGTGCTGACGCACAGGGCAAGTCCAGCCCCGACAGCCTGCTGTGGTATCGGTATCATCAACTCCACTTGCCATCTCCAAACCTCCAAAACTCCATGACTGCAAACTCGTGCCAACCACCCATTCACATTCACCCCCCCCATTCATCAACCCTCCTCCTTACCACCCATCGCCCTCTTCTTCCCGTATCCCTTTTTTTCTTCTTCTTTTCTTCTTATGGGGGTAATCCATCTTCATTTATCGAAGGTTCTTGATTCTCCAAGAGGCCTGGCTTGATATTTTCTTTTTCTTCTCTCCTGCTTCTACCGCTCCGTGGAACCGTGAACAGCATTCTCCTCGGGTCCCGACGATCAGTCCTTGGCCGTCGACACCCCTCGTCTGTACCACCCAAAGATCATCTTCTAGATAGAAGCACACCCCTTACCGTCTCGTTCCCGCCACCGTCATTGCCGTCTCGACCGCTGCTCGTTCCCGTTTACGCTGCCATCGCCTCAGACTATAGCTTGATCTCCATCTATCATGGACGAGGCTCCGGCAGGTCCGCAGCTCTCCCATGGCGCCGTCGGCCTGTCGGCGGCCTCCCATGCTCAGATACTGGCCAGCACCTTGGGCTCGACAGCAGCTACCATATCGCGCACCAATTCCCCCGGTCCTGCCTACACGAAAGCCGACGAGGACGACAAGCGGAGATACCGTCCTCGGACCTTCAGCTATTTTGACCACCTGCCTTTCCCCGTCGAAGAAGAAAGCCAGCGCGATGCGGCCCTCGCCGGCATCCTCAAACACCTCTATATGGCCATCCAGGCCGAAGACTTTGCGCCAGGCGCCCTGCACTGGACCCGCGAATTGCAGGCCTGGCTCAACCTCAAGTTCGAGATGACCCGGGAGCTTCGCGCTACCTTGGCGAAGCTTTACTACCATCTTTGTCTGGCGCCGGGGCTGGATCCTAGCAGTGCCGACCGCTTTGTTAAGATGGTTGTTGTCCTCACCAGGTAGGAGACCGCTCTTCTGATTTACTGTCTTTCCCTTCTTTACTCTCCTGCTTTCTTTTTTCTTTTTCTCTCTCTCCCTCTCTCTTTACCTTCCGTCCTCCCCCGTCGCGTTGGTGACCCTAGCTAATGAACGCACCCCATCCAGAAAATTCCATTATCTAAAGCCCGTCGACGACCTTGTCCTTGACTGGAGACCCCTCTGGCGCGAAATCAAGACCCTCGTCCTCCCTGGTGAGGTGGCCTCCCACCCGAGCTCCCGCAGAAAATCCCATAAACAACTGGCGAAGCTCTGCCTTCACGCCCAGACCTATTTCGACCCGCGCGACCGTCTGGAGATGCTCGAGGAGTTCCTGCCCTTCTTCAGTACTTCTGACCTCTCCGATGCCTACATTGTCATGGGGCTCATCAACACCCTTCTGCCCACCACCTCCGGTCCCCGCGGCGCGCCCTGCGCCCTGCCCCAGGATTTTTTGCCCACCATATTCCACACCTGGTCGCTCGTCGCCCGCTCCAAGGCCTTTGACATCTTCCTCATCGACATTTCCTCCCGTCTCGCCCGGGACATGTTGCCCACCGCCTACGTTCCCTTCGGTGCCCACGGCATCTTCACCCGCGAGCAGTCCGACGTCCTCTTCACCGCTGTTCTGCGCCTCACCGAGATCCCCGTCGGCCAGGCCAACTCGCCCTACAGCGGGCTGGATTACCAGTCGGGTCTAGGCCTCTACCTGGAGAAGGACAAGAAGAAATACCCACCGGCTTACCTCATAGCCCGGCTTATCGTTTATTCTCTATCCCCGCAATGCCTCGACGAGGAAAGCTCTATCATCGCCAGTCTCGAGGGCCTCCTCGAAGCCGTCGACACTTTCTACCATCCGTCTAATGCGGGCTCGTGGACGACCTTCCTTGGCCAGTTCACCCTCTACCTGACCGATATCTTTGTCTCGCGATGGAACCGGGAACAGAGCGACGAGCTGGACATCCCCGCTGATCGCAAGATCAGCCCAGCCCTGAAGACGCGTTTTGTCCTCGCCCTTCGCGAGGTGACCTTCATGGGCATCTTCTCCAAGAGCTCCCGCGTGGCCCACTATTACTACGCCGCCTTGCAGGGGCTCGCCTACCTCGAGCCGTCCCTGATCCTCCCCGGCGCTCTCCAGCGCTTCTATCCCAGCTTGCAGGGCCTGGTAGAGGTCCACCGCACCACCTCCAGCTTGAACGGTCTGCAAATGATCGCCAACACCATGTCGAAGCAGAAGGGCTTCCGGTGCCACATCACCGCCCTTCTCGCCCTCGCCCTGCCCGGCATCGATGCGAACGACCTCGGCAAAACCCAGCACACCCTCAGCTTCATCCAGAGCGTTGCGTACAGCGTCCCCATGGTCCCGCTGCTCAACCAGGAGAGCGAGGTCCACGACACCCGCCTCGCGCAGGACTGGGTGCAGAGCGAGATGGAGCGGATGGAACGTGAGGGCCAAGACGTGAAAATCGACTACAACGCGGAGCTGACCGACGAGGCCGAGGCGGAAATCCTGCGTTCTTCCACCCTGGGCATCGGGGAGTTCGTCCTCGCACTCCTCGGCAAGGTCTTCACGCTGCTCGAGAATCTCCCGGACGCCTCGCATCTGCGTGGTAACACGCCGGAGGACAATGTCATCAATTCTCTCCCCGCCGCCTTATCCCCTCTGTTCGCATCTCTTTCCCCCGAGCTCTTCGACATGGCCCTGGAAAAGCTCTCCACCTGGGTCTCCACCCACGTCGTCCATCAGGCGCGGGACGCCATGGCGTGGATCCTCCATGCCCTGTGCAAGGTCAACCCGGAGAAGACGCTGAAGGTCGTTATCCCCATGCTCATTGTCAACATCCGGAACGAGATCGACTACAACCATGCAGCCTCGGACCGGAGCAGTGGGACGGATTATCTCCCGCGGGACAGGGCCCTCGTCTGGCACCTGAGTATGCTGAGCTTGGCCGTCGTACATGTCGGCGCCGAGGCTCTCCGATACAAGGACGAATTGTTCGCCATTGCGCAGTACATGCAGGAGAAGTGTCGAGGCCTCCCCACGATCCACATCTCCAACTTCATCCATCATCTCCTGCTCAACCTGACCCACACCTATCCCGTAGATAGTGCCCTGTACGAGCCCGCCATCATCGAGCGGGGCCTTGATGTGGACGACTGGGGGAAGACCACCAGCCCATCCGACCTTACCATCAAGTGGCACAGGCCCTCCCCGGCCGAGATTGAATTCGCCGTCGAGCTGTTCGGAGCCCAGATGAAGGGGGCCGCCGAGAAGCTCGACCTTTTGATGAGCGACGATCCGCCGGTCCCGAGAAAAGGCAAGAACAAGGAGTGGTCGGACGAGGTATCGAGGCTGCTGTCTCAAATTCGACTGGCGATATCGGGCGTCGCCACCTTGTTCGACCCGAAACGCGCGTCTAGGTCGGGTCAAGCCGCCGGTCAGTCGACACGCCCTGGCTCCAAAGTCGACCAGGAGGATGGTGACGAGGCCATGGGTATGGACGATGACGAGGAGGGCAGCAATGCTGGCATGGACGAAGAGGTCGATAATCCCCTTGCCGAAGCGGCCGAAGACGAGGAAACGCGACCGCAGTTTCGCTACGAGGCCGGGTATCTTCTGAGTCCCAAAGACGACGTCTATGATCGAATCCACGAGCTGCGCGAAGACGTCGGTCGACTCCTCTCTCGAACGCATCAATTCATCAACCAAAACGTGGAGGATGACGTCCCCTGTTTTACTGCGCTGTACGCTGCGTACAGGACGTGGATAACAGACGTGGGTATTGAGCGCTCCGCCCATCCGCTTGAGAGGCACCTCCGACTGTACAAGCAGGGAATCGCTGCTTTTAAGATCAGCGGCCTACGCAAGGTGTACCCGCGGCCACTGCTCGTTAAGCGGGCGGACGCCTACCAGTTGCTTCGCGTGAAGCATAACGCCTCGGCCCGGCAGAAGAGCGAGCTCGACGAGCGTCTGCTCCTCGACCTGGCCGAATCCTGTACTTCGCTGTACGCCGACGTACGTCGCGTTGCCCAGGGAGCTCTCGAGTCTTCGCTGAAGGCCCTGATCGGCGGTCGGCCCATGGTGATCCCCGTCATCATGGAGAAGCTCCGGACGGCTCTGGCCGACGAAGATCACGACCGCATCAAGGGCGCCATATACACGCTGTTCTTCACGAGTCTTCTTAAAACGTTGATGAAGGACTGGCGCTACGGGCCGGATGCGCTCCGATTGTACATGAAAGCCGGCACCATCGACAAACCGAGTATCCAGAATCTGGTGGCCTCGGCCGTCTACCAGATGTTCGACTTTGGCAAAGCGTTTGAGAGCATGGTCATCGTGGACGAGGATCTGGTGGGGCAGATCAAGCCCGACGTCGACTGCACGAAAGCCATCGAGGCGCGGAAAAAGTTCATCCGGCGTCGGCGCGCGCACGTCGAGGAGAAGAAGTCGGCTCTCGGGGTCGAGCTGACGCAGTTGTCCCTGAACGCGCACTGGAAGATCGCCGGCCGCTGCATCATCTTCGCCCTCAACCTCTCGCTGCGATTCAAGTCGCTGGCGCCGTCGCAGCTCGTCGAGGTGATCGCCAAGGGCGCCAACGATACCCACCCGGGCTTGCGGGTACACTACATGTCGGCGTTGACGGCGTTGTTCGAGGCCATTGACATGCGTGCGGCGTACGATCACCGTTACGAGAACTACATCCTGGGGGAGGACAAGGACCGCCACAAAGTCATCGTGCCGGTGCCGAAAGGCGATGCGGAGTTTACGGCCAAGTTTCTGGACGCTTTCGAGAAGCCCGACGACGCCGAGTACATGGTGAATACGGACCACCCTGGCTGGCTCGTGTGGGGCAAAGATTTCCTCGCCTTCCGCGCCAAACCGCTGCCGTTTACGGACTACGACGAGGTCGAGACGGCGGTGCGTGAGCAGATTGGCGGCATCGTGACGCGGGAATGGATGAAGACGTGCTTCGAGTACATGAAGCAGGAGCCTCGCGACCCCAGCGCGGACCGCTTCCGCATGACCAACGTCTTCATGCTCATGCACGTGTTTGACCTGATGCACTACGGCGGCACGGTGGTGACGATGGAGGACGTGCAGGAGCTGACCAAGGAAATCTACGGCGACGGCAGCGACAAGCACCAACACCGGGCGACGGCCGAGATTGTGGGCGCTCTCTTGACGGGCTCGTCGGACGACCCGCCCGACTTTCGGAACAAGGTCTGGAGCTTCGCGGCACCGATGCTGCTCAAGATCATCTCGGACGATTTGACGCCGGAAAACGTCTCGTACTGGACGACGTGCCTTCATCTGATCATGGGTTCCAAAGACCCGCGCCGGTCTCACGAGATCATCCGCCACCTCACGTCGTTCCGACTCGACATGTCGTCCAATGCGGCCTTCAAGGAGGCGTCCAAGATTCACCTGCTCGAGTCGGCCATTTCCGACTTGGGGTGGCACTTCCGGCACGAGAAGCCCATCCTGGAGAACTTCCTCGCCCACCTAGATCACCCCTACAAGACGGTCCGGGAGGCCATGGGCCGCGTCATCGCCAGCATCTATAGGACTAGGTACCATGAGTCGTTTGAGAGCGTGCCGAAGCTGCTGGAGCAGAACAAGGAAGCGTCGTCGATCGGGTTGCGGCCGTACCAGCCGACCGAGGCGTTCTCGGCCACCATCCTCGACGTATTCGAGCGCATCGAGAAGTGGCGACAGGAACGGACGCCGGGACAGAACACGCCGTCGTCGTACACGTCCGGGTCCAAGACGGTGCTCACCTGGCTGGACGCGACGCTGTCGCAGCAGGACTGCACGCAGCTGGTGCGGTTCTTCCCGGAGCCGTTCATGGAGCAGCTGCTGCACATGATGGACGTCAAGGAGGACCCGGAGCTTATGAAGCTGGCCTACCACGTGTATCGTCACCTGCCGAACGTGCCGTTCCGGGCGGGCGAGGAGGGGGCGTTTATCGCGTCGATGATCCGCATCGGGCGGACGTCCAGCAGCTGGCACCAGCGGCTGCGGGCGCTCGTGAACATGCAGGTGATCTACTTCCGGCGGCTCTTTTTGATCAGCAGCGACCAGCGGCGGCTGCTCTTCGACGCGGTGAGCGAGATGCTGGCGGACCAGCAGCTGGAGGTGCGCACGTGCGCGTCGAACACGCTGGCGGGCATGGTGCGGTGCTCGCCGCAGCGGATCCGGGGGCCGACGATCGAGCTGCTCAAGGAGCGGTTCGAGACGCAGCTGCGGCGGAACCCGATGCCGAAGAAGAAGCTGCCGGGGACGGACACGCCGGTGGACGTGCAGAAGCAGATCACGCGGAGGCACGCGGCGGTGCTGGGCCTCGGGGCGCTGGTGGAGGCGTTCCCTTATGCGACGCCGCCGCCGAAGTGGATGCCGGAGGTGCTGGCGACGCTGGCGAACCGGGCGGCGTCGGATCCGGGGATCGTGGGGAAGGCGACGAAGGCGATTCTCTCGGACTTTAAAAAGACGCGGCAGGACAGTTGGAGCGTTGATAAGAAGGTGAGTGCTGCATTGCGCGCGTTTCGTTTCGTTTCGCGTTCTCTTTACAGACAAGACTGCTGACGACGACCTGGATAGTATTTCACCGAAGAGCAGCTGGACGCGCTGGAAGGTGTGTTGTGGAAGAGTTACTTTGCTTAAGTTGAGCGCATACCATACGCAAACGAGGTACGACTTGTGGACATTTGAATCATTCAGGGTTGGGGTTTAAAGAGAACGGCATGGAGGCATTCGTCCGGGGGGGGGGGGACAGGGATAGATGGGGATATCTCTTATGTTCCGTTGGGGTTGTATGAGTCCAGTCGGCATATCGAAGGAAGAAGCGTGGGGTTGTCAGCATGGGCTTGGGTTATTTGATAGACGGTGTATGAATACAGCGAGCAGCATGCCATGAGAGAAATGACAATACACTATAACCGTATGTTGAAGGTGAGGCCGCCTGTTCCCGTGTGGATGTCTTGGGTGTATTGGATGGATATATCCTCGTTTAGGAGATGGGAGATGCTGAGAAGTTGAGGTGAACTCCATATTCCAACAATGTAAGACCGTTGCGTGTATCATAATCATGCGTAGTTGTAGATATCGTATGCCCTCGTGCTAACTATATGCGTAATGATATCCCGATATCCCGACGACACCCATTAAGCCCCCTTTTCGCGCCTCTCCTTCTTCACCTGGTTGAGAATCTCAGCATGATCAATGCCATGCGTACAACCAGACTTCAAAATCGCATCTCTCGCCCACGGACCCCGGGGCCGCAACACGGCACGGAAAGGCTTGGGCAAAGTAACGAAGCCCTCGGTGCAATCAAACTCGCTAACCTGGTGTCTCCTCCCCGTCGCCTCGTCCACCACGCCAGCCTGCACATCGCCAAAAGCCCACAGCATGCGAGCCATCTGGATGAACAGCTGGCTGCGGGCGATCATACGTCCGGCGCAGACGCGGCGGCCGAACCCGAAGCCGGTCTGGGGCAGGTCCTTCAGGAGGGAGGTGTTGAGGCCGCAGACGTCGACGTGGTGCGGTTCCGAGACGTCGGCGGGACGGGCCATCCAGCGCTCCGGGTAGAAGGAGTGGACGTCTTGGCCGAAGACGGACTCGTCGCGGGTGATGGCGTAGGCGTTGGCGAGGACGATGGAGTTGGCGGGGATGCGGTAGCCCTCGTAGGCGTCTTCGGACCTGGTGAAGTGGGGGACGCCGCCTACGACGACGGGGCGCCAGCGGAGGGTTTCGCTGGCGATGGCGTCGATGAAGGCCAGCTTGGGGCGGTCCTCGAAGGTGGGCAGCCTGTCCCGGCCGACGACGTCGTCGAGGAGCTTCTGGGCTTGCGGGACCCAGCGGGAGCCGCATGTGATCCAGGCGACGATGAACCAGTCCAGGGCGACGGTGGAGGTGTCCAGGCCCGCGTCGGCCAGGATGCCGAGGTCGAAGGCGAGCTCGACTTTCGGCATGTCCTGGGCTTCCTGGGAGGCGTGCATGAATTTGCTAAAGTTCCAGCCCGGGTTGGCGAGGCCCTTGTCGAGGTTCCCGACGTGGAGCTTGCGCTCGAGGTCGAACAGCTCGTCGGCCTCGCGTTTCCAGGGGGCCAGGAAGCGCGGGAGGTGGTTGAGCTGCGGGATCGAGTCGACGAGGTAGGCGCCGACCTGCCCCGTGCGGGCGAACTCGGCCTGCACGCGCTTCCCGTCGAGGAGCTCCTGCTCGTAGCCCGTCTTGAGGCGGTAGCCGTAGAGGAGGCAGTAGATGAAGCTGGCCATGGCGCGCTCGTGGTGGTGGTGGAAGTCGAGCCCCTTTTCGCCGAAGGTGTCCCAGTCGCGGAGGGCGTCGAACAGGAGTTGGCGCGATTCGAGGTCCTGGAGGGGCCGGTAGGAGCTGGCGGACGGGAGGGTCATCAGGGGGGCCTCCATGCGCTGGTGGAGCTTGTAGCGGTCGTCGTAGGGGCGGAGGAGCATGTGCATGCCCTTGGTGACCATCTCGCCGGCCATGACCATGCGCGGGCGGTCCGAGTACCGCGAGCCTCGTTTGTTGAGGAGGTCGTAGGCCGGTTGGTGCTTGGAGAGGATGATGAGGGGCTGGCCGGCCATGCTGAGGTGCATGATGGGGCCGTATTGTTTGCTCATGTAGTATAGGTGAAGCCATTGCAAGCTCTTGGGGAGTTGGTGCAGGTTTCCGAGAAGAGGGAGGGGCTTGGGGCCTGGTGGGAGGGGTAAGGCGTTGGGAGATGCCCGTCCTCGGCGGATGAAGGAGGTGAGGAGGCGGCCGAGGATAAGGGCCCCGAAAAGGGCCAGCAAGAGGAGACGCGGATCTTGCAACATGTTGGTGAAGAGAGGATGAAGTTGTGCTGCGTCGTCTTGTGCTGCGTCGTCTTGTGTTGCAAACCCTTCCCTTTCGAAGACACTGGCGGAAGCGCTCACGAGGAAGCACGAGAACGGGCTGATGTGCGTGTAAACTCCAATGCCACCGGGGGTCCCCGCGCTCTTTTCAAGGAAACATAAAGCTTTCCATGTTGCGACATGATCCTACTTGGTCCCCCGCTTGAAATATCCTGATCATTACCTTTTCCAGGCCTTTTCTCGCATGGGCCCCACGCCTCTCCCACGCTATATTGGCCCTGCATTCACCACTGGGGATGGAATAGGCTGTGGATGGGACTGGCGTGCCATGATCTCCGAGCTCCTGGGGAACCGACTCGCGCATGGAGGGGGAAAGACGGGGTACGGTGGTAGCCGAGCTGCACGGCACGGTATCAGGGTGGAGGGTGGGGGCTGCGAGTCGCCGACTCGCCAGTCGCCAGTCGCGACACCCCATGCTTGGCCCCCGACTGCCAGGTAAATTGTAATGATAGCGTGGGCCTGGCTTGAATCTTGATGGATTGAGTAATGGCTGTACGTTGTATGGGTTGTTTCACGGGAGAGGTGCGATCTTCATGGGTACAGATAGAGACCCCGGAGAAATATCTCCTCAACTTTCTATGGAGCTGTAAGGTGTAGCTCTAAGTGTGTTTCTACTGTGCTTCGTACGAGGACGCGGATACGTACGTTGTATGGAGCAGGCGATGCAAGCCGTCCGTGCCATGCGTATAAGTATGCACATCTGCCAAGCACGCGAGACACTTCAAGCTTGGTCAAGTCTAATGCTCCCACGGACCTTTTCAGAGGCCATGACAAGAGTTCAAGTTGTCTCTCTTGTTTGGATCGTCACGATGGGACGGTCCGCCTTGGTCGAGTCTCTCAACTGTCGACTGTGTCCTTGGAAGGGACACGGCGGGCCCGGGACGACGAATGGCTACTTGCACCCTTTTATTCATACCAAGAGGAGAGTGACGCTCTGTGGTGCGAGGTGCTGCCGGAGATTTCTCCGTTGGGCTGACTACATATTGCTGACAAGAATTTCTTTTTCTACATGGCAATTTTGAAAGAGTCGTCCCGCCCGCATGACGCCTCGAATATTCATCTCACAGCTGAATTACATGGAGTAGAGGTCTTGGTATGGGGCCATGGCGAGGACTAGCGTCGCTGCCGGAGCGCCGGGGAGCTCATCCCGGCGTGTTAGTGGCATGGCATGGCATGCAAAGCGTCTGGTGGATGCGAACGGGATGACCCGCCTAGGCCCAAGTCCTCGTCCTACTGTGTCGTGCTAGAACGCCTCTCTTGAGTCTGGAGTCCTGAAATGCATGCCAGATAGGATAGACAAAGCAATGGGCAACCCTGAATCGATGCATAAAAGCTTTGTTTCACCGCTATTTCGGGATATCCAAGTACAACTGTAAGTAGGCATGTATGCAGGATGAGAACGAACCGACAGGGGGCATACGCTGCTAGCCTGCCCTCCAATATGCGGGTGAGATATCAGAAATCATCCGCAGTCTTAGTCCATGGTATGTCTTATAAGACGCGGGCTAGTGGTGGTCACGACCCAGGAGTCTCAGCCAAGCCCATGCCCAGAGGTAATCGTGATCTTTTCGGACAACTCTTTAAAATGTCTCCAACTTGTAATGAGTATGCACCTATTTCTGGCCCCCCGACTCGCTTGCGGTCTTGGATCACGGTTCTACGGAGCATTCATGCCCACCCCACGGGCCCGCGGCAACGGCCCGAGGATTCTGCTACGCGGGCAGACCCATAAACCCAATACAGCATCTGGAGGTGAAGCCGGTGAGTGAAGAGATTTGCAAGACTCCAAGGGTCAGACATGCCATTGTAGAGTTGAAGATTCGAAAACCCCAAAGGCTCCACTGCCGCAATACCTGGTTGAGTGGTAGTTGAGTCTATAGAGAGTTGGCCGTACCTAGATAGATAGTGGCAAACAGTGGGAATAAATACGCAGCATCTAAACGATAATGGGGGGTAAAGGCCATCGGCCCAGCCCAGCCTGCCTCCTGAGCGGCCTGCCTGCATGCAGACTCGGCATATGTACGCACTCCACTATAAGGCCACTCGAACGGACTTGACGCTCAAGAATATGAATCTGATATTACCCTTGCGGGCTTTGTTCTGAAATTACAAAAAACTACAACAGTTTCAGTATGTTTAACGCTGTAGAGTACAACGCAGATGATTATGGGACATTCTTACTCGGTAACAGGTCCTGGACTCGGGATAGCCAGTCATAATCTCATAAACCTTTCAGGGGTCCCAGGTGTGGTCCACAGGCTCTCAGGGGTCAAGGTCGCTGACGACCCCTCCACGGGCTCGGTTACAGAACTACGGGCGCAAGTCACATTCTTCGCCTTTCTGCAAAGTTACTTCTCCTCATCCTGGGCCAGGGGGGGCTTTTGTGAAGAGATGAGCCCCCATCTCACGAGAGCTTCGTCGGCCTTGACGAAAGTGTAGAATTAAATGTCGCCCCGTTCCCACGTCCAAGAAGAACACGAAAGGCTCCTGAGGAGTTTGCGTGCCGACACTCACTTTTTGTTTCTTCATTTTTATTGCTTTTAGTTTCTTCTCTGCTTTTTCGTACTCCGTCGATTCCGAGCACCTGGTTTATCCCGAGATTCTGCCTCCAGGCGAAACTTGTACGACTACGACCGACAAAACATCTACAGCAAACGCCCAGCCGCCATGAGGCTGCCGGCCTGGGCAGCCCTCGCCGTCGGTGGCCTGGCCGTCTTCTCGAAGGCCCAGGAGATGCCGCAGTGTGCGGTACGTGAGAAGGAGAGGAAGCAAGAACGAGGAGGGGGAGGAGGAGAAGAAGAAAGACAACAAGAAGAAAAGGGAGACGAGAGAAGGGAGAGAAAAGGCCTAACACGCAAATCTTCCACAGGGCGACTGTCTAGCCACACATCTCGAGGTGTCCTCTTGCGGTCCAACCGACTTTGACTGCATCTGCGCCGACGAGACTCTCATGGAAAACGTCGGATTGTGCACTCTCGGCGCCTGCACCGTCGTCGAGGCTTTGGGTAAGTGCAGTACACCCCTCCCCCAACCCAACCTTTACCTCTTGAACGTCCTTCTCCTGCCCCCGGAGGACTTTAGTTCGCCGACTCTCGGTTAACTTGCGCCTTTTCTTCAGCTTCCCGGAACATAACATCAACTCTTTGCAAGGAGCCCATCCGCGATAGAAGTCTGGTGGCCCCCATTGCCACGGCCGTGTCCGGTTCCATTGCCTTGTTCGTAATCCTCATCAGGGTGTGGGAGTGTTCCATACAAAAGGAGTGGGGATGGTCCGATATGAGTGCCTATGTGGCCTGGGTAAGCGTTCCGGCACCTTCTAGGCGAACATTGCCCCCGGTATTCTTCTTCCGCCGTTCATATGTCTCGCTGACCTTGTATAATGCTCTCCGCTATAGGCATCATCCGTGCCCATGAACGTATTCGAATTCTTCAGTATGTTTTACTGTGTACCCCTGACACGGTCCTTCCGTTTCGCTCAGCTTCCTCGCTCCGACTCTAGTCTCTGTGCTGACGACTATCGTCAGTGATGGCCAACGGTATGGGAAAGGATATTTGGACCTTGACTCCGGAGCAAATCACAGACGTCGTCAGGGTAAGACAGTACTCTAAGAACCACGGTTGAGGAGGAAAAAGGGGTAAACTGACAGCATGCCCTTTCGCATCTTTGACTCCAGTACACCTGGGTGACCCAAGTCAGCTACATCCCAGCCATCAACCTCACGAAAGTGGCCATCCTCCTCTTCTTCATCCGCGTCTTCCCCGATCAGAAGTTCCAATGGATATGCTGGGGTAGCATAGTCCACTGCATCCTGTTCATGGTGTCAACGTTTATCGCCGCCGTTCTCGCCTGTATCCCAGTTGAGTATGCCTGGTCAGCATGGTCTGGGACGGGCGAGGGGATATGCTACGACAACAACGCCTTTTGGTGGGCTGTCTCGGTAAGAAACAAATTTGCCCGCCGCCCTAAAAAGGAAGGGAAAAAATAAAGACCGTGTAACTATATCGCTGACTCCGTTCGATTCGTCTTGTCAGGCCATCAACATCGCCACCGACCTCTGGATCCTAGCGTTGCCGATTCGACAGCTCCTCAGCCTGCAGCTGGGAACGAAGAAGAAGATTTACCTGATCCTCATGTTCAGCGTGGGTCTTGTGTAAGTCACATGCACGGAACGCCCCGGGGGCTACAGTTGGGCCTACACATCCTGCTGACGCTGGAGATAGCATCACCATTGTGAGCATCATTCGTTTCGAAGGCCTCCTCACATACTCTACATCCTCCAATCCGACATGTAAGTCAAAGAGAACTTGAACCCCACCATGCCTATATCCTTGCCCCTCCCCAGAAGGACATGTAGGCTGACCGTAAACCGCCGACCAACGTCCAGACAACAACGTCATGGTAGCGACCTACAGCGTAGTCGAATGCAACGTCTCCGTCATCTGCTGTTGCATGCCCTCCACCCTTGCCTGCCTCCGCCGCTACTTCCCCCAGGGATTCGGGAGCACCAACCGCACGACCGGATCGAAACATGAAGTCAAGAGCTACGGAAACTCCAAATCTCCGTTCCCATCCAACGGCGGCGGCATACACAAGAGCGTCACGCATTCCGTCTCGATCATGCCGCGTGCTGGTGATTCCGACGTCGTGGAGCTGATGGACGTCGAGGCGAACAAGCAATACGCCCCCCAGTGGTGATGGCTGGGAGTTTTCGGCAGCCTCACGAAGAGCTCGAGAGAAATAAAGGAGGAAAAGAACAAACAAGTTGTGCTTATTCGGAGAGGCTTCATGTTGCCCTGTATTATATACTGTACGGATACCCTTCATGGCCTAGCCGTCGTCTCCTTTGACTGGTCGAGATGCTAGGACGGCACGGCCATGTTGGGGGGCTGTGCTGAGAACTTTTAGATACCACACCGGCCAGCTACTGAACTGGCTCTTGATTGTAGTTTTAGACACACTTTCCAATACAGCTCGGCAATGCTGGGACGGCCCACTGCCATTCAACGGACTACCATAACCGCCAGACCCCTACCATTACCACTACCACTAAGCATGTGCTTCCAACTCCTTCTCCGTCCACTCCCATAACCTCTCGGCCAACGCGTCATTCCTCGTGTCAGGGGTGCCCAACCCCTCCACGCCCAGCGGCTTGTAAAACTCCCCGCTCCGAACGCCCTTCGCCACCGACGCCCAGAGCTGATGCCGCGCCCCCACCTCGGGAGTGAGGAACAAGCCACCCAAAGCCTTCACCATAGCCTTGGCCGCCGCCGAGGCGCTGGGATCCGTCCCGTACAGATTCGTCTTGACGAGCCCCGGATGGACCGACACGGCCGTGATGCGCGGGTACAGCTCCGCCAAGCGGCGCGCGAACAGTATATTCGCCAGCTTGCTCTGCCCATAACACACAAACACGCCCAGCGCCTTCCCGTCCGTCTTGAGCGAGTCGAACTGGATCCCGCCCTTCGGGGCGTACTCGTGCCCGTGCGACGTCAGGACCACGACGCGCACGTCCGCGCCGGGCTCTTCCGCCGCCGTGCGCTCCAGGAGCGGGAGGAGCCGCTTGGTGAGCAGCGCGTGGCCCATGTGGTTCGTGCCGAACTGCGCCTCGTAGCCGTCTTTCGTGAGGGCCGCCGGCGTGGCCATGACGCCCGCGTTGAGCATCAGGATGTCGAGCCGGGTCGCGGCGGCGAGGAACTCGGCGGCCGCTCTGTCGATGGATGCGAACGAGGTCAGGTCGAGCTGCAGGGTGCGGATGGGAGGGGCCGCGGGGACTTGGGCGCGGATGTCGGCGATGGCGGCGTTGGCCTTTTCGAGGTTCCGCACGGCCATCCAGATCTCGGATGGGCTGTGCCGCGCGTATTCGAGGATGGCTTGCTTGCCCAGCCCGTCGCTGCCTCCGGTGACGAGGATGACTTTGCCCTGGAGGTTGGGGATTTCTTTCTCGGGGTTGAACTTGCGGGCGTTGCCGCCTAGGACGGAGCCGAGGCGGAAGAGGTCGCCGAATCCGCCCATGGTGTTGACGGATGGATGGATAGGAGACGAAGGAGATAAGCGGTAACTTGTAAGCCTGGCAAGATAGGCAGGGGGAATGGATGATACCGTGGTAATGGGCAACTCTTGATTGATGTGTAGGAAGAGAAAGGCTCCAGGACAAAGGGATGAAAGAAGGGCACAGGGACGGCGACACTATTTATACCTGATCCGGCAGAACATGAACCCTACGATTCAAAAGCCACGAACAATTCCGGGACCTCAATCCCATGGCCCAATGTCACTCGACCCTATACGAATGAATCCACATCCTTGGGATCCCGGGAACCAAACAGCTTGATAAGCCAACGAACCAATCACACTTCTGCCGTTTGGTGGAGACCTTCCCAAAACGGACATCAGTCTGATGGTCCTGGGGTCTTGGCGTTCCCGAGAGTGTCCAAGCTGCCAAAGGCTCGGGACGATGCAAATGCCGGCAGTGCGGCAGTGCGGCTGTTTTCGAATTTGTCTCCGGCGTGGGACAGCGACGCCGACAAGTGGATGCCCAACTTGGCAGCTATTCTAGTCTGTCTTCCCCGTCCCGTCCCGTCCCGATAGCGATAGTACACCGACGTTCCTGACCGAAAGATATCGGTGACATCTCGGTCAACCTTTAGACCCTTTAGACCCCAATACATCGCGCTCCATCTTTGGCGACTCTATTCTGCGTTATACTCTGTCTCTTCCTTTTGGTGGGGTATAAGGTATAATAATGATACAACACAAGCACATCGCCTGTTCAATGCTTAACCACACGCACATTCCCACCGTGATCTGTACCCGCCTGTCGTCGCCTGACTCGCCTGACACAGGATACCGCACATCACCCCAAACTTCCACCGGGCCCCCAAGTTCCAGCCAGCTGGTCCCGGCTCCGGCCGCTCTTCCCCATCCACCATTCCCGATTCCCAGCGCCGAGAAGACGACGACTAGTCACCCATCTCTTCTCTCTTCGAATGCCTGATCCGAATTCTCCAGTCTCGGATCCTCTTACACATACTCTGTTTCCCTCCCCCAACGCCCACCTCCTCCGACGAGTCTTTCGAACCTCCCAACGCCCCCCGTTGGCCCGTGTTTACCACTCCTCCTCTGGCCGTTGCCGTTGCGGACTTGTTGCCTTCCAGCTTGGCCTGGCGCCGTAGCATGTAGGCCGCTCCCGTAGAGAGCGCTCGCCGGGGGGTGGTACTCGTTGTAGTCGACGTGCGAGACCGAGACGTCGTCGCATCGGTCAACGACCTTGGGAGGGTGGTCGTCGTGGCCGCACGCACGGGTGCGGGTTCCTGGCGGTCCGACGACCGATGACCACCCACTCCGCTGCCGACCGGTAACGGGATGGGCGGCTTGGGGGCCTGCGCCGGCCAGCCGTGCCCGGCATGGAGAGATACCCAGACCGAGGTCGCCATGATCAAGTTCCGCGTGGCCTCGTCGACGGGGAGAGACCTTCGCGACGGAGGAGAACCGACAGCAGCGTCGTCGTCGTCGTCTCCGCGAAAACCGGGCGAAGAGGGCGGCGCCGCAGCGGAACGCAGAGGCGGTTTGTACGAGCGCATGACCTCCAGATGGGACGGCGTCAGTGTCGCCAGGATAGGGTGCCGTCGCGACCCAGGGTCGATCATGCTGAAAGTGAACCTCGATTCGGCATCCGGCGCAGGGGACACCGCGCCCCCAGCCGTAGCTGCCGTCCTGCCCGCCTTGGCGCTCCTTTTCACCCATCTCGCCGTCCTCGTCCGCCCCGCGGCATCATCAACATGGACAAACTCGTACGACCCGTTCGGCAGCGTCTTGGCCGTCCACGCAGCACCGTCGGCTAGGACGATCTCGGCCCGATCCACCGACTCGTTCCGCCCCTGGTCCCGCGACGACGGCGCAAGCGGAAAAAGCGGAAAAAGCGGAGAAAGCGGAGAAACGACAGCGACCCACTCCCGCTTCTCCAGGTCCTTCTCGCTCGTGGTATCGTCTTTCCCGTACGACGGGGCGTCGTAGTCCTCGCTCTTGGCTATCACCAGGTCGTCCCGACCCAGGCTGCTGCCCCGCAACGCCCTGACCATGGCCGGAACGTGCCGTACGAGCCGGGGCACGGCGTGCGTGCCGGCGATGACGCAGGTGGCGAGGACGTCGATGGCGGGCTTCGGCCGCTTGTCGGGCGAGAGCTGGCGGAGCTGCAGGAGGAGACGCGGTCGGATTTGCACGAATCGGCGCTGTTTGGTGCGCAGCGTCGGGGGCGGGTAGGCGAGGACAAAGCTAGTGGCCTGCCTCGGCCGCGAACTCGAACTCGGACCCCGTTGGACTCGTCGTTTCTTACATGCGCGTACGGTACTCTCCGAGACGGTGGTGCCGCTGTGATCCGACAGGGAGTCTTCTTCGCTCGTGGCGTAGGAGGGACTTGCACATGTCGTGCTATTATTGCCGACTACAGCAGGCTCGTCCTGGAATCGTACGACGTGTTGCTTTTCGAAAGACGCCGGAAAGGAGACGGGGCGGGCTGGGCAAGGACGAGCAGCACGAGTGAGGGGCGAAGACGGAGTAGGCCCAAAGGAGACTCGACGAGAGGGTGAAGCGGTCTGGTCGGAGGAAGGAGACGAGGGACGACGAGGAGGGTTCACCCCTACAAAGGCGGATCGTAAGCGATGCGCAGCGTGGGCAGCATGGGCGGCGTTCTGGTTCCCTGCTGCTGCGGGAGGACGCTTCGAAAACTCGTGGCCGTGGAGGCTGGCCCCCGAGTGGAGGAACATGTCCGTCGGCGATTACCTAGAAGTGGAAACTAGGTAATCGCCCACAGGGTGCCGATAGATAAAGGCGAAATGATTCTGTACAAGAGCGGTAGCGGTAGGTAAAGAGGCGAGCCGGTCGCTACGTCGTGGGCCGCGTGACGGTTGCAATTGTGGATGTGGGTGTGATTCTGATATTCTGATGTCATAGAAATCATAGATGATAGAACTCAAGGATGGGGTGGAGAGAAGGCTGGTGAGCGACAGCTGTAGTTCCGTAGTCAACGCAAGGCAAAATGGTATCAAACCCGCCCAAGATGCTTGAGTTGTGAAGAGAAGGGCCGCTGTAGGAAGGTGAGGCTATCGGTGGTGGTGGTGGTGGTGGTGGTGGTGGTGTGAATAGCAGCAGTCTTGGGTGTGGTATTGGTATTGGTGGCGTTGGTGGGTCGGAGTTTCCCAAGGTACCGTAGCGAAGGGATCGTATTCGGGTAATCCGGAGCTGGAACAGTGTACGCGTAAAGGGTACCGGATACAAAGTAGTCGTTGGTAGACATACGTACTCTGTAGGGCGGATTAGGGGGTACAGGGTACACAGGAGAGGACCGGGCAAGAGATAACAGCGAGAGACAGGCAAAAGAGGGCGCAGCGGCTAGCCATGTACGGAGTAAGACAGCTCGACGGAACCCAGTCCAATGGCAAATGGGCGGCGCATAATTGTCCCGTGTGTGAGGATATAGCGGAAGACGAGAGGAAGAAGGAGAAGAAGAAGAAAAAGGAGGGGGAAAAATTAAAAATCTAGAAGAAAGAGAAGCCCATGGATGGCACGAGCTTTAAGGGGAAGCCTCATCGGCTTGTAACTCGTCCAGTAGCTACACCGTAATACACGCTCTACAACGTACCTTACCTTACCTTACTTAAGGTATCCTTGACTCCGTGGCATCCGTCGCTTCACTTGATGCTCGAATGTGCTCCGTTCTCTGCTCAACATTGTGAGGAGAAAACCCCCAGTTCCCAGCTGATTCCGCTTGCTACCCACACAAATGTGCCACTGCCTATCATGCCAAATAGTACAAAGTGGTCGCGAAAGCAAGTTGCAAAGGGGGACCACGCCAGCTGGACGGTGTAGCGAGTCGTGCAGTAACGTCCCAATAGTAAGACGGTCTTATCACCTTATCCATGCAAGGCCATTCCGTTGTCGGTCTAGCCCCCACCCTAAGGTAGGCTGTGGGTAACTCCACGAGTCCATGACAGAGGATCGGGAAGTACACTATTCTGCCGGATGCCCTGGCGGTATACCAATACAACGTAGGTACAACGTACCTTAGGTAAGGTAGGTGGGTGACGATGGTCTCTCGGCCTCGTTTTCCACCATCTTAGCTGGTCTCACTTGGTCTGCCAAAGGAACCTCCGCAAACGAAGCTCGCTCCCCGCTTCCGGATTTCGTCCAAACTGCAGGGTGCGATGATCGCCAATGCAGCGCAACATCAAAATTCCATACACCTTTCCATGGGTTTAGCGGCCTCCGGTTTATCTTGGCGATGAGGTCTATACCCGTCATCAAAAGTCCGCAGGGTACGGGTACCGCTGTAATTATCCGTAGGTACCTACACTACAGTGTACTCCGCGGGCATTGTACAGTGTAGGTATCATCGGAGTGACGGGATCCGCCTTCGCGTTCGCGAATGCGAACTAATGCTGAGTCCTCTGGAGCCCTTCAATCGTCCGAAACGGGGCAAAGGGATCTCGTACGAAAGCTCCCAAAGAGAAGCCGAGACTTAGGGCATAGGCGGGCATAACGGGCATAAGCTGGTCGCATGCATACGACTGGTCTGCCAAGCCACCAGCAATTCACCGAAAGGGAAGGGCGACGAATCTGGATGGATAATAATGGTAAATGGTTTGGTCTCGGTGAAGATGTAGATCTTGACCGAGAACGTGATGTTTCCAACTTTCCATGATGACTGATTACGAAGAGTACTTCGTCGTACCTAGTTACCTTAGCTTGTCGTCGGAAGCCAGGTAAGCCATCATATGAAAGCATTCTCCTTGCCGCATGCGTCATTTCTTACCAATACAGACCTTTGGTGGTTGGAGGGCGCCGATGGCACAGAATTGTAATCCTTGACTGACTCGTGGATCAATCCCCGATCGATCCCCAGTCGGACCGCAGTGTCGGTGCTACCACGGGTCCCCAACATGCCGAGTCTAGACTCGGGAGCTCGGCTGTTCTTCTTTCCTTTTTTTTTTTTTCAATCTTTCTCTTGTGTATTTTTCTTTTCCGAACCGAAAGAGGAAAAAAAAAAGCGGAAACCCTTCTGGCCAGGTTTATCTCAGCTGCGGCCCTCTCGGTGGTCCGAGATTCCGAGTGACAGGAGGCAATTCGCACGTGAATGCGGCTCGTGATAGAGTACTACAGTCTAGACCCTACACTAGGTCACTGGTTATGCGAGTTTCAATTTTTGACGACCATCGAGTCAGCCAGTTGCCATTGTTCGACCGCTGTTTCTCGTAGTTTGCATATTATACGCGGGACAGTTCTCATAAAATGCCATGTTAAAGAGCCACGAGAGCAACGTGTGGCTGAAGAGTATGGCGCACGGCGCCTTCAAGCAGGTACAACGGTACCTGGATTAGTAATCAACGAGTGGAGGCGCAGGCAAACGGGGTTGGACGAATGGCAGCAGTTCAAACGACGTGCGCCACACTTCCTTGTTTGCAGCGCCCCAGCCACAATTCCCTTACTTGGGTGACTTTCAAAGACACGTCGTCGCGCAAATCAAATCGGCCGAAAAGCAGAACTTCGACCAACAACTCTCCCACCAGCAGGCCACGGCCACTTCTGATATCCCCGAGTTCCCATTACGGGGCCCATGGGGCCTTTTCGCAGGCTGATGGTTCGACAGTCACGGGCCGTCCTCAGCTAAAACTAACGTCCTCCGGCTCTTCGCCTCTTCTCCCATTCACCCCCACGCCGCACCACATTCACCATGCGGTCCATGCCCCAGTCTCCGGGACCCTCCCCTATCCTCCTCCATCCCCGTCGCACCCTCCTATCCTTATTTATCGCTTGGAAAGGCCTCCTACTCGCCATCGCCGTCGGAAGCGGCTTCTCCGGTCCAGCCTACGACACCTCCACCACCCTCGCCCTCGCCCAGGACGAACACGCCCACGCCTTCGACCCCGTCACGCGCCTGACCCGCTGGGACGCCATCTACTTCACCGCCTCTGCCCGCCGCGGCTACCTCTACGAGCAAGAATGGGCCTTCGCCCGCGGTCTACCCGTCGTCATCTCCTTCTTGTCCCGCCTCCTCGACTTCTTCACCGGCCTGTGGCCTGTCCAACACCACCACCACCACCACCGCCACGATGACCCGGGCCAAGAAGCTCCGTCCGGCGCCCGCGAGGCCGCCCTCGGAGTCTTCGTGTCCCACGCAGCGCACCTTGCCGCCGTCATGACGCTGTACGACCTCGTGCGGACACTATCATCGCAATCCCTGTCCCCTCCGCCGCGCCGCAACGACCTGGTACCCTTCCTGGCTGCGCTCCTGCACGCGCTCTCGCCGGCGGGCCTGTTCCTCTCCGCCCCGTACGCCGAGAGCTCTTTCGCCCTCCTCACTTTCGCCGGCTTTTCTCTTCTTGCTAGGGCAGCGCCTCTTCGCAGGTCGTGGGGGAAGACGGCTCTCCAGGTGGCGGCTGGTGCCGTCCTCGGCCTGGCGACGGCGTTCCGTACCAATGGCGTGCTGAACGGTATTCCCTTCGCGGCCGAGTGCGTGCTTTCTACGTTGCGTTTCGTTCGGTCCCGGCTGGGCCGCGGGAGTAAGGGGCAGCAGCAGCAGCAGCATGACCGTTCCTTCGTCGGGTACCTATTGGGGTTATTCGGTCCCCTGGCGGGCGGAGTCCTCGTCGCTGCCGGGTCCGCCGTGCCTCAGGTTTTCGCTTACTTACGCTACTGTTCCGGCCCATCCGAGCCGAGACCTTGGTGTCACCGTACCCTCCCCAGCATTTATGCCTTTGTGCAGGAGCATTATTGGTAAGCTTGTCTTTTTTTGCGACGTCGGATGCGCTGTTCTGTCCACTTGCTGACATGCCTGCCACCTCGGGAAAAAAAAGGGGCACCGGATTCCTCCGCTACTGGACCATGTCCAATCTCCCGCTTTTCCTCCTCGCCGCTCCTGTACTCACCATCATGTCCATCTCTGGAGTTGAGGTTCTTCGACAACCGTCCACGTCACTCGGCATTGTAGGTCGGCTGGACACGGGATCGAGGACCTTCGTGCAGGCCGTGGCCGCTGGCCAGGTGGTGCTCGCTACCCTGGCGCTTTCGACGTACCATGTCCAGGTCGTCACCCGCTTGGCCTCTGGGTATCCCATTTGGTACTGGTGGCTGGCCAATTGTCTTGCGGGCCAAGACGAGAAGCGGAGTGTTTGGGGTGAGAGGGCAGTCATCTTCATGGTCATGTATGCCATGATTCAGGGGGGCTTGTTTGTTTGCTTCTTGCCGCCAGCCTGAGCGTGTCAGCCCTATGCGGCTATCATGAATTCGTTCTGATAGACTTGGACGTATCTGCCAAAAGCCGAGCATCACTTCTTTCCGGGTTGATTGTCTGAAATACCTTCACTCCCTTTGCGCTGTTTAGTCCATGGCTTAGTAAGCGCCAGCAGCTAGCTTCCACGTATATCAGGTAATTACCTTACGCTATGTACACGTGTACAATATAAGGTATCCAAGGATGGTCTGAGCTTGCTGAGATAACCCCGCCAACCAAAACGGTGGATAAGAACATGGAACATTGGAACCGCAAAAATACCCCACGATGACATCACAGTCCAGACGCGACTTCCGCAACGCGTCGCTTCCTCGACCAAAGTCGCACCGACAACTTACAGCTATCCTGCCTGTACTTCAAGCTGCCACTATGGACGCGAACGCGAACGCACCCGCGCCCGCGTCGCGCAAGCCAGTCAAGCCTGCCGACAACATCAAAAAGGGGCTCTGTGAGGCCTTGGATGCAATAAAACCTGCCGGGAGCTTCGCGGCATTTGCCAAACTCTCTCACACCAACATCAAGCCCATCTTGGTCCGCGATGTTGGCCATATAGCGTATCCTCTGCAGGAAGCCACAGCTCGGCAACTGATTGAAAAGGCGCGTCAGGCTCCCTACGGCAAGGGCAGCGAGACCTTTGTCGACACATCGGTCCGCAACACATGGGAGTTGGATGCAGCTCAACTGGATCTCAACCCTCTGTGGGCTTCGACCATCGACACTGCCTGCAAATGGGTCGCACAACATCTGGGCATTACTGCCCCGGTGAGGGCCGAACTGCACAAGATGTTGATCTACGAGAAGGGTGCCATGTTCAAGCCCCATACCGAGTTGGTCCGCGACATGAACATGATCCCCCCCCCTTTCCCCTCGCAACGCCCTTCGGAGGCTAGGCTGACACACGTGCCTCTACAGTACTGAGAAGACTCCGGGCATGTTTGGCACTCTTATCATCTGTCTTCCCTCCGAGCACCAAGGCGGCGATCTCGTCGTGAAGCATCGCCATGTCACCAAGACCTTCAAGTCTTCGCAATCGCAGCCATCCATAGCATGGTGGTTCTCAGATGTCACCCACGAGGTCTTGCCCGTCACTTCTGGCATCCGCTGGGTTCTAACCTACAACCTTGCCATTACGCATCCAGCCCAGCACCGCCCCTCGGCCGCGATGAACACACCCGAGCTGGACGGCCTTGGAAACGCGTTGAATGCATGGCTGGAATCTCGAGGTCGCGGTCGCGGTCGCGGTCGCAACGGCAGTGATGACGAAGCTGACTGCCTATATTATCTGCTGGACCACACCTACACAGAGGCCAGCCTCTCACTTCCCAGCCTAAAAGGCGCCGATCTAAACCGGATGCAATGCCTAAAAGCCGTGTGCGGTAGCCGAAACGCAACCTTGTTCCTCGGTGTCATAGAAAAGAGGGCACTTGGAGCATGCGAGACGCTCTACGACGAGGACGACTACTACGGTGAAGACGACTATGACACTGCTTCCTGGCATTCGTTCGCCGAGACTATAGAATCAGAAATCACCATCAAGAGGCTCGTTTCAACCGACGGACGCACCATGCGCGAGGACCTGACCATCCCAGAGGATGAGCTGGAAGAGAGGCTGATTCAGGATGAGGAGGACCCGTTCGAAGGTGCCGAGCGCCGTGAGGAGGACTACAGCGGCTTTACAGGCAACGAGGTATGCCAAACCCCTGTCTTTCCTTTTTGCACTGCACTACCATCTCCGTGTGTCCTCAAGGGAGTCTCAGCGACGCACTGGTACCGCCTGACCGTTGCCGTTATCGTTCCGAATGACGACGTCGACCAGTTCCTGGTAAAAGACGCCAGCAGAAGCGAGGCACAGGGCCTTCTGCCCCAGTACCTTGCGAAATGCTCCCACTCGGAGACCCGCGAGTCGGCGATGAAGATTGTTCGCCACCTCGCACAGGTTGCGTGGTCAGACAAGCCCCGGGATCAATACATCGACTACTCTCGTCCCACCGTTATTGAGGAGGTCGCGCTGAAATTCGTAGCGACTGTCCTAGAGCTTCGGGAATACGAGCTGTTTTGCCAGGCCATGGATTGGTTCAAGGCCAACTCGGGACCCCCCTGTTTGCTCTCATCAAGAAGGCAGCAGCCGAGCAATCGTTCGACTTCCGCCGAGTCCAAGACAGGTACGTGTTTCCAGTCGAGGTGGGAAAAAATCGGCTCGTTTCTGACCGTTGTCCAAGTCTCGCCAAAAATCTCTCCCTTCGTCCCGTGGCCGAGCAAATGCAGCTATTGGCGGTACTCGAGCTGCCGAGCGACGCTTCTTGCAACCCTCAGATCGTGAAGTGGGCAGCCGACGAAGTCGTTCCTGCCGCTATGGAAGCTTGTCGAGGGCCGACGGTTGTATGGGAGAGTGGGTGTGCCATCGTCAACATGGTTAGGCAATATCACGATGTTGAGTACTTGAAGACGAAGCAAGTCAACCCCAGAACCCAGCCGTCTCAGTCACCCTTTGTTACAGCGGGCTAACCTCACGCTTTAGATTGATCCCCGTCATTCAAGGACCAGCCCCGCTGACGCCATTTGCTTTGAGTGCTCTCATGCGAATCATTGGCTTGGCAACCGAGGGCGTCTTTGACAAGACCATGACCTTGGAGCTCTGCAAGCCGCTGCTCCGGTTGGTATTGGATAAATTCAATGTCGCCGCTCTCCGGACCAAGATGGCGGCAGAGGCTTCGTTTAACGCTGCAAAGGCCCGCGGGATAACCTTGTACCGCGAACTCCAAAAGGGGCCACACCAACACCCCGAGATGTACATCAGGCACAGTCTCTTGGCCGAGTGCCTCTTCCGCTGCATTCAGCTCGACTGGGACGACCTGGCAACGTGCTTTTGCAACAAAGTTGCCGCCAAAATCACCCAGCCCCCAACCGACGAGTTCCACTGCCTCTGGTTCCCCTTCGTGCGCGAACTCATCAACACCGGGAGCGTCCCCCTCACCGAGCCGCGTTACCAACAACTCGCAGCCGCCATCTTCGACGCGTACCTGGACAAGCGCGTGGGAAAGGAGCCAAGCGGCGCAGCCAATTACGGCGGCCAGGGCCCCGTGCGGTGCAGTTGCATGGACTGCCAGTCCCTGAATCGCTTCCTCGCATCACGGGAAACCGTTTGGGATTTCCGCGCGAATCTGCAAAGGCGCGGGCACCTGGAAGACCAGTTGAGGTCCCTCCGGCCACTGAGCTTCTCGTGCCATACGGAGAAATGGGGCACCCCGCACACCCTCGTTGTCACGAAGAATACCGACACGGGCGGCATGGCCAAGAAGGAGTGGACCATCCGGTTCGGGAGGGCGTGGGACGAGCTGAGCAGGTTTGACCCGGCGAAGCTGAAGGTGCTTCTCGGTGATGACTGGGAGAGGATCACGAGCATGCGGCATCTTCGGCTCGGCCAGGTCCAGGGGGGTCAAGTGCAGCGTGGGCCGCTGCCGCCGCAGCAGCTGCAGCCAGTGGATGGTAATCGCGTTGCGGGCGTGAAGCGGAAGGCCGATGACTGAAATGACGGACCAGAAGTCTCAAATTTGTGGCAAAACTATGGGGCTTCAGACTGTAGGATAACGATAATTTGGTCTCGGCGTTTAAATGGGATCTGGGTGTATCGATAGGAAGAATGAGTAGACCATAGAGATTTCACAATAGCAGAAGAGAGAGTAAGTGTCCGTCTTGGTTGCGTTGTTTTCGTTTCTCTGTTTAAGTCTCTTTCTAGCCAACGCCCCATCAGAGCCCCTTAATAGCTATAGCAGTCGATTATCGCGAAGAACTCCGTATTACGGAACTACATGCAAACAATGCAAGACCTAGTGGTGGTGGCCTGGTCCGTGGTCGTGTCCCTCATGGTCCCCCTCATCGTCCTCCTCAGGCCAGTCGGGAAAGCCGTCATCAAAAATATCCTGCAGGACCTTCTGCTTCTCCTTGTCGTCCTCGGGTCCGTTCCTCATGACGTCCTCCCACATGTCAAACTCTTTGTCGGTGAGAAGGCATTTGTCCAAGGTCTCTGTGAGAACAGCAGTGTCCAGGTTCTCGCCGATGAACACGATTTCTTGGCGGCGGTCTCCCCACTCGCCTCCCTTGCTGATATCGTGCCGGATGAGCGAATCTATCTCCTCGTCGCCGGTGATGTAGGCTTCCTCGGGCAAGGTGCAGAACCAGAGGCGGCCGCCGGTAAGTGTCAACATGGCGCCGGCCTGGGACCAGTCGCCGACACGGCGAGGGCGCGTGGCCAGGAAGAACTCGCCTTTGGAGCGAAAGAGCCGGCTGAACAGGGGGTGCGCGCGCTTGTTGGCGAGGATGGCTTCGTTGGACGGCATGTCAAGTGGATCTGCGTCATCTTCCTGGTTTTCATCCTTCATCTCCTCGTCGTCTGTATCATCGGAACCATCTCCGGCCTCTGCATCAACGTCCATATCATCTTCATTGTCCTCTTCTAGCTGCTCAAATTGGAGGATGAATTTGTCGTAGACGAGCGACCAGAGCCGGCGCGGGTGAAAGGGCCGCTGGCGAGAATAGACAAAGTTGCGCACGTTGTATTCTTCGGTCTCCGGCTTGGGGGTGATGGTTTTCTTCCCATTGACCTGCAGGGTAGTCAGTATACCAGACTATTGGTACGGGAGACTGTCGATGGGCATCTGGGCAGGGCTTGGTGTGAAGACAATTGACACTCACCTCACGAAGTGACATGGCATGCAGATCCTGAAGCCACCCATATCCGGTCTTTGCTATGTCCAGGTTGAAGAGTCCGGTGTTGACAATCTCGGTCACGTCAACCTTACCATGGGTCGTCTCGATGACTTTGGCCCGGTGATTTAGGTTGCTGATCAGATCCCGTACCCGGGACCGAGTCTTGTTGTCGACCTAAGGGGGGGTGCAAATGAGCCAGGGAGACGCTCCGGGCAGTGTGCACCACGAAAACGAGCGCGGTCGACAGACGTACCATATCAATCTTGTTCAAGATGATGACATCGGCAAACTCGATTTGATCCACCATGAGGTCTGTGATTGTGCGTTCGTCTTCGGGAACGACATCATCTCTTCGCGCCGAGAGGAGCTGGTCGGTGTGGAAGTCGTTGAGGATGGTGAAGGCATCGATTACCGTGACGGTGGTATCGAGGCGAGCGAACTTTTCCAATCCACCCACAGAGGCGCTGCATGTTTGCAAAGTACTCGGTCAATTTCATTCTGTTGCAGGGACCCTGGCACTTGACAGGATCAGCCGATCAGGCAACGCAGGACTTGGTACGTACACTCGGTCGAGTACCTTGATGGTGATTTCATCCAGGCCGTCAGTCCCGTCACCCTGGTCAATCAGAGTCCTCATCTGGTCGGCCAGTCTGTTGTCGAAGGTCTCGGCGACCTGCTCGGGCTCGCTGATGCCACTACTTTCGATGATGACATAGTCAAAGGCGTGGAGCTCGGCGAGGTTGACGAGTTCTTCGAGGAGATCACCGCGGAGGGTACAGCAGATGCAGCCGTTCTGAAGGGCAACGATCTTCTCGCTCGTTTTGGTGACGCGGTGCGTTTGCTTGATCAAGGACGCGTCGACGTTGATTCTAGACCGGGGGTGGCCTGGTAAGTAACGCACACACACACACAGAGAGAGAGAGAGAGATAGAGAAGAGAAGCAGTTAGGATGGACTACGCAAACTCACGCTCCAATGTCGTTGACAATGACTGCAATCCGCAGCCCATGGTCGCTTCGGAGAATGTGCTGCAGAAGCGTCGTCTTGCCGCTGCCCTAGAGTGGTGTCAGTCTATTCATAGTCCATGTCCATAGATGGATGTTCTCTCATGTGATAGTATGGTCACTGAACCGTCCCGGCACAGGGGATGATGCTGCGAGAAGCGGCCATAGGTGTGAGGTGGCACACAAATTACAACATACCAGGAATCCGGATAGCAAGGTCACGGGCAGGGCTTTCTCGGGGGTCTTCTGCTTGGGCTTAACAAGTAAGCGGTCAGGCCTCAGGGACAGCTCTCCGAGCATTATGATAGCGGTGAAGAGTCTGAAGACACTGAAGACAGTGAAGAGGTCAGATGATCCTGGGGAAGCACGGCGGGGTGGTTGTTGGAGAAGAGGGAGTTATCGAGTTTCCTAAGGTAGGTAGGTAGGGTATGACGCAGAAAGGAAGAATACATTTCTCATATACCACGTTACACGTAAACCTCATTGACTTTTGAGGTCGTAAGGAGAGACGCAGGTTTTCCGCCACCGTTTCGTGTCCTTGGATTGCCGGCCATCAAGGTGAGAAGGAGTGCGTACGTATTTGTACACTCCATCTTAAGGTACCTTACTGTAAGGTAAGGTACCTTACCTCTTACCTATCACAGCTCAAATGCGCCGGTACATTTTGTAGTTTTGTAGCGTACTTGACCGTATGGCGTTGGTCTGTCTAGGTAAGGTACAAACGCCTCGTTGAACCATCAAGGTGCCACGATGGAGTCAGGGGTTCAAGTCTTCAGGGGTAAACCAATCTCTGAAACTTCTTTTTATTGGCTCTGGTTCCGAAGCTGAAGTCCACTCGAGGGCCTTCCTCTTATTTGTATTCTTATTTACATGTCATTCTGCGAACAAGACCGGTAGCCTGTACCATGTAGGAGGCTCAAGATGTATTTTGCTCTTGTATTCGTGGGCGTCTTTCCTACATAAGGTACGTACCTTACCGTACCTACCATGGACGCTTACAAGTCAGCTACTACCTTATCTTTATGTTCTTTACGGGCTATACGGTATACCGTTGCAAACTAACACCGCTGTCCTTTAAGGGATAGACATCTTGACATGGTCCACCTTCTTCGTACCCCGTCCTCCAAACCCCCAACCGATCTGATGCGCGAGCTGGATGGAAACACCCAAATCATCCGCCCAATACCACACCAAGCCGGGGTTCTTCTGGAACATGCGGCCCGCAGCCACAAGATCCAGGGGCACATCATCCTCCGACTTGCCGCCCGAGATGATCTCCTCGGCAAACTTGCCCTCCTTGATGCTGCCCACCGTGCTCACGAGCATCGCATCTCCCACCTCCTTCTTGATCCGCTTGGCGAGGTGCACCTGATACCCAGGCCCGCCCTTCACCTTCTGCAACGCATGGTTCCCGCCCGACGAAACGTCCAGCACGTCCACCCCACGCCGGGAGAACAAAACCGCCAGCTTGACCGCATCCTCCAACCCCCACGACTCGCCCTGGTACGCCGAATTCGTCTCCAGCCAATCCGTCGCGCTAATGCGCACGAAAAGCGGCATCGTCTTGGGAATCACCGCCCGCACCGCATCCACAATCTCCAACGCCAACCTCGTCCTGTTCTCGAAGCTCCCGCCGTACCGATCCGTCCGCTTATTGACCGCGGGCGTCAGGAACGACGACACGAGGTACCCGTGCGCGAAGTGCAGCTCGACGACGTCGAACCCTGCATGCAGCGCCCGATGCGCCGCCGCCACAAAGTCGCGCTTGACCTTGTCGATTTCCGCGACCGTCAGGCTCCGCGGCGTGGGGTAGTGCGGGCCGAACGGCTCGTCGCTGGGTCCCACCACGTCGTGCGGCCACCCGCCGACGTCCTCCGTCGCCGTCGCCCCGGCGCTGAGCCAGGGCGCTACCGTCGACGCCTTGCGCCCCGCGTGGGCGAGCTGGATCCCGATCCTCTGGTTCTGGCTGTGCGCGAACTCGACGTGCTTGCGCAGGGTGTCGACGTGGGCGTCGAGCCAGATGCCGGAGTCTTCGGGCGTGATGCGGCCGTTGGCTTGCACTGCCGTTGCTTCGATCATTGTGAAGCCGGGCTGTGGCGTGGTTTCTTTGGTCAGCATTCACTTATTGTCTTTCTTTCTTTTCCTTTTTTCCCTTTTTTCCCCTTTTCCCCCTTTTCCCCCTTTTTTCTTTCTTTTCCCCCCGCAAGTCGAGATGGGACTTCAGCTGCGGCAACGGAAATACTTACACCGCGCTGGACGATACCCCCATAATGAGTAATATGCCACGGCGTGTGGAACCCCTCGTGCGCGCTGTACTGGCACATGGGGCTGACCCAGATGCGATTTTGCAGCGTAACGCCCCGAATCTGGATCGGTGTGAAGAGCCTGGGAATGGGTGTGCCGTCGGCGGCCTGGATGGCCGAACCCGCGGGCGGATCCTGCGCCGGCGTGAAGAAGGGTACATTCTGCGCAGCGACGTTGGGGATCGGGTGTTTGCACTTCTCCTCTTTGGCGAGTGCCGGGGTCTCGGGTCGGGACACCGGGATGCCGTGATGAGGATGGGAGATCCTCTTTGTGAGGTAAGCGGCCATGGTTCAGAGTTCTTTATCCTGTTGTTTCCACTTGTGAAGTTGGGAAGAGTAGGAAAAGCCCGTTGCGGCGTTGGAGTTTAGAATCTTGGGAGTTCGAGGTGAACGAAGGATGAGGATCATTAGATCCCCTCCAAGACAGGTCGTAATTATATGTTCGAAACCAGTTATTAATCTACTATGAACTCAATCGGTAATCATCATTCTCACAAGATAGTTCGGTGAATTAATCAGCAGAGTCCTCTTTTGACCCCACCTGATGTCGTTATGAGGCATCAGAAAAACGGGAAAACGCTGTTCTTGGCGGGGTCGACTTGGATATAAAAGCAAATGTACAATGCCGGAGGAAATAATGGAAGCCGAGTGGAGAATGGCTGACTCGTTGGTTCGCACCGCGATGCCGCCGAATCATCATGCCTTTGGGAATCGGAAGCTAGAGGATAGCGGATCATTATCATGGATGCGCTAGAACCGGGGAGAAGAGAATTGATTGCCTTTTTTTTTTTTTTTTTGTTGCTACCGTAAAGTGGGTTGACTGTTTCCCAAGACACAAATTTTACTCGGTTCATTCGCAGTCGCAACAGCTTCGCATTCAATGCCAACGATACAAAATTCTACTCACACACTATGCATGTGATGGAGGTCTCGTCGACCTGGACCCCTGTTTCGAGCTCTTCGGGTCCGGGCGCCCGGGGGATTCGGCTTTGCCCCACTTTTTACTTCGGCAGTTGACGGTCTGCAAGTCATTCTGGGACTGCCGGCCGCTCGGACCACCGGTTTGGGTCAACAATTTATGAAGTAATTGGTGTTCGTGTTCGTGCGAATCAACATGGTACGATGAGAATCATGAGACGAGCAAATGCAAGACAATGGAACCCAGCACCCTGTATCGTGTATAACATTGCAAATCTTAGCCGATCATCTCTCCAAGGCCCACGATCGCTGACCAACCATCGCAATCGTCTGGGACATGCGTAAAGGGTACCTCAAACCACCTTCCCTTCGTAGAGATCGACATCTAAACCAGCGACAGGCGAACCACGGTCGGCTGTTGTGTGATAGTAGTCGATTAGTCCTTGATACCGCATCTCAGGGGACAACACATCGATCCCAGCCTCCAGGTAGCCGTAAAATCAAAAGGCATAGAAGACTCTGAGCATGTGACCAGGCGTATAAAAGGTTGCGCAAGATGTCGTGGGACGTCGTGCCTCGTGAGTCGTGACGCGAAAGATCCTAGATTCTCGTGCCCGAGCATCCAAATCAGTGTCTCTTTGCAACGCAGGCTTCGACTTCCCGGGTAGCGGTCCCTGGACTCTGTTTCCCATGAGGACTAGCGGCCTCTACACTGGTGGTACGTGAAACCCCACGTCCTTGGTCAGATGTCGTGAATGGTTTCAAGTCTGCCTCGGATAGTGTGTCGACGAGACGAGAATGTACTGACGAGACGACGACAATGCAGGATCTCCGGGTCCGGACCGCGTTATCATCCAAGATGGCGATTGCTCGATTGCCGGGCAGATCACCCACACTGGCGCCTCTGGTAACGCCTTTGTCGGCTGTTCCGGTACCAGCTAGAGTGGTAAAGATCGCGACGCGGATGTTTTGACATTTCAATCACTTCATGCGAGGGCGGAAGGAATGTTTCGACAAATGTTGCCGCACGTACAAGAGGGTGCTATGGTACAAGTCGTGTCAGCCCTGGATAATTTTTTAGGTAGTACGGTGTATAAGAAGATGCGTCGGGGATTGAGATATTCGTCGTATCTATGGTGTAGATATGTATGCATAAGGAAGAAGCTAGCAGCTACTCTAGGCTATAGGAGAGGCTAGTGAAAGCTTTTTACCTATAGGCAGGTCACGTGACCTACCTCTTAGCCTGCCCGACTTTATACTAAGCTTATCCCTGAGCACACGGATAACACCCTAAACTCGATCGCCTCCTATTCCTATAAAAGTCCTTAAATATCCTCTTATCGTAGTCGGAAAGTATAATATACGGATATCGCTCTTAAATTAAGTAACCTCTTACCTATTCTATCTATAGCCTTCGCGGTCTTTAGGTCTATACCTTTTAGAGTAATATTCTATTAATAATTAATTAAGTGTTTAGGCCTTAATATAACCGGCTTTAGGTGGTTCGTATATATTTTTCGGCACTATTCTTTACGTATACCACTTAGCGGTCTATCTAACTAAGTGGTAACCTACTAAGTAATATCTAATACTTATTTCTAAAGTCGAAATAGCCCTAGCTATATTAGGTCGAATTTAGAGGTAAACTTCGCTCTTTTATCCGCTAACTCCTAGACGTATATATCTTCCTAAAGACGGTTATCTACTTTCGCGAGTTTAATTTTATCCTTCTTATATACTCTTATATCGAACCTATTAATCCTTTCGTGTCGTTCCTTACGGGTTTCTAGCGTAATATCCAGCGCGGCGTAATATCTAAACCCCTTCAGGTTTAATACTGCTTCCAGGGACTTAGTTAACTTTAGCGTCCTTAGTAGTCGACCGTTATATATCTCCCTATTATATATACTCTTTAACGTTATTATTAAAGTCTCCTCTCCGTTATCCCGAAACGCTTAAGCCTATGCGATATCGTTATCCTTTAGATCCACGGCGTTATCGCCGTAAGAAGGTAAAAAACCTGATATCGCCCGAGCTAGGGATATTCTAATCGAGGAAATATGCCTTATATTAATCTTTTATAATATATTTAGTACTTCGCGGTGCTATTTCGTGACCTCCCCTTATCTTACTCTATCCGGAGATTATACGATAGCGTATTTCCTTATCTACGCCTTTACTCACTTCACCGCCGCCTCTAGCAGCCTAGTAGAACTTAGATAGGATATAGGGCCGAAGATTATAAAGGTGCCGTTATATCGTGAAATAGCGTCTATAAACGCGTTCTTAAAATAAGAATTATTATCGGAGTAGAAGAACCTTAGCTACTCGAAAACTAGCGTTATCCTCTCCTATAACGCCTTATTGTTACGACCGGCCGCCTAATATAGACCAACCCCATGGGTACACTGGTGTATATCCCACGGGACGGCCCTAGACGGGGGACAGCATAGGGTGACTTGGGAGTCACGTGCTAAGTCACGTGTTACCAGGTACGGAGGTACTTAGTATACCGTCCGGGACGGACCGGGGTCGATCACTCCGACGAAGTGACTAATAAGTGATCGGT